CCACATTGCTTAAGTCGCTGTCCCCACCCCAAGTACCCCTATCCACCCTCTGGGAACCCCCCACCTGTACACAATCCACAACTCAAAAGAGTTGTGGTTCCTGCAGTACCAGCAAGCTTCGCTCTTGCTCCCCACTACCCACCCAGCACCCCTCTTCTGTCACTCCCTCCCCTCCTCTAGGCTGCACCTTGTGGTTACCTTCCCTGGCCTATCTGAAGTTGTGACCTCTCCCCCACTGTATATGCACTCCCACATCCCTTGCTGGCTCCTTTTCTCTGGATTTCTTGGTCATTTCACTCTCATACTTGACTTCAGCCTCCCCTGATGGACATGGCAGCCTTCCTTCTCTTCTGTTCCCTGTTGTTTTTCTGGCACCTACAACACTGCCTGCCCAGAGTGAATGAGGAAAAACATGTGTACGTGTTTATCAGTCCATCACAATGACCCGGGCCGTTTGCCTTGCTCCCAGGGAGAAGAGCTGGGATGCTCTGTGGCCCCTGGGAGGAGAGCGAGAAGAGGCAAGGATGAGGTCAAGGAAACCAGGACCTCTACCCGGAGAGGTACATGGCTGGGGTGAGGAGGAATGGGGAGATATCCACAGGCAGTGCAGGAAGGCCCAGGACGTGCTCAGGATTTGTCCCAAGGAAGGAGCAGCAGCAAGTGCCATCTATGCCCCAACTTTCAAAGGTCTGGCAGTTTAGAGGTTGAGGTAGTTTTGAATCTGACAGCAAAAGTAATGTGGCTTCCAACAGGACCCCAGTGAAAACTGGAGTCCTGCTGGCGCTACGGCAGCAGCCAGTGTCTGGAGCACAATGTCCATCTGTTCAGTTGCTTTCTTTTTTCAGAAGCTGTTGGCTCACCCCGCTGGAATGGGGTGGCACTTAAGGACACGAAGCTGAAGCTGGTGGCAGATTTCTTGGAAGTGGTGGTAGGGAGATCTAAATTAAGACCTTTCTATCACACCAAATAAATAGAAGCTGAAATACAGGACTGAAGGAATTAAGCAAAATGCCTTCATACATAACTTGTGAAAAACGGAGGGGGGAATGTTAGAAAACAGAATGGTATTTATTTATTGAGTTGCAAGGTATTTGCTGAAAACAATGACACCTCTGTTTGACACAAAAAAGCTTATTGAAAGGAGCAAGATTCTCTTTGAAGTGCCCTGCCACAGAAGCCTGGTCATTCACACCAACTGCACTGTTTGGAGGCTCTCTTGGCAAGGTCCAGGGACTGATGGATTTCAAGCCCACCCTTCCTGCCTCCCTCCCAGGGAGGTTAGATGAGTCACCTCCAGCTTGGAGTCTTCCTATTCACACTTCTGAAACATACTCTTGAGTTGCCTAGGGGAGTTGCACCACTCCTGAGGCAGTGGTGCCAGAGGCAGGTAGGGTGTCTACCTTGGTTGGTTGTGGCAGAGGGCCAGGAATGGTGGCTCCCAGGCAACTGTGAAGGGCTGACTCACAACAGATTTCAGGTCTTGGTCCCTGAGCTAGACAGACCTGGTTAGCAGTGTACTTCCAGAAGAGCAAGGGCGAGGCCCTGGCCAGAGCCATGAGGAGCTCATCCTGCAGAAATCATCTCAGAATGGTCTGTGCGTCTCCTAATCATCACTTCAAATGCGAAGGGAAAGGCCGAAGGACACACGCAGAATCATCGAGGAGCTGTTTCTCCAAGAGACAAAATTCCAGGCTTCACCAGATTCTCCAGGCAGGCCAGGCTCTGATGTTTATCATATGCCAATTTCTATGGTTGATTAAAAGCTTTCTACAGATGAGATAACAACAGCACTAAAACATAACAAACTATAGTAATCACGAAGTAATTGCTTGCTTGTATTGTTCACGGTTTAATAGTAGCTGTGTTTGACCACTGGTTCACAAAATTCCTAAAAATTTAACAACTGGCCCTTGTTCTGGAGCCTGGTCTGAGCTGACTCCAGCACCCCAGACCTTCACACACATCTTAGAGATGAACAACTCCATGAGAAGCAGATAAACCACCTTACCAGTACCAGGTAACTTCAAGACAACTTACTGTATCGTTCTAGGTGTTAAATTTTAGGATTTTAACTTACATTTCCTTGACGATGGATAGTGAACAAATTTGGCTATCAAAATACGTATAAGCCAACTGGATATCTGCGAAACACCAGTTCAAAATCTGTGCCTGTTCACGATATTGGCCTTCTTTTCTTTGGAAGCATGTATTGACATTTCCTCCACATGATGGCTTGCTTTTTCACAATCAGTGGCAACTTGGTAAGTTCTTTTTCTTTTTTTTTTTTTTTACTGTAGATAGACACAATATCTTTATTTATTTATTTTTATGTGGCACTAAGGATCAAACTTAGCGCCTCACACATGCTAAGCAAGCGCTCTGCCACTGAGCCCCAGCCCCAGCCCTTGGTAACTTCTTAACTGCAGCAAAATCCACCTTATCAGCTTTTTATTCTTACAGCTAGTGCTTTTTGTTTTCTAAGAAATCTTTGTCTATTCCAAGGGAAGGAAATATAGAGCAGCATTATTTTATTTTTCATATTTAGGACTATGATCCATTTGGAATTGATGTTCTATATACTATGAGAGATCAAAGTATGTTTTTTTCCCCCACAAGGGATATCTAAAATCATTCTTTGTTTTTTTTTTTTAATTTTTATTGTTGGTTGTTCAAAACATTACATAGTTCTTGATATATCATATTTCACACTTTGATTCAAGTGGGTTATGAACTCCCATTTTTACCCCGTATACAGATTGCAGAATCACATCAGTTACACATCCATTGATTTACATATTGCCATACTAGTGTCTGTTGTATTCTGCTGCCTTTCTAAAATCATTCTTAATGTAGCTAAAAAAAAAAAAAAACTTTTTTTTTCTGACTTGATGGTTTGACCACTTTGATTTGATGATTGACTCATTAGGAGTTTGTAGTTGACTATTGGTGTTCAACTTCTGCATCTTTGCTAAATATTTTTTTAATTTTTTTTTGTAGTTGTAGATGGACAGAATGCCTTTATTTTATGTGTTTATTTTTATGTGATGCTGAGGATTGAACCCAGTGCCTTGCGCAAGCTAGGCAAGCACTCTGCGCACTGAGCTACAGCACCAGCCCTAAATATTTTCTTTTTAGTGAGGAGTTAAAGGGGGAATAGGAAGAGACAACACAAAGCTAAGGCAATGTTAGAATGAATGAGAACACCCCAAGCTCACCCTAAGCTGAGGAGTCTGGAGTACACAGCTTCTTCACTAGGGATCACCTTGTCTGGGCTCTTCCAACGTGTCAGTTCAAATACCCCGAGTTGGGGAGGGTGGGCTCTGACTGTAAACTCAAACTGAACAGGAAAGGCCAATTCAAGAGTGCTCATACAGATAATCTGGGAAAGCCAAATGTGAAACCGTCCTTTCCTCTACAATCACATTACCCTTAAAGTCAAGATTTCAGGAACACAGCTATGTTTCAAAATGATTTTGAGATGATCTGATTTCCTCTTGGTCTTTTCACTAATTAATTGCATTCCAGTCTAGGCTGTGTTGAGAAAATGCTATGACCTAACCTAACAAAACTTTTTCTTATAGGATCAAACTCTCCCTTTGCACTTTCCAGACCCTCATCTTACCAATTACTAGTTCCCCTTTTTCAAGGGTTTATGTGCTATGCACTATGCTAAGCCCTTGAAAATTTTATTAATCTAAGTGCTTTCTTTGCTTCTCCTTCAAAACTCTTCTGACTACCTGAGATGACTTTGTATATTTGTTATCTATTTAACTCCATAACAGGATTCATGGGGCCCCTAACTTTTGTTTACCACTGTAATCAAAACATCTGGCCTGGTGCCTTGTAAACTACTCCTACACCCCTGTCAAATAAATAGTTTCCAGTATTTGTTTCCATGGCAGGTCTTGCCTGGAAGGCTCTGAAGTGTACATGGCCATAGGAATATGGACGTCCTTCACTGTGTCAAGAATAAAGAGGAAAAATAAAGAGGAACTAGACATGACTGGACCAACTCTGTTAAAGATAAGCCTTTTAATCAAGCCTATTGAATGTATTTAAAAAGACCTAAATATCTTTTGCACTTCTTTCATGCTGGGTCCTGAGATGTTTTGGGTCCTCATTCTAACAAACTGCTCATCACTTGACTACCTTTGCCTTTCAGTCTCCTGGGTGACAGCCTCATGTGGATGAAAGAAATTCCCATCTTGCACTGTCTCTTCCACCTGTTCCTTCACAGAGGGTTGTCTGATTGAAAACTATTCTATTCTAGTTCTATTGCTACAAGTTGTCATGTGTTGATCATTCTCACCACCTGCCTCCACTGTATATATTATCTTTAAAATTAACTTAAAAATGTAGTAATATTGTGCTGGGTACCACTTCAATTTTATATTGGATTATTCATTATTCTTAACAGATTAAGCAGTTCAGTAGAGAAAAATAACCTTATTTTTAAAAGAATAACCATTGCTTTAAGTTATACATTATTCTGAATTGAATGTTAACAGATTAAAAATATGTACTGATAATTCTTTGAATATGCTTGAATAAACACTAGATTTTTAAAATTTGCATTCTTTAATCTTTTACAGTGAGTATATTCAAAAATAAATTAAATCAAGCAGCCTCATTAGTTCCAGATGCAAAAAAAAAAAAAAAATCCTGAGAAATGTAATTGTCTTCAGGGTCCTTATATGTGTGTATTTGTATTCACATGAAATATCTGTTAATTAAGCCTAAAATAGTGAACTCTTTATCATCTCTGCATAAAAGTTCAATTCACAAATTTAAATAGTTAATCGTGTAAACGTGAGTTTGTCAAGTTTTATTTAGGCACAAAGGAGTTTTGAACCAGGTTCTACCAGATGTAGCATGGCTGTTCTTTCCAAATGAAGTCACTTTTAAAATGTTAGCATAGAATGGAGGCCTTGAATTTTCATGTAGAATGTATTTTAACATTATCTGAGAAGGAATGGGCAAGAATGACAGTGCACTGCCAGTCTTTTAGAATGCTGTTTATTGACAATTACTGGACAAATGTAAGGCATGTTCACAAGGCTCTGAAGGTAAGGACAGAATACATTCTCTCACTCGTTAGTTGCTTTTCTCCTTCATACCAGTTGCTACAAACTGTCCCTTGTGTATTTTAATATGCACAGCTCTCAACTGCCATGAAAATGCAGACAATGTTTTAGGGACCAAGATGGAGAATGCTTCAGAGTAAGGAGGGGGCTTCTATGGACTACGTCACCAAGACATCACAACTCACATGGAGCACAGGCAGAGGAAGGTGACCAAATCTGCCCATACACTCGTGACTGACTGAGTTTGCAGTGGAACGAAGAACACACTGAAAATCACTTTTTGATCCTTCATGTTTGAGTGGTGGAATGTGTCCAGGATTCACTTTTCCATATTTACCGCTGTCCATAGGTCACTAAAAGAATCTAAATAGTTCCTAATGCAGTCACAGTTTTGTTCTTAGGCACAGTACAAGATTGCATGCATTATTTTACACAAATGTCAAACACAGAACAGTTGTAACACAGACACCGCAGAATTGTCTAATTACACAAGTTTTTCTTTTGGGGGGTGGGTAAGGAGGAGAATGATGGTTACTAGTCTATACAGTGCCTGTGCGGGATCAGCACTGAGCTAGATGTAGATATCCAAGCACTTGCTGACTGACTCACAAAGAGAGCCAAATACTGCTAATGAGAACAGCAGCGTATTCTAAGAACAAATTCAAATGTGGGGTTGGTATGTTGAATACACGGCCTTGATTTGGGGGGTAAGAAAGTCTTGGCTGATAACTAATAAAGTAATTTTGCAATTGATTTTCAAATATCAGATTACATCATAAAAAGATTAAAAAACAAAAATAAAATAAAAACCTATGGAGTGGATGGGGATGTAGCCCACTGGTGGAAAGCTTCCTTGACTAGCATTTGTGAGGCCCAGGATTCAATCTACTACCATATGAAGGGAAAAAAATATATGGAAAAACAAATAAAATGAAAATCAAAAGCACATGACATTTCATGAAGAGGAAATGTGAATCTTTTTGGTCCATATCAGCCAATATTTTAATATTAAGTACAAATTATTAAAATGTGACTTGTTTAAGCCCATTTTAAAAATGTAGGATCTCTGAGGGAAAATGTAAGCATATTTTCAGACTACCGAATCTTATAAAAAAATTTAAAGGTCAATATCATCTCTGTTATAGAGCCACTGGAACAGATTTTTCAAACACAAAAGGGAAACCTGGGCACTTCACCAGGTTAAGAATTCTTATAATTTAAACTGCTTTGGGGTGCTCACAATACTTCCCCAAAGAAGCTCCCATCTCACAGATCTCCACAACAGCGCTAACAATGTAAGAATGCAATGACACATCATTTGATAAGCCATTATTTGACTATCACTGAAATATTGAATCAGAGTGGAGAAATTACCTAATAGCAACTGAATTAAAGATTTCCACTGATTCGCTTTGTGATACAGAATGCCAGAGATTCGTCAAATGTTTGTTTTTTATGCTGAAAGTAGGAATTATCATTATTTCAACTTGGTATGTGGGTGAGTGATGCTTAGTGAAGAGTGACTACCTAGAGCAGCAGGAAGGCAGTACTGGCTGGCCAGTCCTGGAGGGTAGACACAGACTACTCTTCTGACAGATCACCATCACGACAGGCAGGGCAACTACTCTGCCCTTTTAGCCACTGCTTAAAGCACTGAAAAGAAGAAAACAAAATCAGTCAGTGCCTTCAGGACCATGTGGGGGCCTTAGTTCCCCTGCACTGCTGGACTCCTTGGCATACATGGCTAATGTCACCTGCAAGTCTGATGGGGCCTAATGCTGCCCAATACTCAGGGACAGTAATGCTGCTTAGGCCAGGAGTATGAATAAAACTACAGTGGAAATAAGTCCCCTTCAGATATGGCCCCCTGTGTGGCCTTGTCCTCCACTACACCTGGCTCCAGTCTCAATTCTTCAGCACCAGTCGCCATGTTTTGCAGGAGGTCAGCATTTTGATGACCCTTGGGACCCTATCACCCAAATCTTAGCCCATTCCTCTTCATGGTTTTGGCTTGGTTCTTAAGCATCCCACCAGCCTGTGTGCCATGTTCCCTGTTGCTCTTAGCCAGCCTGCTGCTGCAACATGGCTGAGTATGCATGGAAACCTAGAAAGTCCAAGCCAGGATGCCCTATCTGGAGGAGAAAGCTTTCTCATTTCCTATTAGTGAGTATTCTGTATGCATCCCTTTCTCAAGGATGAATAAATCAGCACAACAGAGACCTGATCTGTCCTCACTCAGCAGGAAGAGTACAGTACAAATGCTCAGAGTCAAGCACAAGGGACCCAACAAGGTTTAGTTTTTCTCTTTTAAAATGTTAAACCACCTTTATACAATACACTAAATTAATAAAGTGCTACACTGTTTATTCATTTAGTCATGTAAGAAACCATCTTTAAAGGAATTCATATTGCTTTGGCTCTCAGCACCTATTATAGTTCCTGAAGTCAACTCTTTTCTACCCGTGACATTATTACAGAAAGTACAGTCTGCAGAGCTGCACACACCTCTGGCCCAGGACCACTCTCCCACTTCTTCAGCACCAGTCTTTGCAAAGGGCAATGACCAGAGACATGTGTAGGCTTATAGAGTGGCTTGGAATTATAAGTATCGATACTTAAGAAAAAAATTCCTTTTTTATTTTCAAAACAGTTGGCAGTCACAATGCATGATATAGATGGTCAAAGAGAATTCTTACCCCTTTGTGAAACTTGTGTCCACATTTTAGCACACGCACATTTTTTGATTTGAACACCTCATGGCATATTTCACAGGAATCTGCATCTAGTACCTGTGGAAACAAACATATCTGAAAAATAAAGATTAAAGAAATCTCTCTTTATGACATGAGTTTTTCATGACTCATGACATGAGTGGCCTTCAAACATTTTTGCCACAAAGGGTGGTAAATTATGGCTGGGCAGAATGAAGAAACAACTTGTTTTTAAATAGCATTTTAAAAGAGAAAACATAAAAATACAAAAATAAAAGTATATTTCTGAATTTCTAATGTTCTCAGAGGGAATACTGGTTTTTATAATTAACAGATTCCCTGGTGAGATATTACTACTTATATTATACTACTTATCCCTATAGCATACATGAAGTATGGTTATTAATTAGATATTACAAATTAATTATTCATCTAATTATCTAACAGGGACTTAAATTACGACAAATCTACACAACAGACTATCATGTAGCCAATTAACATCATGATGGAATACCATGATCCTTGACACAGAAAGCTGGTCACCACAAATCATTGAATAAATGCAAGTTATACAACAGTCTATCACATAATTCAATTTTTTAAAAAGAGAGAATGTCTGCAGAAGTGCCTAGAAAATAATCTGATATCAAAATATTAATAGGGTTACCCCTTGGCCAAGGAGATTATTTTTTTTTTTTTACAATTTTTTAAAGTTTCCATGAACATGGAATATTAGTGCATTTCAAAACAGACAGCTAAACCAAGTAACATCCACAGTCGGGGATTGTGTGAGACACTGGAAACAGATGAGTGTAAGTTTTCTGGCCTCCTCTGTGACATATACCCCAAGTGACACTTAGGCCACCAAGCACAGAGTTCTCCTTGCAGCTTACAGCACTTATCATGCATTGCATCAGCTCTATTCTAACTTGCCTCTTAACGCTGAGCACTCTAAAGGCAGGAAATGAGTCTTATTTATCTGGACTTTAAGCATCTGGTAAGAAACCTTGCCCCAACTGATGTTCCAAAAATATAAAAACATCCCAAGTGACTGACTGAAGCAGACATCAAGCTGTGTAGATCCTGAACTACTGTGTGGGGACCTGCTCCTTCCCTAGGTGCTGGCAGGGTGCAGACAGAGAATTACAAATTAGACAGGGGCAGACCAGAGAGAACAAAGGTGTTCATGTTGCTCTACTGCTGTCTGTGACTCAAAGATCAGGGAAGAAAGGGAGGTGTGAGCCCTGGGGAAGGGCAGGAGAAGACCTCTCCAACTCACTTTGCAAAATTCAAAGCCAGGTTAGCTGGGAAAATATATAGTTAACTTGACTGTTTTCTAGTATGGGAAGATGAACACAGTATATTTCGAAGTAAAAAGCAAAACCACAGTAAAAAAATTGAAATATTCCCCAAAGAACATAAAAAATATGACCTGGTATTTGTTTTGATTAAATTAATACATTATATATATATATATATGAGTTTAGAAAAATATATACTAATGTAATAATGCTAACTAGAGGGTAAGTTTTAAGAGTTCTTATTTTTTTCAAACAGGGTATTGTGGTAGAGAACTTGAACTTGTGATTTTCCTATCTTAGCTTCCCAAGTGACTGGGATTACAGGTGTGTCCCACCATGCTCAGCTTTAGGGTTTTTAATATGTCCCCTTTATTTCTATTTTCTATTTTGAGTGTGTATTACTTCTGTAATCTAAAAATATAAAACAAACTTTTTTTCATTTTTCAAACACTACCTACAATTATCTAGTTAAGTACCAGTTTGAATATAAATTTTTATTTCTCATGTAATTTGGCAAAGTTTAAATAAAGTGGATTTTACAACTTTATTATTATCAACATTGAATATGAACTAGGAGATCTCTTTCAGGTGATTACTTCAAGTCTATCTTGAGGTGGGGATGGTCATAACACACATGCACATGAATGGGAATGCCCTGGGAATCCTGCCTGGTTAAAGGGTCACAGAACATGTGACACATAAGAAACCCCTGGGAGAAGCGGGGACTGACTCGAAGTGGGTACTCCACGTGCCTATAAGCACTCTCTCTAGGATATGGTTGGGGATGAGACCTTCTGGGAGTTGAGTGTACGTGGTGTGGTAAGTCTTCAAAGGTGTAGTGTAAAGCACAAAATATATAAAAGGAATAAAAGTAAGTTCATGAAAAGACTCACTGCGAGCTCAAGTTAACATACTAGCCTTACTCTACATCTTGTATTGTGAACTCACTGCTGAGAACATTATGGGGCTGTGACCTTTCATTGTCTTCTACACTCTGCTACCACAGTTGGAGCAACAGGGAAATGTGCTTCACACCAGAATTCAATCTACAGCCCCCTACCTGAGCCATGAGTCGATGGCCCCTCTTTCAACCACATGCAGTCCCTACAGGGTCTCTGGCATCAGCTGGTCAGTGTGGAAAGAACTGGGAATGACATGCTGCTCACTTAAGTCAAAAGGCCCAGTCTGAGCTACAACTATGCTGTCAGTCCAGTGAATGCTAGAAAGTCGCATCTGGGCCTTGATTTTCCTTATTATAAAATATAGACAATTACAAGGCCTTATCAACTCAGACATAGTTATAACAGCATTTTATAAAATGTTCCATGTAAATGTAAATGATTCTTACTGTTTAAAAGGAGAAGAAACAACTTAAATCAGCATGTTAGATTTCAGGCACATTTAGCCCATTCCAGTGTGCCCTTCCCAGGTGTGTGAGGGAAGAGGTGAAGGGCAAAAACTAGATTTTCAGTACTGGGCTGACCTGGTCCTTTCATGGCAGCATTTCATCCAGAAATAGCCTGGTCAGGGCAGATATTACCCCGACAAACAGTGATGTGAAGTGATGCAACCCAGTCTGATTTCATAGTCCATGATTATGAAGAATAAAATTAGTTAAAGATTATTTTTTTCAACTAATCCAAATATTGCAATTAATACCAAAATACATAAATAAGTAAATATATCAACATATCTGCCCATCTGCAGCAACACAGCAAGAAGACAGAAAACTCAGTTCTCTCGATGCAGTCAGAGCTTGACTGTAAGGCTTTTCCCTGTTCTAGGTCCTGGGCATTCCTCAGAACTATTCACTGCTGTTCAAACTGGACACCTTCAAATACAGTAAAATTTGGTTTCTAATTTTAGGATCCAATAAAGTAGGACTATAAATGAAAAGAATGGTGCTAAATCATGGGTTAAAAAATGTTTTCTTCTTGTTCTTCATTAAAAAGTAAAACTAGGGTTGGGGCTGGGGCTGAGCAGTAGAGCACTTCCCTAGCACATGCGAGGCCCTGGGTTTGATCCTCAGCACCACATAAAAATAAATAAAATAAAGGTACTGTGTCCAACTACAACTAAAATTAAAAAAAAAAAAAAAGTAAAACTAGCTACGACATTATACGTACAACACTCATGGGGACATCTTCTGTTTTCTGTCCCTTAGTTTTGGGTGATGGTCCAGCAATTGAGGGTGGGCCCTGGGAAGACTGGTTCACAGAAGCAGCAGAGCTGGCCTCAGATGTTCTCTTGCCCTTTCCTGGATTTGGCTTAAGAGATAACAAGGGGATTGGGTGAGAGAGCACAAAGGAAGCAAAGTTCAACTTAGTAACCTAAAGTTTGATCATCTTTTTTGGTAAATTTTCTCTATATTTTGGCTTGAAGCTTTAAAAAAAAGAATTCTCAAATTTTATCAATAAATAAGGATTAAGGGGAACATTTTACTGCATCTGGATGAAATACCTTTTTCTTTTTCTCTTCATCTACAATGTGTTCTGTCACTCTTTGGACAATTTCATCAATACCCAATCCTGAGAGTAAGTTCTTGTTTTTGTTTCGAACCTTTTTAATAAAACCAGCAAGCTCGGTGCTGAAAGGGAAAGTAAACAATAAATGACAACAGAAAGTCAATGTGCCAATATCAACCCAGAAGTCCAACTCGAAAAAGTAAATATACAAAAATTAATCTGTAGAACATAGGACAATAATAACTACACATGAAAAGCATAATTATTTTAAGGCAGAATCAATCTTTCCAAGAAGTTGTGAAAATTTCCACAATATTATTTAAAAAAAATTTTTTTAGTTGTTAATGGACTGTTTGTTTTATTTATTTAAAAATAATTTAAAATCAATAAGATCTCTTTCTATCCAAGAAAAACTAGCTTTGTAGATTTCCTTCTTTGAAAAAATCCCTAACAAACCAGCTTTCAAAGTCTGAATGTTTCTCAAATGCCATCAAATGGGAAGAGTACACCATCAGTCAATGGGAACTTGATATTTGCACCACTAGTGCCCCGAATATTTTAGCTTTCAGAAAATCAGAACACATTTCTGTTTGATTTTTTTTAATTCTGCCAAATTTAATTAAGACTGTACGAAATTTTATTTGTAGGGTACTTCTGATAATTACAACTTGAATATTTTTACAACTGACATGAGAACTGCTATTGAGAGAACTTACAATGTTTGTCAAACTTAGGGAAAAATATGCCCAAATGCAGACAAAATATACTTATTTTCAAGTGGCAGGGTTCCACTGACACTGTAAAATATTATTTCTGACCAATCATTAATTATGACTTTGTTTCCAAATTTCAATTGCAAAGCCTGTAACTAACATTGTCAGAGAATGAGAATTAACAAGGCAGGTACAGAGGCCATTCTCTGTGTGGAGTCCTCTCTTCTGAGCTACTCATCAATCCTAACCTTGCTCTTTCTTGTCCCAACCTGGAGCCATGGGGAGGCAGAAACACTGCTGAAGTGCTAGCAACCATCCCCAGCCCCACTTACAGCTCTTCTTGACCCAGATATGAGGAGTTCTTCCCCAGTCTCCCAAGGATCCTCTGTGACATTTATACATTCCTCATGTACTGTCAAATTCAGTCTAGTCTTTTCAACCTTGCACCTCTAACAAATCAGAGGTATTTTCTACAAGGTGTAAATTGCTGCTGTTTTCTTTTATATGTGATTTATCTTCTTTCAAAATACAGAAAACTATTATTTTACAATTAATTTACTAATTTCATAACAATTAGTGTTAAGAGAGTGCTATGGATCTCATAAAAATCTTAGCAAACTGACAGATTCTGTTCAATGTTGATTACCAGTGCTCAGTATTTTTAATCTAGATGTGCATATTTAAAAATTTATTTGAGGACTAGGGGTGTAGCTCAGTGGTAGAGCTCGGGTCTAGCATGTATGAGGTGTGTGTTTGTCCCCAGCACTACAAAAAAAGAAAAGAAAATGCTCACCTCTATGTTTACAAAAAGAAAGAAAAGTAGCACCTGTCCTCATGAGCAAAACATCATGCAGTTTTTTCCATGTTAGCCCCTAGCCAGCCTTGATTTTATTTGATCAGGAAACATCAGTTCAATGAAGTATTTAACAGTCATAAATGTTTTATATTCATACCTGCTGTACCATGGGAACACCACTGACAGGTGCTCAATAATACTGTTGAACGGCTTTTTTGGAGACTGGCTTGAAGCACGTTCTGGAGGAACAGGTACTTTCTGATGTGCCTCAGGGCTTTGTTCAGATGGAGTTGTCTGGCTGGCCCCTGTATGCTCTGATGGCTGAGTAACTTCAGTTTGACCAGAGGGCAACCGAGGTGACAGTGCAGTAGACTCCTCTGGGCAATCACCGGTGGAGAACAGATCTAAATCCTTAACTGCTCCAGTTGCACTGTTTACAAATGTCCCAGGCCCTTGATCATCATGGCCTGAAGACTCAGGGGGAAACTCAGGATGAATCTGTGAGGGACACACCACAGGAATTGGGTCACTTAGGAATTGTCTTAAGAGGAGAAACAGGCAAGGACAGAGACTGCATGACTATAATACAGGAAACCTGAATACAATAATGTTTTTGTCTTAAAAGAATTGCTGATCATAACTTGGTAGTTCTTAAAGCAAGGGTAGACTTCTGACTTCTAAATAATTTTCTACAGTATACTTTTTTCCTGTAAAATTAGAAAAGCTGCTTAAATGAGAACATTTCACCTGCCTAATGCCCCTCCTTCAGTCTGCACTCTAATGCTTCTCTCCTTCCTAGCTGAACTTGGTTGATCAAAGCTAGCTGTCCCAGCACTCTCCAAAGGTGTCTACCCCACTAAGTCACAGGGACATCTAGGAATGCCAGCTGCCTCTTCTTTCTCAAAATGTGCCCTCTGGCTCTGTTCTGCTGGCTCCTTCAACAAGGAGAGCTCAGCTATTATCCTCTTTCCATGCCTAAGTATGGATGTTCCTTCTAATGTCATCTGAGGCTTGAACCTCTATCACATGCTATCTTCTCCGAGGCCATTTCATGTCCTCTCAGACCTCAGTGACTATGCTCACTGCTAATTAATACCCACTTTTTAAAGTTTCTAGTCTAGAATATTATCCTGAGATCCATATCTACAGATCCACTTGGATGACTCTGGGACCCAAAGGTGTTCAAAACCAGCCCCAGTGCAGTCTCATCGGGCTGCTCTTCCCCTCAAGTCCACCCTAGACTTCCCATGTCCACACGCTCTGTCCCAGTCTTGAGCATGGCATAGCTCTTTCATCTGCTCCTCCTAGATCCCTCTCCCATTTGGTTCTCTTCCATCCACTCCCTCTCCACTCCTTCATCCAGACATGGCTAATGGCAGTAAGTGAATAACCAGTCAGTGGAAATCACCTCCAGCAGCTCCTTCCTACTTCTCCACACTGCCATTCAGTTCATCTTCATAAAGTATAAAGCTGATAGTACTCCCTGCATGAACCATAGATCAGTTTCCTAGTGACATAACATGGCTTAGAGCACAAGGATCTCCTGACCCTGGCCCCGGGCTACTTCCACACTCACTCTATAGATAGATACCTTTGTTAAAGTAAACTTATTTTATAGCTATGAAAGGAGTATGTCACCCTGCCCCACTCTTTTATTCTAGCAACCAAATACTTTCCTTCTTCTACCTGAAACACTCTGACCCCAAGCATTACAATATCCTCCCTTCCCCCAAAGTTAATCCCCTCAACTCCTTCACCTGGTCTGTTCTTTCTTCTGATCTCTGTGTCATGGAGGTCTACATCTCTAGACCAGGATAGTGACCCTGATTTCTGCTGCTATAGTACTCTGCTATGCAAAACCTCAGCGTCATCTGCTTGTAACTGAATTTAAGCCCATAAGCACTTTGAGGGCCTACCTCATATCTAATCTCAATAACCATTAAACATCCACCAAATGACTGAGGAAGATACGAGATGAAAAGTAAATAGGTTTTAAGGACATTATTAAGTAAGTTCCTAGCAAACTAAATTTCCAGGATTTTGGACATGAAAATTCTTTTGAGTATTTATAAAATTACATGAGCTAAAATTACAAATTAATAATAAAATAGTATATTGGAATCCACAGATTTTTCTCTCCACATCTGCTGTAAAAACCAAGAGAACTATAAATAAGAAGTGATTTTTCAGTCTGAAATAAAACAATTTCTTATTCAGTTCAATGGAGACAGAAAAATTTGGATCAATAAAATATTTTAAAACTAAAGTTCAAGGCAGATGTACCTTTTTACTCCTCAGACATTTAAGACCAGACTGATTAAAGGAACCAGCCATCTAGATATAGGAGATACAACGTATATGCAGAAGGGCCACAGGGGAAGGCCAAGAGGGAAGCCACTGTCTAAGCATTCAGTTGAAGGCAGATGAAAGGAACACCACCCATAGCCTGGAACGGCATCCCTGGCAAAGGTCAGGTACCAGCAGGAAGACACTTTTTGTGCTGTAGAAAATGTTCCCCATCTTTAGGATTTCAATCTGAAATCCATCTCTAATCAACTCTTCTACAGAGTCTTTAAATTCCTATCGTCTGACCATCTTTGAACCTAATTCATTTCAATTAGTATTAACAAAGAATCTCTGTGTGCAAACTTCAGATAACAAGTATCCCAGAATACAGTAAAGTGACATTAGGTTTAGCTATATTGTAAAGCCCACAAAATACAACTAATGCTTTTCTTTACTGGGGTATGTTATAAGAGCAATCACCAGTATTCAAAAGATTCAGAACAACCTCACATTAGCAGTAAAATATGGTATGCTAGATCAATATAGTCTTGCACGTCTCAGATACACTAGTTTTTATTCTATATTTGATGAGGAAACAGATCTTAATTTTAAGATTTTGATTTTATGCCTCCAAGTATCTAGAAATTATAATAATCCCAGGTGGTACAGAAGAGAGGGCCTGCTTCAATCAAAGGAAACTGCTACTCTGTATTATTTGTTCAAATGCTAGAACGTACAGACACATCATACATACTACGTCTAGAAAAGAATGGTGATAGGCTATAGTATATCAAAGTGTAGAAAAAACATGGACCAATAGTATTTGCCTTAGTCCTGCACCAATGCACAGAGGCAGACGACTGATCTATTTATATAAGAATGTTTATAAAGATTAAAAGGTTAATCAATGGTACCAATAATGAAAACATTAAGGCAACTGTTAATTCATCCCATTCCCAGAAAACAATAAACAAACAACTTTGGCGCATTAAAAAAATAAACTGTGGTTCATTATGTTTTGTTTCAGGGAAAGAAAAAAAAAAAAAGATGCAACTGACTTACATTGTTACAGGCAGGAAATGGAAGCTCAGAAATCTGCACTTTAGAAAGCTCACTGAGTCGAGAACCATTTTTAATGGCCTTAATTTGATCTTCAAATTCAGACTGTAGGTGGAAGGGAAAATGTGAAGTTTTTCTCTAACAAATTCCAAGAAAACTATAATTTCCAATTAACACTATAAAACAGTCAACAGCTTCCCAAGAAACAAATAAGATGCAAAGTATTAAGACAATTTTTTTAAAGAAAATTTGTTCAAAATAAGAACATTAACATTAATTCTCCTTAATCAGAATGCTCCAAAGTCATATATATTTAATCTCATCAATCAGGGGTAAAATTTAAGATAATTTCCATATTTTTCTTATTTCTTTTGTTTCGTATTGCTGAGAATTGAACCCAGGACCCTTGGCATGCTAGGCACATGTTCTACTATCCTATATTCTTAGCCCCAAAATATTAAGAAAATACTATTAATTTCATAAGTGATAACAAAAATGCAGTATTATTATTAACATGTCAAAAAAGAAATGGTTTAAATAAGACACCAGCCTCACAAGAACTGTAACCACCATAAATATTTTGACAGAATTATAAAACGTTTCATAACTTACTTTTGCTCTCTCAATTTCTTTTGTAACATTAGAAAGAAATGATTCCCATGAACAGATATCAGACTCCATGTTGGGATATTCTGTGGAATCACTGAAAAAGTTTAAAAATATATTTAATATCCACTTGGGAAATTTAAAAAATGAAAGCATTTAAATGCAAATGAAAATAAATACTTAAACATTAGCAAAAGATACATTCAACCATCCCATTCACATATTAACTTTTTTTTTGTAATAAGGATTGAACTCGGGGCACTTTACCACTGAGCCATATCCTCAGAATTTTTTATTTCTTATTTTGAGACAGAGTCTCGTTAAAATGCTTGGGGTCTTGTTAAGTTGTTCAGGCTGGCCTCAAACTTGCAATCCTCTTGCCTCAGCCTCCCGAGTTGCTGGGGATTACAGGTATCCACCATTATGCCTGGGTACATAATTACTTCTAAAGAATTATGAATCATGTAAACCTGCCCCTAGACATTTAAGGATATCTTAACTATGGATAAAACCAAACAAAAACACAACAAACAAAACCCTTAAACTAGGGGCAGAGAGAAGATATTCTCTCGAATTTTTTTCCCCCACAAGTTTGAAAATTTGACTGTTCTTCATTTTACTTCTTCATATTTAATATTAAACACTACCTTTGCATTTAAAAAATTTTAGTCAGCCTGGAATATTCCAAAAATGGCAATAAAACCTAAATCCCCGTCTAACTGTAAAACTAAAGAATGCAGCTTTAGAGATTAAGATAAATTTACAACCTCAGAACTTTATAAATCTGGTCTATCTAAAGTGACAAACAAGGGGCTGGGGCTGTAGCTCAGAAGCAGAGTGCTCGCCTGGCATGGGTGAGGTACTGGGTTCAATCCTTAGCACCACATAAAAATAATATAAAATAAAGGCATACTGTCCATCTACAACTACACACACACATACACACACACAAAGTGACAAACATCCTACTCCTAATTTAAAGCCTCAACACTCCTTTCAATCTGTAATTGTGTCAGTTCTCCTTACATATTACAAAGAAGACTCAGAATGGTCTCCTCCCCCACTTTTCTCCTTTGCTATCCTTTGGTGGGATCAGTATTCAGCAGAGCATACCCAAGAATCTACATATACCTAAGGCTTAATGGAAGAAAGTCAATACTACTGGATAAAATAAGGTCTGAGTGTCTTTGTTTTTCAGATAAGACAAAATCCATAGCCTATGGGAATTACTTAAGAGGTTTCTGAACACTAGCTGATCTCAACCTCAGCTGTACTAGTTCTGTAATCTGAATCTGCATGTCAGTTCACCTTTGATTAGAAAAGTCTTTTGGTAAAAAAAAAAAAAAAAAAAATCTTGAAAATAAAGGATAAAAATAAAGGATACTATATACTACAGTGTACTATACTATATGTACTACTCCATAACTCTTCCAGTCAATCTCTGGTTCAACTATGAGGGTTTGAAATTCAAATAAAAAAGCAAGCACTAGGAAGAATTAAAAATCTGGGATTAAATATGAAAACCTGAACATGATACAAAAAACAGATGAAAAGTAATCCCCCATGTGCAAACACAGAGGCCTAGAGGTGCAGCTCAGTGGTGGAGCACTTGCCTAGAATGGAGGCGGCCCTGGGTTCCATCCCCAGCACCAAAAAACAACAAACAAAACCAAAACCAAGGTGGGAAAACACTACATAGAAAGCAGCTAAATGCCAGACTAAAGACAACCCTCTAGGATTCTAAAAACAAAGGAAAACAAACAAAAACAGATAAAGATTATGAAGAACTTCAAAAATTTACATGTGTGAATCTTTTTTTTTTTTTATTAAAGAGAGAGAATTTTTTAATATTTATTTTTTAGTTTGTTTTCGGCAGACACAACATCTTTGTATGTGGTGCTAAGGACTGAACCCGGGCTACACGCATGCCAGGCGAGCGCGAGCGCGCTACCACTTGAGCCACATCCCCAGACCATGTGTGAATCTTAAAGTCCTTCATAATAACTTTCCTACACTCAGTCATGCAGACTAACAGTTATTAGGAAAAGCCACTGAGCAAAAAGTTTAAAAAGCTCTGAAAATACTATTTTTGTTCAGAAAGTTTTTGCGTGGAAATGACTAATAATGTTCAAAAACACTTAGATGTAGGGATGCTCACTGGAGTGCAGCTTATATTTTAAAAAATTTGCAAACAAATATCCCACTTGATAATCCTGATATGCTACATGCTGGAACACCATTCAACCTTTTAAAATCAGGCTGGAGAACTGATTTTCAAGAAACTGACTTCATTTCAGAATGAAAAGAAGTTTCCTATACACTACCTAGTGGGAAAAAAAAAAAGAGTAAACATTCACTTTTCCCTAAATATGTAAATGAATTTATTCTAAAATATTAATTAGTTTTATCTCCATTTGGAATTATGAATAATTTATAAAAATCATTTCTGTTTGTATGTTTTGATTTTTTTGAACATGTACCAATTGGGTAACTACTAAAAATAAAATGATGCTAATATTTTTTAAAAGTTTTTCCAAGTACGTTTAACTTGTTTTTTCTAAATGACATGCTGGGAAGAACACCTGGGAAGCCACACTACCTGCTTGTCAGCTTGAGGTTCTTAAGATAGGCTTCTGCTTGTGATGCCATGACCTGTAACTTAAACACTTCACTCTCCTTCCAGTTCTCCAGCACAGATACCTGCCAGTAGATTAGAGGATATCTAAGTATTTTACAAATGAAGTCCTGAAACTATTTTAAGAGTTAAAACTTAAACATTCCAAACCATTTTTTCCTTAAGTAAGATCTGATGACAGGAACACCAGAACTTGATTATGTCATTTTCCCAGGCAAACACAAATTAAAACTTTGGGATTTGAAAACAGAATAACAAAATGACACTAAAATTCTGTGCTTCAGGATCATTCTTGCGGATATGAAACTGTATATGGCTTTCTGCTTAAACCATAGACAAAACAGAGCCAGGTTAATTGCATGCAACTATGGAATGGGGTTATCTACAGTCCTGGCCCATGGTGAGGAAGGGCCCAGGGACCCACAGAATAAAACCTGAGGCTGTACATTCCCAACCAAAAAGCCTCTAAGAAGTTGTTTCAGCATTAACACAATCAGCCTTTGGGGAATGCTTTCAAACTTTTGGACTTCCCCATAGTCAACTTGCCATTTTTGCAAAAATCACTGCAGGAGATGTAAAATAGTCTCATTTTAATTCAGTTCTCAGTAACCTTGACAGGATCCTCCAGGCAAATTGGTTTGCCAAGCAGTGATAAATGTGAATCAAACAAATTTAGGAATATAGACACTGGGGTAGGGCCCACAAAGTATTTGTACTTTCACTCTTTCCCCAGAAGCAGTAACAAGGGTCCATATTTAATTGAAAGGTCTAATACTTGCAGACTACATAAGTTAATTGTTTTTTTTATTTTCCCAGAACAATCATAGATACATATACCAATACATATCATTTGTTTCTCAGATAGCTTGATGTTCTTAAGACAGGCTAGAAAAACATACATAAAATAAAAATAAAGCCAGACGTTGTCTTTTAATTTTTGTCTCAGTAGTTTCTCAAATAGTACAATAACATTGGTATATATTCTTTTAGGGGGAGGGAGGAATATATTCTTAATAAGGAGGTTATTTTCATTTGCTTTTTAAGAACTGGCAAATGTTTTATGGTTGCCTACATTTTTATATCACTTGATTAAATATGAAGCTATGCAAAATGTGGAGTATGGGAAATGACTGAATTATACTGTCAAGGAAAACAGGTTACAAAATCTGATGTACATTATGTAACAAAGCATGCATAAAAATTAGAAAGGAATAGCCAAGGAAAAAGAGTGGATATTTTAGGGAAAAAGGATTATGAGTAATAGGATAACCCTAACCTCCATACTTGCCAGTAATACAGTTATGCCTCACATGTAATTAAAGAGACCCAACAGTAAACAAATGAAACCCTTCCATCCACCAGTCATAACCTCACCTCTGCAGCCACGGCTCTTTGATGACTCTCTTCATAATGCTCTTTCCCTTTCTTTATACATAATTCTATTTTCATCTTCTCATTTGTAAATGTATTACTGCAAATGTTAAAAGAAAAAAAACTTTAAAACAAATCTAGGGAGTAAGGATACAAAGGTTTTAGGACAACTTTCTACATTTTCTAGAGTAACTTCCTGCCTCATATTTTACCACACAACACACAGATTCATATGCATTCTCTGAACTTCATGAATGATCAAAAGAAGAAATGAGTATTTGGTAGGAATGCTGAGAAAGAAGCGAAGGTTCTGTACAGGTCACTAGTTTTATGAGAGTAGGTAGAGTATAATCTGGTTACTTTGATAAACTTTATAAAACTTCCTTCACCAGCCAGAAATTCTATTCTCACACAAGGAAATGATCCCAAAGAGTAAAGTGATCTGTACAAAACTGATCATGGCCATACTTTTGTAACAGCTAAAAAGTGTCAGTGAAAGTGGTGGCTAAAAAAGATGACTATGGACCATGATGGGAATAGAAATGTGCATGTGAAACAATATTAAATGAGAAAAGCAAAATGTGACTGCTTATCACTAATACATTGATCACAAGTATGTGAAAACATATAAGGACAATTAATAAAGATTACAAGGAAATTTTTTGCAGCTTTATAATTAAAAAAAAAATTTTTAATTATTTTTTTGTATTGGGGATTGAACCCAGAAGCACTTTACCACTGAGCTACATTCCAATCCCTATTTTATATTTTATTTAGTGACAGGGTCTCACTGATTTGCTTAGCACCTCCCCATTGCTGAGGCTAGTTTTGAACTCATGATCCTCCTGCCTCAGTCTCCCGAGCCACTGGGATTACAGGTGTGTGCTACCATGCCCAGCAACAATTTTTAATAAACATATAATTACAGACTAACAATGTAAGAAACTATCATTCTATAGCTGAGTAACATACAAGAAGCTTTTCTGTGATGCAGGGACAGAACCCAGGCCTTCATACTTGCTATGTAAGTGCTTCTACCACTGAGCTACACCCCTAGTCCAAAAATAAAAGTTTTTAAAACACATTTTTAGTTTCAATCAATTCAAGAAAATAAAAGGAACGATTGACAACAATATTTTTTATACTGACATAAAATAAAAGCAGAAACCTAATAAAATCAAAATACTTCAAAAATACACTTAAACATTAGTTTAAAAATAAAAGATACATAATTATTTAAAAGAAACGGGGGCAGGGGAGGAGCAACAGATTTAGAAGTCTTAGAATGCTTGTGCTTCTGAGAGTAAAAGTGTAAGAAGGTACTAAAAATAAATTTAAATTTCCTTTGCCTGATTTCAAGGGACTGATCCAGATGTAATTCAGGTTTGTTATCCATCCCATCATTTTTCGGGGTAGACCTATAAAAGCATAGTCACCAAATTTTAATTAATTTTCAGATTTTTTTCAATACAACTTTACACAGGAAAGCATATCTAGACACAGCATTCTTAAATTTTTTTTGTTTCTATATTTTGCTTCATTTCTAGTATCTTCTAATTCTAATCTAATCTTCTTCTAGTATCTCATTTAATTTTCTTCTTCAGTGCTTTTAATCTTTCTTGGATTTCTTTTTTTCTCTTGTTGCCATTTTTAAATTTATCTTTCCAATTAAGCAAGAATTTGGGGGTCATTTTCCTTGTAGGAAATTTTCCTTTATACTTGGAGCTTCTTCTTCACTCTAAGCCACCTGATTACTGGTAAATCACTACCTTGGTCCAGGATGCATGCCTCAGGTGGTTTTAACCCGAGGAAGCACAGGTAATGAGACATCATCATCAGGGGTTTTCATTTAGATTAGAACACATAGACTCTCAGTCAAAATGCAACCAGCCTCCTCCTCCTTAACAAGACTTGGAGTGAAATTAGAATATGCACACACACTCTCTTGATAACCTTCAGACACAATGTGAAAGTCTCTGACTTAAGCGATGCCTAAACCAGGCAGATTCTGCCTCTTTCATGCTCTCCTAATATTCCTATTTAGTTACTTGTACTTGATAAAACCCCTCACGTTTCCAATAATAGTCAGTTTAACTGCCATCCCAGAAGAATAATGGTCTAGCTGAACTCAATCCAGATTGCAGGAACATGAGCAAATAAAATGGCTATTAACTTTAGCTACTGACTTCGAATGTTTGTTACACCACAGTGGATAAGCTGAGGAATCACATGACAACACTCACTGTTTAGAGCAGGAGGTTAGGAATGGATCACAGGGGATATAAAAAAACACACTTGGCCCTCTTGACAGTTATGCTCAGGATCTATACTCTAGCAAATTCTTCATATAATTAAGACCAAATTTTAATAATTTACAGATCCATAATAAAAGTATGAGTGAAGTAATCATCACAGAATTTTAGTGCTGGAAAGAACCTTAGATCTAGTCAGCCCCCTAATTTTACCAATGAGGAAAAAAGAAGGTCAAAGGTAATGTTCATAGTGAGAATGGTGTTCATATGAACAGGACATCAATTCCTTTGTGTTCACATGAACAGGACATCAATTCCTTTGTTGATTCTCAGGCCCAATCCATTCTCACTTTTACAAAATTAATTTGAAAACATTATAAGTTTGAAATAGTTTTAGATGAGATCTCAATGGATGCTTTTTAAAATGAGATAAAAACACTGTGAAAACAGTATCTATCAATTTTGCCTTGATACAGTTTGAAATTTAATATAAAAAAGTGAAAATAATAAAAATCCCACAATATTAAAAAAAAGCAAGGATTATTGATTTCTATTGTTACTTACATTTCACTTGTATTTAAAACCTTTTTAATTTTCTTCTTCAGTGCTTTTAATCTTTCTTGGATTTCTTTTTTCTCTTGTTGCCATTTTTTAATTTCTCTTTCCAAATCTTGGAGGAACCAATCTAATTCTGTCTTTGAGATCTAAAAACATTTTAGAAAGTACTTTAATTAATGACAAGATTTACTTTTACTTAGCTTACACTAAGACACCTGAGTTCAAGGGAACAGTATACATAAACTTGCACCTATGCAGGCTATGCCCCTGTGGCCAGCCATGGGATAGAGACAACACAGCTGCATCCTAACCACTAAGTGCATCTGACCCCAGGAAGGTTACACTGAAGAACCACTTCAACGTGCCCACAGGTATTCACACTCCACTCTTCAGTCTACATGATTCCCCAATCTAGACATAATTTGTACGTTTATTTGACAAGTCCGAGGTTTTTTGTTTGCTTTTAAAAATATGAGTGAGATGCCTCTGGAAGCTTTTAAAAATATTTATTTATTTATTCTAATTAGTTATACATGAAGCATTTCAATTCATAGTACACATAGAGAGCACAATTTTTCATGTCTCTGGTTGTACAAAAAGTAGAGTCACACCATTTATGTCTTCATACATGAGTACTTTATATATCCTAAAGATTAGTGCTCTACCTGATGTGCGTGTGGTGAAAATTTGCTCACATTCTATAGGCTCTCTTCACCTCACTGATTGATTCTTTTGCTGAGAAGAAGCTTTTCAGTTTGAATTCATCCCATTTATTGATTCCTGATATTATTTCTTGCACTGTAGGAGTCTTGTTAAGAAGTCAGGGCCTAATCAGACATGATGAAGATTTAGGCCTACTTTTACTTCTACTAGGCGAAGGGTCTCTGGTTTGATTCCTAGGTCCTTGATCCACTTTGAGTTGAGTTTTGTGCATGGTGAGAGATAGGGCCTTTGTTTCATTTTGCTGCATATGGATTTCCAATTTTCCCAGCACCATTTGTTGAAGAGGCTATCTTTTTTTAAAAATATTTTATCTTTTAGTTGTAGTTGGACGCAATACCTTTATTTCACTTATTTATTTTTTTATGTGGTGCTGAGGATTGAACCCAGGGTCTCACACGAGTGTGGCGAGTGCTCTACTGCTGAAACACAACCCCAGCCCGAAGAGGCTATCTTTCCTCCAATATATGGTTTTGGTGTCTTTGTCTAGTATGAGACACCTGTATTTATGTGAGGGTTTGTCTCAGTGTCCTCTATTCTGTATCATTGGTCTACAAGTCTATTTTGGAGCCAATATCATGCTGTTTTTGTTACTGTTGCTCTGTAGTATAGTTTAAGGTCTAGGATAATGATGCCACCCATTTCACACTTCTTGCTAAGGATTGCTTTGGCCATTCTGGGTCTCTTATTTTTCCAGATGAATTTCATGATTGCTTTTTCTATTTCTATGAGGAATGTCATTAAGATTTGATTGGAATTGCATTAAATCTGTATAGTGCTTTTGGTAGTACGGTCATTTTGACAATATTAATTCTACCTATCCAAGAACAAGGGAGATCTTTCTATCTTCTAAGGTCTTCTTTAATTTCTTTCTTTAGCATTCTATAATTCTCATTGTAGAGGTCTTTCACCTCTTTTGTTAAGCTGATTCCCAAGTATTTAATTTTTTTTTTGAGGCTACTATAAATGGGGTTGTTTTCCTAGGTTCTCTTTCAGAGGATTTGTCACTGATGTACAGAAATGCCTTTGATTTATGGGTGTTGATTTTATATCCTGATTCTTGGCTGAATCCATTCATTAGTTCTAGAAGTTTTCTGATGGAATTTTTTGGATCTTCAAGGTATAGATTCATATCATTGGCAAATAGTGATAGTTTGAGTTCTTCTTTTCCTATCCGTGTCCCTTTAATTTCTTTCGTTTAATTCCTCTGGCTAGAGTTCCAAGAACGATGTTAAATATTGGTGATCAAGGAGGGCATCCCTGTCTTGTTCCGGATTTCGGAAGCAATGCTTTCAACTTTTCTCCATTTAGAATGATGTTGGCCTGGAGATATGATCCTGTTACCCCTAGTTCTTCTAGTGTTTTGAACACAAAGGGGTGCTGTATTTTGTCGAATGTTTTTTCTGCATCTATTGAGATGATCATATGATTCTTATCTTTAAGTGTCTATTGAAGGCATGTATTTATTTCCTATGTTGAACTAACCTTACATCCCTTGGGATGAACCCCACTTGATTGTGGTGCACTATCTTTTTGATGTTTTTGTATTCAATTTGCCAGAATTTTATTGAGAATTTTTACATCTATGTTCATTAGAGATATTGGTCTGAAGTTTTCTTTCTTTGATGTGTCTTTGTCTGATTTTGGAATCAGGGTGATATTGGCCTCAGAGAATGAGTTTGGAAGTGTTCCCTCTTTTTCTATTTCATAAAATAATCTGAGGAGTACTGGTATTAGTTCTTCTTTGAAGGTCTTGTAGAACTCAGCTATGTATCCATCTGGTCCTGAGCTTTTCTTCGTTGGTAGACTTCTGACAGTGTCTTCTATTTCATTGGTTGAAACTGATCTGTTTAACTTGTGTATATCATCCTGATTCAGTTTGGACAAATCAAATGACTCCAATCTGTCGATGCCATTGATATTTTCTATTTTATTGGAGTACAAATTTTCAAAAAAAATTTCTAATTATCTTCTGCATTTCTGTAGTGTCCATCATGATATTTCCTTTTTGATCACAGAGTTTAGTAATTTGAGTTTTCTCTCCTTCTCTTCATTAGCATGGCTAAGGGTTTATCAATTTTATTTATTTTTACAAAGAACCAAATTTCTGTTTTGTCAATTTTTTAAATTGTTTCTTTTGCTTCAGTTTCATTGATTTCAGCTCTGATTTTAATTATTTCTTGTCTTCTTCTGCTTTTGGTGTTGATTTGTTCTTCTTTTTCTAGGTCTTTGAGATGTAGTGTTAGGTCATTTATTTACTGACTTTTTCTTCTTTTAAGAAATGAACTCCATGCAATGAACTTTCCTCTTAGCACTGTCTTCATAGTGTCCCAGAGATTTCGATATGTTGTATCAGTGTTCTCATTTATCTCTAAGAAGTTTTTTAATCCTCTTTGATGTCTTTTGCAACCAACTGTTCATTCAATAGCATATTATTTAGTCTTCAGGTGTTGGAGTATCTTCTATTTTTTTATTTTATCAATGATTTCTAATTTCATTCCATTATGATCTGATAGAATGTAGGGTAGTATCACTACGTTTTAATATTTGCTAAGAGTTGCTTTGTGGCATAATATATGATCTATTTTAGAAAAGGATCCATGTGCTACTGAGAAGAAACTGTATTCACTCATTGATGGATGAAATATTCTATGTCTAAGTTATCAATTATACTTTTGAGTTCTTTAGTTTCTTTGTTTAGCTTTTGTTTGAAAGATTTATCCAGTGGTGAAAGAAGTGTGTTAAAGTCACCCAGTATTATTGTGTTGTGGTCTATTTGACTGTTGAACTTGAGAAGAGTTTGATGAATGTATATGCTACATTGTTTGGGGTATATATATTTATTATTGCCATATCTTGTTGATGATGTATGCCTCTCTTAAGTAGTATGAAATGTCCTTCTATATCACTTTTGATTAAATTTGGCTTAAAGTCTGCTTTATTTGATATGATAAAAAACAAATAAATAAAATAGAGCCTGGAAATCCCTTTTTGTTTCTGAAGTCCATGTGAGTGGTATGTTTTTTTCCCAACCTTTTGCCTTCAGTCTGTGGGTGTCTTTTCCTATGAGGTGAGTCTCTTGAAGGGAGCATATTGTTGGGTCTTTTTTTTTTTTTTTTTTTAAATCCAATATGCCAGTCTTTGTCTTTTGATTGGTGAGTTTAGGCCATTAACATTCAGGAAGACATGATTTGTTTTCCCATTTTTATTTTTGGTATTTAACTTGACTTGGTTCCTCCTTTGATTGGTTTTCCCTTTAGTGTAATACCTCCCTTTGCTGATTTTCATTGTTTTTTTTAATATTTATTTTTTAGTTGTAGTTGGACACAATACTTTATTTATTTTTTATGTGGTGCTGAGGATCGAACCCAGGACTTTGCACTTGTGAGGTGAGCCACTCCACTGCTGAGCCATAACCCCACTGTTGTTTTTCATTTCCTCCTCATGGACTATTCTGCCAAGGATGTTCTGTAGTGCAGGCTTTCAGGTTATAAATTCTTTTAACTTTTGTTTATCATGGAGGTTTTTATTTCGTCATCAAATCTATAGCTTAATTTTGCTGGATATACGATTCTTGGTTGGCATCCATTTTCTTTCAGAGCTTGGTATATGTTGTTCCAGGATGTTCTGGCTTTCAGGGTCTGAGTTGAAAAAATCGGCAGAGTAATTGGTTTCCCCTATATGTAATCTGGTCCCTTTATCTTGTGGCTTTTAAAATTCTCTCCTTATTCTATATGCTAGGCCTTTTCATTATAATGTAGTTTGGTGTGAATCTATTGAGATTTTGTGCATTTGGTGTCCTGTAAGCCTCTTTTATTTGATTGTCCAATCCATTCTTCATGTTTGAAAAATTTTCTGATATCATTTCACTGAATAGATTGTTCATACCTTTGGTTTGAAACTCTATGTCTTCTTCTATCCCAATAATTCTTAAATTTTTTTCTTTTAGAATTCTTTTTTAGATGTAGATGGACACAATACCTCTATTTTACTGATTTGTTTTTTATCTGGTGCTGAGGATCGAACCCAGTGCCTCACACATGTTAGGCAAGTGCTCTGCCACTGAGCCCCAGCCCCAGCCCCAGCCCTTAAATTTGGTCTTTTGATGTTATCCCATAATTCTTGAATATTCTGCTCATGGTTTCTTATAATCTTCACTGTGGTCAACATTCTTTTCAAGATTATATATTTTGTATTCATCATCTTGAGGTTCCGTCTTCCAAGAGTTCTCATCTGTTGATGGTGCTTTCTACTGAGTTTTTAATTTGGTTTATTGTTTCTTTCATTTCAAGGATTTCTGTTTGGGTTTTTTTCAGAACCAGTATCTCCTTATTAAAGTAATCTTTTGCTTTCTGTATTTGCTTATGTAGCTCTACACTGAAATGATGTTTTGCTGCCTGTATTTGTTCTCTTATATCATCCTTTAATTCACAGAACATTTAAATTCTGTACATCCTGAACTCCTCTCTGTCATTTCTTCTGTTGTGCTGGCCATGGATTCTAATAATGTAGTATCTTGGTTTGTTTGGGGCACTTTCTTCCCTTGTTTTTTCATGTTCTTCCCTTCTTGCACTGCGGTCCGAGGCATTATATTTACCCTATAAGCTTATAGTGTCCCTGCAGCATTCCAATACCTATCTTTGATATTGCTTCTAAGCCCCAGCCGGTGTTCCAAGCTGGGGGTTACCCCAACTAAAGATGGCAATGAAGATGTCCCAAGATGGAAGTGGTTGCTTTCGCTATGGGGTGTCTGGTCAGGTGGGGTCGGGCAGTGGTGGTGGGTGGCCTGTTCAGAGATACAGCTGTGTGACATACAGTGTTGTGCCTGAGGGCTGTGCGGTGTCCCTAGGTACAGGGAGTATGGCAGTGGTTGCAATGTCCCAAGATGGAGGTGACTGGGGAAGCCCCACACTGGTACACTATGGTCCACAAGGCAGTGGCGGCCAGAGTTTCTGTGCACGGGCAGCAGCCAGGTGTCTTGCATGGAAACCATGGCCAGGATTACTGCGTGGGAGTAGCTGTCGGGGTCCTCTAATCACTCGCAGAGAAAAAGTATTCCAAGTCACTGAGCAACACAGAATGAGCCTCATTCTAGCCTGCCATCTTGGATCCTTCTCTGGCTTTTTATTAAAGGCGTTTGGGTTGGCTGTGTGATAAAGAGCAATGAAAATGTCTTCTGAGGTGATGTGAGTTCCTTTTCCTCTGGAGGGTCAGATTCAATGCCAACTGACACACAGCCCTTTTTGCCAGTTTCTTCTGCAGGTGCTACTTTTTGAAACATCTGAACTTACAAATGTTCTAAAAGTTTTTTGTCCTTTTTGAAGCATCACCCATTCAATGGCAGTGAAGGATCTGGGTATGACACGTGCTCGTAAATACAGGGCACATATAAATAAAAAAATCTCTTAAGAAAGAGAATATGAATCAGAGCACTATTAAAAGAAATAGCTAAAAGCAACATGTTAAATATTTCCCAGCTTGAAATCCCACTATTATCAATGGTTGCTTAATGAAATCCTGACTTCATATTTGCTCTAGGGGAACATTTGATGTTTTACTTCCTGTCAGGTTCCCTACAGCTTGAACTTCCTCCTTAGGCTCAGAACATGTCTAAGACACCAGGCCTTCTTCCTCAGGAAGGACGCTGAATCCTAAAGTTATCACATAAAGACTTCATGGGAAATAATGGCCCTGGAGTCAGAAGTGATAGTGACTTAGAAGCCATTTCTCCATCTTTAGCCTTATGTATGCAGTTTCAACTTCTTGGGAAGCAGATTTGCTGGTTGGTCTGTCGCAAGCCATCCATGGGCTGTGTGACCTATGTGCATTTGAGCGTATGAGAGAACTGGTCTGGCGTTACGTCCTTTTTGGGCTGTGTGACACATGTGTGCTTTTTTTCTCACCCTGCCTGTGATCCCACACAGCACCTGAGATGGGTGTGACTTGCCAAGATGTCAATCTGTTGACCACAAGACACCATCAAGCAAGACTCCACTCTTTAAAACCCAATTCCTTGCCTTATTTAGGTGAAACTTTCTATTGAATGTCCTTACCCGATAAATAGAGGGGTTCGGATGTGCTTTCTTGCCCCCTTGCCTTCCAGTGTGGGAGCTGACAACTGAGGTCTCAGAGCTATCCCTGACCCCCCAAAAAGGTATTTCTGTGTTTGTGTGGTTTTTTAGTTGCCAACTCGGCCAGCTGGCTACAGTGGTTAAGTTCCTTTTTAAGACTGAGTCCTAACTAGAGGGAAGGTGATTTAGACAGCTGTGAAACACACAGCCTACTGTTCCTAAGTGGCATTGGTTCAACAACAGTTCAGTAATGCTCTCCAAATTTTGGAGACAAGTCCTGCCCACATTTTCCTTGCTAAAACCTTCTGATCCTGAATTTGTCAAGGCATTACTGTGACAGTAACTCCCCCAAATCTACTGTATTTACAAAATCTTGTAGTCTACATGGTTCAATTCTACTCTCTAGACTGATGTTGATTTGCCTGCCTTACTGTTGGCAGCCTGGCCAACTTTGTTTCTTGCCTATCTTGTTTTTCCACTCTGAGCCACTGATCTCACTGTGGATCTAAACTCTTTGGCTGGGAGATTATGTGCAAAAACAAAGTTATGCTGGGGCATGAGGACCTACTTGGCAACAAGTATTTAAGGGAGGTCAGATAACAAAAGCCACAAAGTATTGCACCTACATGTATGCACGTGTACACACACACACCTCAGCCAATAAAAATACTACACAGGCTCATGTTTGTACTAACCACCCTTTAATGACATAGCTGTCTTATGTTTAATAAAGAAATACCATGGCTAAATTCTATCTGCTTTTGTGTAGATACCAACCAAAAAAAATCAGGTTAGCAATTTATCCTGACAGGAAATAGGTACATTTGGTAATCATAATAACCTTACAAGCCTATAATCTGAGGTACTAAATAATTGCCCTTTTAAAAAAAAGACTAACTTGAGTACAGCCACATGACAGCATATCCAAGGCTGTACCAAGTTAAAAAGCACAAGAGCCAGAGCCCAGCAGTCAGAGCTGCCACTCCATCACAGCCTTCTTCCCTGGAAGCTTTCTGTCCCATGAGCTTTCTGATCAACCATACAAACAACAGAGCCCTGGGTGGGAGGGTGGAGAATTTTAGTTCAGTAGTTTAAGACAATAGGGAGGTGGGGGGTGGGGATAGAAAAAAGACAGTGGAATGAATCTGACATAATTTTCCTATGTACGTATATAAAAATATCACAGTGAATCCCAACATCATGTACATCCTCAAGAATCTAACTAGAATAAGATATATTTCATGCTTGTTTAATGATATCAAAATGGATTCTACTGTCATAGCAAGCACCTAGTCAGACTACCAGTTTATAAAACTGGAAAAGCCTCTGCCAGAAAAAACAATTTCATTCATTAAACACCCACCCTTACATAAGTGTTCATTTCCCCAAATCTGCCTTATTACTCACACAGGTGGCCACAGACATTCACACTGGATTTATAAAAACACTGAATTTGCCTGAGGCAATATAAAAAAATATTTAATTCTGTTACACCTTCCAACTGGTTTACTCAGACTTGTGTTCTGGGTGTCACACGCTAGGCAGGCCTTTTTTTTTTTTTTCCCCCTTCCCCAACCAGACAATTAAGCAGAAAGTGTCTGCATCTAACTCTTCCCATCCTTGGAATCTCCTTAGTCCTGTCCTGAGTGCAAACAGTTCTTGGGAAATGTTATGGCAGTTACTTTTACAAACTAACCCTTTCTTCTGTGTATTCTTGAATCTCAACAAATGAGTTTCTTGATTAAATGTCCTACTAAGCTAATTTTCACTATTTAATGTGTTATTTTAGCTAGTAATCCAGACTTCTGAAACAAATTTTTCCCTTCTTAAATAATTAATCTCCTTCTGTTTCTGAACAGAAGATAGTTGTTTTTAAAAAGTAACAAACCAAAAGGAAAAAAAGTAATTTACCAATGTTCCTCACATCTATAATTCCACTGTCCCACAAATTGCAATCTGGCCTTTCCCCTAATTAGTACTGTTCCACTAGCCAGATCTTACTGATGGTCAATCTCAACTACCACAATAAATACCAGTATAGTCAAATAAGATACTTTAGATGAGAAGTTCTAACATCTCCAAGGCTCCCCATGAGTTTTGTCACATGTCCTTAGAAATAGATGAAGATGATGGTAATAACAGCAATAGTGATAATAGTGGCAGCTAATACTTACTGAGTCCTTACTTGTACCAGCCAGTTTTAAGTACTCTACAAGTGTTAATCTAAACCCATGAAATGGAGCAATTATTACCCGAATTTTTCACAAGGGCCCAGACAAGTTAAGCCATGTGCAGACTAGAACTATTTGAATAAAAATAGTCTGGAGCTATGCCCTGGAGCCAGACTGACAGCTCACACTTGGAAGCTCTGATACAGAGGCACAGGCAGAAATATAACTTGGAACTTAGTCACCTTGAGAGAGATTTTTACTTAACCAGGTAAACTGAATTATGGATAAACGAAAGCTAATGTTTACAGCCCTTTTCTCAAAACCAGATTGCAAAGGTTTTATAGCACTGCAAGGTACACTGTCACTTGAATATGCAGTACAGAAATTTGAAACAGACTGTTCTAAGAAAGAGTCTTCTCTGTTTAGCCAATGGTGTGGTTCAGCTAATGGAGGCTCATAAGCACAGTTATATGTTCCCAATTATGCCATATGCAATTAAGGAGGGCTTCAGACAGGATTACCTTGTTTTCTTCTAAGTTCCTTTTCAACTTTTCTTCCAGGTCTCTGGTCTCTTCTGAGCTGTTGAGTTTTATCTGCTCATAATTTTCACATGCTTCCTTAAGCTGCTCTTGTAATACTTGGTATTCCTTTTCAATCTGTGAAATATCCCCCTAAAATTAAAAATCATTTAAAATGCCTACTTATGAACTTGTTCTGAATTGTCTTTTAAAATAAAAAAAAGAGAATAAAAGGAAGAGGAGAATTTACAAGGAAAATGTCACAATTCAGGAATTTAAAACCTCTAAACTTTGCTTAGTAGAGCCAGCTCTTAAAATATAATTAGTCATGTTACTGGAATTCATAATGAAACTTTTCAATCTGTACTATAATTGGTTGTGAATATTTGCTTGTTTTAGAAAGGTTCAGTATTAGAACAAGTTTCATTTGAATTTTACTGTATGATTAACATCACAAACTATTTAGTGGGTTTTAAAAGATGATCATATATATGAATAGAACATAACATAACTTTGGTCCTACTTTTACATGTTTCAAATGCAGAGTTGCTGGTCATTTCAAAAAGATAAATTGTTATCAAGAATTGTTTCTAGCTATCTGTTTCATGAACCAGCTTCAAAACAAAAACCAAAACCCAGAAATCATACTATAATAAACATTACTATGTAAAGCTTTTTTTTAAAACAACGTTTTTGTGTCAATTTTTTTTATTGAGGTACAATTAACATACAGTAAGATTTGCCAATTTTTTTGTGTGTGCATGTGGTGCTGGGCATTGAACCCATGGCCTTGTACACGCGAGGCAAGCACTCTACCAATTGAGCTATATCCCCAGCCCCTATTATGTAAAGGTTTTTAAAAACCTCTTATACACCTAGGGCTGCTGGCGATTATACACTTCTATTATGAGAATATCTGCTGGATGCTCAAAACTTCTCCCAGCTGCAGGAGACTGCCCTCCTGTGACAGCCAGGTTTCAGAGATCTATCTCAAAGGCACAAAACTGGGCCATCTTCGATATTTCCTTTATCTCCCCACAATACCTGAGCATCTTCCAAGTGTAAAAAGGCAGGGAATCAAGTATTTATAATTTTGTGATTTATCAGAGAACTGTTATCTATAACACCTGACAGTCCACTTTGAAAAGCCCCATTTATGTCTGTACAGATTGAGAGTTTAGCACTATGAACAGACTTGATGTTTAATTAACAGATTAAATGTTCAACCTTGCGACCCACAAGCAAGATTTTATAGTTTAAGATCTTAGTTATCTCTATTTTCATTCTTAATTTGTCAAAAGGATCCCAATCAATAGCAACCTAGTACTATGAATTAAATTTATATGCCCCCATATCATCACAGAGTAGGTAAGAAATTAAGTGCCACCTCTACATTATTACATTTAAACTTTGAAATACATTATTTTTGCCTTTAATCAGAAAAACAAAGATTAGGGATGTGTGCCAACTTCTCAAGGTCTGAGAAGAAAGCAGAAGCCCTGGGATTCAAATGCAAGTCTGATTGAGAAACCAGCAATCAGCTAGGTTAGTGTCATGGTCCTGAAACTAAGAACTAACTTAAGAAGGCACGTGTGAATATCCCAACACTGACTCATCAAATAACAGAATCTACTTGGCTTAGCATTAAGTGCAACATAAAAATTCAACACCAGTCCCTCTGCTCAGTATATATTATATAGGCAAAAATATTCACTACAGCACTATTTATAAGCATGAAAAGCTGATATAATCTAAATGTTCAATAATAAGAAATCAGTCAAATAAATTATCATACATTCATATAATGGAATACCAAATATCTGTTTAAAATGACAGTATACATCTAAGATTATCAACTTGTCTGTTTACTAAAAATCTGTAATACATTAATAAAAGATTACAAATTTCAAATGTAATTTATATGTGGTGATCCATCTTTTAAAAAATGCTGCTTAATTATATGCAAATGTTCAAGTAAGGCCTGAAAGACTACACATCAAAATATTAACGTGAGATAAATGTAGATGATTTTAACTTCTTTTTCAATAATATTCATTTAAAAATACTTAGGGGTTCTATATTACTTTTATAAATGGCTAAAACTATAAAGCCTTTTATTCAAATAGTGGCAAGCCACACAAAGTTCTAACATTACTTCTTCCTATTTAACTATATATTGGGTTTTGTAAATCATTTAACTATCAGTAATTATAGAACTGCCTAATTGTTAAATGACAGCATAATATTTCACTATATAGGGGCTGGGGATATAGCTCAGTTGGAAGAATGCTTGCCTCTCATGCACAAGGCCATGGAGTCAATCCCCAGCAGCTAAATAAATAAATAAATAAATAAATAAATAAATAAGCAAGCAAGCAAGCATTGGAATACTGAGATAAAAAAAATTTTTTTTTCACTATGTAGATTTATCATAATTTAGTCCACTACTAATATATGTTTGAATTGTATTCATTTCTTGCTGGTTCAAATACAGCAAAACAAATATACAAATATCCTTGCTCACTGGTCTCTACATACAAATACGCATTCAGACAAATTACACATTGCCTTCCCCAGATATTTTCATTTTATTATCATCTAATAACACATAAATGAATACTTTTCTTATTTCATGTGTGGTTATTTTTTAATGTCTAAAAATCATCTCTCTCTCTATTTTTTACTATGGATTGTCTATTTAGTTCCTTTACCATTTTTGTGATAGGTTGGTAATCTTTTACTTATTTATAGAAACTTTACATGTTAACGAAATCAGTTCTCTATCTGTACCAGTTTCAGATAATTTTCCAGGTTTGTCATCTGTTTTCACATCCTGTGCATATAATGTTTGTTCTTTTTTTAAAATATTTTTTAGTTGCTGGTGAACCTTCATTTTCTTTAATTATTTATATGTGGTGCTGAGAATCGAACCCAGTGCCTCTAGGCAAGCACTCTACCAATGAGCCATAACCTCAACCCTACGTTTGTTCATATATAAAGAGATAGATAGATAGATAGATAGATATATGCTGTGCAGACATACATCCACATTATGTAAGTATATGTATATAAACATCGACTTTTGTGTGTTGTATTGATCTTATGAAAACATTTTCCCAGGTATTTTTATGGGTCCATTTCTTTATTTGTAAGTCTTTGATATGCCTGGAATTAATTTTGGTATAAGGAAGGAGGTAGAAACTTAAGATAATGGGTTTCCATTTCACCTAACATTATGTATTTAATAATCTACTTTTTGCTCACTGCTAATTTACCATCTTTAGTATAGCTTAAATTTCTATATTATTCTATCCTATTAGACTCTCATCTAATGACCTATTTATGTGATATTAAGATTTTTTGAAATCTAGCACAATTCCCCTTCTTATAATTTCTTTTCCTTGGTCATTCCTTTTTTTTTTTTTTAATATTTAGTTTTTAGTTGTAACTGGACACAATATCTTTATTTTACTTATTTATTTTTATGTGGTGCTGAGGATCGAATGCAGGGCCTCTCATGTGCTAGACGAGCACTCTGCCACTGAGCCACAACCCCAGCCCCCCTTCTTGGTCATTCTTGATATTCATTTTTCCATACAGGAACTTTTTAATCAATGTGTCTAGTTCCAAATAAATACTGTGCAGTAGCCAGCCGCCAGACTCCAAGTTTAGGTCCCAGTATCTTAGCCTCTTGGTATTCACACCCTGAGACAAACCTTTCCTACCAGGTATCAAGGGCCGATGAGTTGGGTCTTTGTGACTGACAGAATACAGGGGAAACGATTAAGTATGACTTCCTAAAGTAGGTCATAAAAGCTATTGCACTACATTGAGGTCTGCAAGGTAAGGAAATGAAGGCTCCTACCAACTGCCAGCACCAACTTGCCAATCATGCGAGAGAGACATCTTGGAACTGGAATCTCAAGCCCTATTTACTCCTGCAGATACCTAAGCCCTCCCTAGTCCAAATCTCTACTGTAACTTGATGAAGATCTCCAGATCTACCCAGCTAATCTGCTCCTGAGTTCCTGACAAAGAGAAACTGTAAGATAATGTTTTAAGCCACTAGATTTTGAAGTAATTTGTTATATTACAATAGATAACCAATACACTTTGCTCATGTGTATCAGAATTGTGTTAAATTTCATATCTCTGTTACAATAGGTCTTCCCATCCAAGTGTACAGAATACTATTTCATTTACATCTTCTGTATATCTCTCAGTAGCATTTTAAAGATTTTTTTAAACATATAAGTTTATCATTTTGTTATTAAAAATGGAATATTTTTTTCTAATATACATCCTAATAGATCGTTGTTAGTACACACACAGGTGCTTATTTTGTATTCAGTCACCTTTCTGAATTCTTTTAATTTGGTATAGATTTTCAGTTATCATTTTGAATTTCCAGGTATACAACCTTAGCCTCTATAATTAATGATACTTACACTTCCTCTTTTATAGCTTATTTCTTTCTCAGATCTAATTTTGTCAGTATCTCAGGGTAATAATAAATACTAATGAGAATGTTTTGCCTTTAAGCAAGATGATGGCTTTTAGCTTAAGAGAAAAAGCTTGCTAAGAAATACTCGATTCCCATTTTATTAAAACTTTTGGTCAAAAAAGGGACTGGGACTTGAATTTTATCCAATACCTTTTCAGCAAAAGTTGATCAAGTAACTTTTGTTCTTTGACATTTAAAAAAATATTTATAGTTGTAGATGGATACAATACCTTTATTTACTTTTTTGTGGTGCTGAGGATCAAACCCAGTGCCTCACACATGCTAGGCAAATGCTCTACCACTGGGCTATACCCCAGACTTCCTTTGAAATTTTAACAAAGTATATTACATTAACGGGTTTTTCTAACTGAAACATTCTTAAAATGATAAAGGTCTTTGTAATATATTTACATATCATTCAAGCTTATTTATTATGAATTAATACATGCTCATTATACCAGTTAAAACAATAAAGCCATTATACTTAGAAATAAATGACAGGAAAAAACTTAGCTTTTCCTTTGCTTGCTTGCTCTTCTCATATTTCAACAATATAAGCAACTTAATTTTTTTTATTGTATCCTAAAGTTTATTCCAGAACTGTATAAAATTAGCTAACTCCAAAGTAGTCGTAATTCATCATCCCATCTAGATAAATTAATGAAAATCAAATCTTTAAACAGTTTAATACAATTTTGACTCACCTGTTGTATCTCAAAAGGATCATATGGCTCAGTGTTAACTTCTTGGTTTGTTATGTTCCAAGACACCTATGTTGCAAAATAAACAAATTTAATTTACCTCAATTGATATGGTAAAACAAATTTGCCATGTAATAACATTTTAAAACACACCCACAATTTTTCAAAGTTTTGGGTCCCCTTACCAACTAAGGTTATGTTTCATAGAATTAGTATAACTGAAAATGTCAGTTCACTACTCTTGTTTTTAAATTTTTTTAAAAAATCTTTAATTTGTAGATGGACACAACACAATGCCTTTATTTTTATGTGGTGCTGAGAATCGAACCTGGGTCCCTCCCATGCTAGGCGAACGCTCTACTGCTGAGCCACAATCCCAGCCCCAAGTTCATTCCTCTTCATTATTATTTTTTCAAAGTTCCCTAGAAAATAGAAAACTTCAGAAGAGGTGCAATTTGATAAGGATTTAATGTATTCACACCCTAGAAAGGAACACTGATTTATTTTCATGCTTGTTAGATAGGAACACTTAATTCCTCATTTCTCTCCACCCGATTTTTTTCCCCCCTCTTTATACTGTTGATTGAACCCAGGGATATTACCATTGAGATACGGTCTCACTAAGTTGCTAAGGCCAATCTCGACCTTGATATTATTCCTGCCTCAGCCTCTGGAGTCGCTGGATTATGGGTATGTTCCACTATGTCTTGCTACTTGTCTCTTTTTTAACTTTCCCAATACTCCAGACTTTTCCTTTTTTCTTTCCCAGGGAAGCTGTCAGCAAATTTTCCCTTCCTCCCCCATGCAATAGTCCTATGGGAAGATACCCTAAGTGGGGAGGCCTCCTATTTGGGTTCTGCTGGAACTACTGGGTAAGTGGGTGAGATAAGGACTTTATTGTTTGCATATGTACTTCTCTATAGCAGTGGCCACATCCTCCTTTTGTGTCCTTATTAATTATGAAGGCAATATTTTGGCTCCATCTGCTGACTCATTAACCTTATTTCTTATTTGGTGTAAAATGTGGTCAGGGAAGAATAAGATTTACTGGGCCAAAACTTCTTTCTGACAAAATTACCCACCATGCCCCACAAAAGAATTCATACTTTAAAAATATTTTCAGGCAAAAACTTCAGTAACCATTATAAAGCCAATAATTTCTAAGAACATTAGTAAATAAAATGGTGATTTAAAAAAAAAAAAAGGAAAATACACCTTTCTCTTTAAATCTTACCTGTACAGCAACCATCTGTGTATGTGGAATATTTGTTAGGGCACTGGACCTTTCTGGACTGACTTCACATTTGTTTTTAGGGTTCCCACCGTGCCCATCATTTCTGTGAGACTCACTTGGGGCTGTACCAGCATCACCCAGGCTGCTCTGTGACTTTACATGTATTCCCAAAGAGTCCTCAAGGATCTGTGTTTCAGAGACAATCTGGTTACCAGCAACATTCTTAGCATTTAAATTGTGATCCTCAAAATAGGCAGCAGTGTTTTTATCAGCTTTGTCACTGGCTACAAGAGATGGCACCACTGGTATCGATCTCTGCAGCTGATATTCAGAAGAAATGTTGGCCAAAGGTGTGTAAATGCTGGTATACTGGGGCAAACTTGGTAACATGTTTATGTATGTTGGTGGTGTCTGGGTGATGTCAAATCCCTGAAAAGGAAGATATGTACAGTATCCTGTGACCAAGTGAGATTGAGTCCAACAGGTTGGTTTCCCATCCTCGGAAACTGGTTTGAGAGAATGAGAGGAGACTTGTTTGTGATTTACATCCTCAGGGACTGATATGGGAGAATCAGAAGAGACCCCTTGGGGTTTCTCATTCTCAGAAACTGGACTGGAATAACTATCAGGTACTGATTTGGGTGTAATGTCTTCACAAGTTGGTTTGGGAGAATCAGCAGACACAGGTTTGGGCTTCACATCCTCAGAAACTGGTGCTGAAGACAAATCAGACACTGGTTTGGACTTTACATCTGGTTTAAATTCCCTAGCAGTTGGATTCAGTGGTAGTTTGACTCGTAAATACTCTCCTGTTTTTGAAATTTCTTCCACTTTTGTTTTAATGTTTTTCTTCTTTCTTTTTTTCTTAAGTCGTAATGCAACTTTTTTTAATGCAATACAGTTGTCAATCACAACAAAACGAGGACATCCCAGGAGAAAAGATTTTAAACCTCCTGCTTTTTCTAGTATTTGTCGAGTTTCTTCTGGGAAAAACTCATATTCTTCAGAGAACATCTTGTTACTCATATCCAAGGGACCATGTTCCTCCAACAACTGAGAGAAATAACTTGGAAAAAATTTACATTTATATAAGTTACTAAGCGGAAATACTTGCACATATTTATTTTTATAAAAGTTTATTCTCCCAAAGCAAAATACTATTTTACTTCTCACTGATCTCAAATGCTCTCCAAAGACAAATAAAAGGTTAAGTATAATCAATGTTACAATAAATAAAACTGTCTACCCCTTAGAAAATAATCCTTTAAAGCTTTTTTTGGGGAAAAGCCAAAGGAAATCAAAAAGTTATTTTTAAATTTTAATTATATAATTATGCAATCTCTTTAAAAAGCAATGAACAAGCAAAATTTATTCAGAAATACCATGGTCAATAACAAGAATGTCACAAGAGAAGAGAAAATCAAATCTTTAAAAAATCCTATCTCAATTTGCATACAGTAAATCTATTAACATTTTTCTGATTAGGAATGTGCAATGATTCACAAGGAAAAGGAAACTGCTCTTATAATTCAGCAATGAGGTACCAATCACAAAGGGGATCAGCAACACAACTGATGGACTCCGATCCAAGTAATGATTACCAAGCAGCTAGGAAGTCACAATTCTGAAGAATATGTAATTCTTCTCATGTAAGTTTGACTCAGTGATACTCTTTAATATTTGTTATGGGGAACAAAACCACATAGTCCAATGAATGTTTTAATTTTTTAAAAAAGAGTCTATATACCATTCTACTGTTGTAAAATACCCACCATATGTAATTAGGTAAAAAAAGCAAATGACAACTAAGTAACTTAGGGCCTTACTAAGTTGCTGAGGCTGACCTCAAAACTTGCAATCCTCCTGCCTCAGCCTATGAGTTGCTGGGGTTATAGATGTGTGCCACTCTGTCTGGCTAGAAAAAAAATCTTCAAAGAAAAAACAAAACAGTCCATGTTTTTTCTAATGCTAAGCAGCAATGAATTTTTCATATATTCAAGCAGAACAAAATGTAATTCGACAAGGATTTTTAGCTCAAAGAGAAATGGTACTATAACCATACTATGAAGAACATTTTTATAGTTACTATTATTTGAAAACTACAAAATGAATTTTTACTCTATATTTAGACTTTTCTAGTCTTAGTATACATAGGGTCCAAAATAGCACAAATATGATTTTTTCATAATCTAGTGTTTTACAAGGGTTAGAATCAAGTCTCTCAACAGTGCACATTGGTACTGGTGTGGCTGTTCAGTAAAGATGAAAGAAGTTATAGTGAAAGATGCTAAATACAACTGAGATGATGAGGCTCAAGATCATTTCAGTTTCTGCAGTTTAAGAGATTTCTCTTCTCTTTCAATATCTGGCCCCCATCAAATACCTCAGACTCTAAAAGGACTAGTATTCCTATACCTAACCAGAGACGAAGAAGTAGACACATTGTATAAGAGTAAAAAATAATAATAAAATCAATTACATCAGAGATATTAATAGTTGCTGTATATATATATCTGCATGTTACTCTGTGTATATACAACATTTTCATAATTTGATGATCATCACTATTATCTCAAGTGGTCAAAGAAGGACTTGCAGAATGCCAGGGCATGTCACCATCAGCACAGGGGAAAGGACAAGGATGGGAAAGACATTTCAAAGGACATTCCCATTCTGCTATTCTGAGAGTACCCTTTGAAAATCATGTTCATGATTCTTATTTCAAAACATCACCTTCATGTGTAATACACTGTGAAACTACCAACGATCACCTTGACTCTCCTTTATGCTGCAGGGCTACATGAGAGACCTCTGCCCTATACTTTCCTCAAATCTGCAACAGCACTTAACCTTATGTGGCTAATAAATCTCGGCTAACACTACTGAGGTGCTATTAGGAAACAATAAAGGCAAAGTACCTGTTTCAACTACATAAATCATAAAATGTTACAAAAGGCCTTTAAAAAGAAATTAGGCTAAATTCCTATTTTAAGATGTTACACAATGGGGCTGGGGTTGTGGCTCAGAGGTAGAGCTCTCGCCTCGCACGTGGGAGACCCTGGGTTCAATCCTCTGCACCACATAAGAATAAATAAGTGAAATAAAGGTATTGTTTCCAACTACAACTAAAAAAAATAAATATTTAAAAAAGATGCTACACTAAAGTCAAGAAAAGCTTAATTTATAATAGTTACCCCATATTCTTGACTCCTTGTCCAATATTTTTCTACTCAACATTCTTTTCAGATATAAAAGTTTAATTTTAATTTCCTTTTATACTTAGCCAATAAAATAAGCCATCATTTTTAAGCCATCATATGTTTACTTTTTTAAATTTGGTACCAGGGATTGAACTCAGGACCATTAACCACTGAGCCACATCCCAACCCTTTTTACTTTTTATTTTGAGACAGGGTCTCCCTAAGTTGCTCAGGGCTACACTAAGTTGCTGAGGCTGGCCTTGAACTTGCCATCCTCCTGCCTCAGCCTCCTGAACCTCCAGAATGTTAGCTGTGCACCACCACACCCAGTTTACTTTAGAAATTTCAAGAATTAGGTTTTAAGATATACCTTCCTATAACTTCTACTTTTCTACTATGATAAAATATAAAATTTATCTCAAAAATAAAAAAAACAAATCAGTCTACTTTTTTCTCATAAATCTGTTTAATTTCTTCCCACTTACAGTGGCAATAAATTCTTTAAGATAAAAGCTACTAAAAAATTACATATTTTATCTTCAGTTTTGGATGCTTGAAGCAAATTCCAAGTTATTTTAAGAATACCAGTGTAATTTTATAGGTAAATATTTTGTCATCTAGGAGTCCTATGGAAATATGATTTGCTCAGTATTTCAATTCTAAGGAAAAATCACAAAAACTAAACCCAATTTTAACTAGACTGAATGGCAATAATGGGTTGAAGAACAAAGAAGAAATGACCATACTATGAATGAGTGACAGATTTTTCAGGAAAATAGTTAGTTTAAAAATTAATTTCCTAATAGAGATCCTAACCCTCAATTTCTTAAACAAAGCCTTGTGTACTGCTTATTAATGCCAATCTCAGAATGGTAAGCGGTTCCCTAGATTTTCCCAAACTCTTTATTTGATTATTTAATCCACCCTACTCAAACTTCAATTGTTAAATTTCGCATTCATATTTTCAATCCTAAAGTAACTCACACCCAGTCACTTAAAAATGAAAGTATGTTGGGGCTGAGGGTGTGGCTCAGTAATAACTTGCCTGAGATATGTGAGGCGCTGGATTCGATTCTCAGCACCACATATAAATAAATAAAATAAAATGTATCAACAACTAAAAAATATTAAAAAAAAAAAAAAAAGGAAAGTATGTTTCTCTTTTACGTCATTTTCAGGAAGTCCAGTCTCTAGTAGAAGACAGGATTCTCTATTTGTACTATTAACACAGCTGAACAATTATAATCCAAGCTGAAGTACTAACAGCATCTTAGGATTCTTTCCCCCAATAAAAAGGGTAATACTTCACCAAGCTACATAATTGAGATGCCAATTGAGATGCTGCATTTTGAGATGCCAAACCACTGCATCCTTCAACACAAGAACAATGAGACCAAATAATCATATTATTCTGTCAAATGAATACCTAGGAATTCATGATAAAAACATTATAGCTGAAAGCTTTGTTTATCGTTTCTATCGAGACATACCAGAACAATTTTAGAAGTATCTATATTAGCAGCTCAAACTGTCAAAACCAAAGATTAGTATGACCCTAAATTTAATAATTAAAAATCCTCAATTAACTACATATAATATGTGGCAAATGTTCTCAGAATATTCTTCCCCAGAGATTGTGAACCAATAAATGAGTACTGTAAAAAAACATGACTTTTGATTTTTAATTGGCAGTCTTAGTATAAAATAAGTGTTGTAGGAATATTAATCTACTTACTCATACAGAGTTGAGCATTTTTGTTTTGGGTTAATATCCCATATTTTCTTATTGCGGACAACATATTCATTACTGTGCTGGTCATAGAGAGCTTCAAATTCTTCTACATCTTGCCGAAGATGGTTAGGCACAGCAAATGGGCCTGCAGAATCTGAATTGCGTCTTCTGATTAAAAAAATAATTTTGTTAATAATAAATTTTTGGATAGGCTAGATGAACATTTAATGGAAAAAAACAACATGATGGTAACGAACATACGACTTAATTTTATGTGGAAGGAAAGTACTACCAGAGAGCTTAGTGTGGAAAAGACACCCTTCATAATTATAGTCAAGAAACATTATATTTGACATTCTAAGTAAGCACTTTTAATTTAGCCCTAAACCAAGCACATTTTCCCCCAGCTCCAGTTTAAAAAAAAAAAAAAAATCAATGTTGTATTAATTGTAACTTGTTAAAGGGTTGAGAGACAAATGAAGATCTTATAATTGCTATTAATTTAAGTGATTGAGACTGGTAAAAAGTACTAATAAAAAGATTTTTTTAAAAAAATAATATGAGGGCTGGGGTTGTGGCTCAAAGGTAGAGTGCTCGCCTAGCATGCGTGAGGCACTGGGTTCGATCCTCAGCACCACATAAAGTAAAAAATAAAACACTGTATCCACCTATAATTAAAAATAAATAAATAAATATTTTTAAAAAAAAGAATATGAGATTTTAGTACTTTTAAAAGATACAGTAGATTGAGTGTGGGGACTAAAACCAGACAGTATGGTTTAAATCCTGGCTCTGCTATTTATATAAGCCTTGTGCCTGGAGCAAGTCATTCAACTACAACTGCCTAAGTTTCTTTATTTATACTATGGACACAATATCAGTACTTATTTCCTAGGGTGGAGGAATGGATTAAATTAATTTATATATGTAAATGCCTTAGAGTAGTGCCTCATACATATTTGTTCATTTCAGAGAAGACTGTTATATTATGATCTGTATGTCTGCATTCCCCAAAAACTCATAGGTCATGAGGGCAGAGACATGATGAATGGGATTTGTACCTTTTCAAAAGTATCTTTAGAAAGCTGCCTTATTTTTATGGTTTAGACATGATGTGTCCCACAAAATCTCACATGTGAGACAATGCAAGAAAGTTTTGAGGTAAAATGATTGGGGTCTGAGAGCCTTACTGCTTTCCTCTACCACATCCTTCCACCATGATGTGCTGCCTCTGGTACAGAACAATGAAGCTGATGTCAATGGACTGAGACCTCTGAAATCATGACCCCCAAATAAACTTTTCCTCCTTTAAAATTGTTCTTGTTAGATCTTTTGGTCACAGCAGCAAAAATGCTGACTAAAACACTTGTCCATGTATCATGTGAGAAAAAAGTGAGAAGGTACCATCTATGAACCAGACCCTCATGAGACAACAGATATGTCAGCTCTTTGATCCTGAACTTCTTAGCCTAAAGAACTGAGAAAAGCCAAATTGTGAAAAGTAAATTTCTGTTGTTTGTAAGCCCCTCAGTTTATGGTATATTGTTCTGGCAGCCCAAATGGACAAAGACTGGCTCTTAATTCCTCCTGTTAGAGAATTCATGAAAATGAGTGCAATTTTTTTTAAAAGAGAGAGAGAGAGAATTTTTTAATATTTATTTTTTAGTTTTCGGTGGACACAAAATCTTTATTTTATTTTTTATGTGCTGCTGAGGATCGAACCAAGCGCCCCGCGCATGCCAGGCAAGTGCATTACTGATTCAGCTACATCCCCAGCCCCAATGAGTGCAAATTTTAACTGTTCTTTTTTTTTTTTTTTGGTGCTAGGGATGGAACCCAGGGCCTTGTGCATGCAAGGCAAGCACTCTACCAACTGAGCTATATCCCCAGCCCCTGTTCTTCTTCTTCTTTTTTTTTTTAATATTTTTTTTAGTTGTAGATAGACACAATATCTTTATTTATTTTTATTTGGTGGTGAGGATTGAACCCTGTGCCTCACAAATTTGAGGCAAGTACTCTACCACTGAGCCACAACCCCAGCCCAAATTTTAACTGTTCTTAAACTCCCTAAGAAATGTGAGCTTCTTTGTTTGGTATTATCAGTTTCTTTAAAACATAGTTTCAACAATCAGAGGCATGAAAAATCATACAAAGTTAAAAGTTAACATCATATATAGCTTCCAAAATAGCTTCCTTTCTCCTATTATAGTAGCACTAGTTAATTATCAATAGGACATTCTCTTTACTGAATACTTTAAAGGACATTTTCTAGACATTTTTCTAGGGATTTCCCATAGTGCCCTGAACACAGTGGGTCCTCAATATATGCTTACTGAATAAATGTCACCATTCCTGAGACTTTAACTCATAATGAATTCTTAATGACAAGCCATGCTATTAATTCAATTGAGATATATTATATCAGGTTGTCAATATGTAAATCTTTAAAAATGAAAGGGAAATAAAACATAAGTTTAGAGTACATTAAATTAACATGCCTTATCAAGTGAAAAGCATGTGAGTTATAATGAGGCAAAAATTTTAACAATCATACTTACTTATAGTCTTCACCTGAACTGATAGTCTCATTATTTGGTGTTACTGTAGTTGTTCCAGACCCAACTAACATTGGCTGGTTTAAAAGAAAAAAAAAAAAAATGACAATGACATCTAATTTAAAAGTCTATGAAAGAAAAACATTATCATTGAAATTGATAAACATTTATATAATATTTAAAACCTATTTTTAATATTTAAAACAATATTTAAATAATATTTAAAACAATATGTAAAACCTATCCAAATTTTCTTATAAACAGGAACACATAGTAATATAAGTTTTAATGGCCAGAAATAAATTCAAATTAACATTTGGGATAGTTTCCAGTGCTCCAAAAAACTTTAAATGTCACTTAAATTTCCATATTAGTTAAAGACACATGGTCAAAGGTACAAGGAAGCTTACACTGGAATTCCAAGCTGCCTGCATCCTCCTCTAACACTTGCTCATTCTCTCTACCCCTGTTCCTCTTTTTTCAAGACACGCTGAAACCAAGAGAAATGCACTATGATGCTGAAATAATGAGAATAGAGCCTTAGGTGAAAAGGAAAAGTTCCCATCAATTCTAAGACTGATATGATGACTAGAATTCATCATTCTTATTTGAATATTTTAGATAATAAATATTTAAATAAGTAATTCCAACAAGAGCTTCTGAATACTAGAAACCAATATCTTACTGCTCTTATATGAGATATAGAAACCAATATCTTATATATTCTTATCTCTCCCTAAAATTCAGCACAGAAATAATAATAAATAATTATTAAGCATTTACTACCCAATAAACAAAGGTTATTATAACAGGCACAGGAAAGTCAAATAACTTGCTCAAGGTCACAGAAAATAATTGGTAGAACCAAGACAGGAACTCTACCCTATGGCTATCCATAATAGAGTACTACATTATATTTTTACTCAGAAATATCTAGAAAATATAAATAACTATAAAGATTAAGAGTTTCTTTCAAGAGTTATTTATGTGCAACATGAACCTTAAATTTCCTCAAAATGTAGAAGACTGCCAAAATAGACTAAACTCTAGAAAGTCTTTCTCTACAAAATGTTTCAAAATACTGCAAGAATTGCTTATTTCTAACTTATATATCCATTTTTGAGAGTCTGGGCAGGAATTAATTCAGAAAATATTCCATACCTTTGTGTCTTTTGGCTTCTTTTTCTTGCCTTTGTTTTTAACCTTGGTAGAACTAAACTGAAAAATGGGGGGGGAAAAAACAAAACAAAACAATGAACACTCAAATAACAGCCTTATGTAGGTCAACATAAACAAACCACATTAAGTTTCACAGACTAATCATCAGTTATATGTATATAAAATGTTGTGTATCAGCCCAAGTGCTACGGCTTATAATAAAAAAGAAGAAAAGGCTTAATAATGCCAAATGTTATGATCAAAATTAAATTGTCCTAACATTTTAATCTCATTTTCAACAGGGCTTATGTTACTCTAAATAATTAACTGAACTTTTAAGTAATTCTGATTATGTGCTTTAATAGCATTCAATGATATCCCTTTTACTAAGCAAACAGATGTTCCACACCCAGCCAGATAATGGGGCACAAAGAGTGAAAGGAGCTGTATTAATTTCTCTATATGGGTATGTTAGCTGTACTTCCATACTTAGCAGGGCAAAATCTGATAGAGCAGAGTAAGACAGAATTCCATATATTTGATCCTGAAAACTGATAAACGAGTATCTTTCTCTTTGAAAACTGCCACAGTGCTATCCTTTTCATTATTTAATCATGTTCCTCAAATGAAGAATTTCTGGCCTGCCAGAAAAAATAAAAGACAACCACAAGCTGTCAAGGAAAACAACTCTTGAATTACTCTTAAGTTAAACTCATGTTGGAGCTAAGTGAAACAAAGTCCCTTTGTTTTCCTTCAGCACAAAAATACCACAATTTTTTTCTCAACTAAAGAACTTTTCCTTTTCTCCTTCTAATATTAACATTTATTAGTTGTAAAACTTTATGGAAAGTATTTAACTTAAGCCTCAGAGTTTGCTGAGGAATGCCCCATTCCTAAGAGAATGAGTGGAAATAACTTTCTAATAAAATGGCATACATATTCAGAAGTCCTCTCAATTTGGTTCTGAAATGCTACCTGTGATGTAAGCAAATACTGGCCTCATTATTCCTCTTCTCCTTTGGCTAATACAAATTAGAACATATGATTTAAAGTGGTCAAGTAGCTTACCGGAGCTTCACCACTATCTTGTTTCCTTAATACAGTACAGCGGCTGTCTGTAGAAGAAACAGAAGGTTCTATGAGGAAACTAAATATTTACATTACCATATAATATACTGAAGTCTTAAAACTACTTCAAGACCACTATCACAGACTACATTCTATTCCTTATTTGGTTCTGATAAACGTTTAGTTAAAAACCAAGGGTAGTAATGTAGTGGGGCAGGTGGCTCACTCTTATAATCCTAGTTATTAGGGAGGCTGAGGCAGAAGAATCACAAGTTAAAGGCTAGGGCAACTTAGTGAGACCCTATTTCAAAATTTTTAAAAAAGGGGTTGTAGGTGTAGCTCAGTGATTGAGCAACTGCCTAACATATGCAGGGTTTGGGGTTCAATCCCTGGCACTGCAAACAAAACAAATCCAAGGGCAAAATGACTAACTAAACATAATGTTACAGGTATGACAAATAAGATGTCAAAACACCTGATGAAATAATAGTCTTCAGTCAAGAGGCCCAAGGGGAGTTAGAGAGGGCTTTGGGGAAGAGAAGAAATTTAAGTTAGACTTGGAATAAACAGGCAAAGGGAAAGATGTGGCTAGAGCTGCATAAGCAATGGCAAGAGGCATGAAAGCACAAGACAGGTCTGGATATAGCAGCAGTAGGTGTAAGCTCAGAGGGCAGCTAGAGAAAGTGCAGAGAGATGGTGAATGTAATCTGCAGGCAGAACTAATATTTCCCTTGCAGAAAGCTTTCAGTAACAGATATTCTACAGGAGTCACCAGTAGGAGTAAGAGGAAAATTACAGGCATGAAAGCCAGTTTGGAGACTCCTGTAATAGTCTAATCATGGAAAGAGAATTAAGGTCTTGTCTTGGCTTAGGAAAATGAGATGCACAGGAAAGGACAGATTAAAGATAAAGCTTATTTGGACCTGGTGACAAACTAGTTAATACTAGTAATAGGGAACAGAACTAGTAATAGGGCAAAGAATAAAGGCTAATTTTAAGGTTTTTTGCTTAAAAACTAGATTTACAACAATGATCACTGTAAGGTCCTTGCTTATAGTGGACGATCAACGGTCACTTCCCCAGACATCTGGGTGGCCATCCTAAGGGACAGTCACCATTTTCTGGCTTCCTCATACCAACCCAACCCTTCACCACCCCACATTCTTTCCCACCCAAGGGCGTACCAACCCCACCCATAACTGTCCACATTAGGACCCACCTGGCTCTAATCCCTGAGCCTCTCCCAGAAAAGTCTTGAAATCCAAGCCTGTGTTGCCTCTCTTCTTCTATGGAGAGATGGCCTTTATTTATCAGCTCTGACAAACAAACTCACATATGTATCTCTGCCTGGTCTCCATCTTTCATTTATTGCTCTCCTGTCTGCCGGTTCCTCACTTTCCTTTCATTGGTGCCGAAACCCGGGATCAGGTTCCCCAGAGTGCCTGCTCCCCTCTTTGAGGGTCACTGAGCATCCCTGGGCCCTGAACTGGATTCCATCACAGGACCAGGTCCTCTATTCTGCCAAAAGCCCTCTCTGCACACCACCAGACATTTCAGGAAAGACCCATGTCTCCGGTCAACCTAAATGACCTACAGGTCCCGGAAAGTGACCGTTGATCATCTAGCACTCCCAGGGTTACTGGGTGGTTGGTGGCACCCTCAGCCACAGCTTTCACAGCTATGATCCTTATTGTCGACTAGTCTATAGGTAGTTTTTTGTTTGGGTCCTAGGTTTTGAGAAAAAAACACCGAGGATGATTGGGAGTTGTTCCTGGTGAGACAACCTCTCAGCTGTGGGTTAATCTCTACGGGCTTCTGCTCCTACTATGCAATCCCAGCTGGATGCCCAAGTGCCTCTGTGGGCTTCTTCCCCAAGGTCAGCGTTGGTAACGATCCTAAGCATAACTGTCCTTTTGACTAGGTGACACTACAGACTTGGGTACGCCCCACCTCCAAACTCACCTCCTCCATCTCACCATGGGTGGCTCCTCATCCATTCCCTTTCATAGTCCCCTAGGCTGCCTCCTGGCTAACCTTGGGCCTCTCTCTCTCTCTCTCTCACCCTGGACCTAAACCCCTCAAAACTTACCCACTTGTGCAATCAGATCTGGCCTCAATATCCTTTGGATAACTACTCTAAATGGCTGCTTAATGGCACTCTAGATCCCAATCTTATCAGAGATCTTTTTAACTATTGCGAGCAATCGGGAAAATAGAAAGAGATATCATATGTTCAGGTCTTCTCCTCCCTACGTTCTAAGCCCTCTCTCTGCAACTCCTGCTCTCCCGCACAAGTCCTCTTAGCTCTCACCTCCCCTTCGCCTGCTTCCAAAGGGACAGAAGACCCTACCCAGGACTCTTTCTCCTTTGACCCAGCGGATGAGCCCCTGCCATACCACAATTCTCTTTCTAATGAACCCTCTGCAGCAACTGTCCCCATACCCCTCTGTCCTTCTCTCCTCCTGCCACACACTCACAGGCTGCCACTGCCCAACCTGCATCTCTGTATCCTCTACACAAGGTGACTGGGGTACATGGTGTAATCCGGGTTCAATGTGCCTTTCTTTGTCAGATCTTTCACAGATAGAAAAGTGGCTTAGATCCTATACTTCAAGTCCCACCACACCACCATATATATGCCCATATGACCTTGTCTAACACCCTCCTGCCCGAGGAGCACAGGTGAGTTTGGGAGCCAGCTAGAAATTATGTTGATGAGGTACATCAGACCTCCCCTGCCATCCGATTGGCACTGACTTAGAAAGACAGCCCATAGGGCTATCAATTATGAAAGGCTCCAGGAAATCTTCCAAGATAAGAATGAAAACCTTCAGCATTTTTAGACCCCTGACCAAGGCTTTATTGCAGTATACTAATCCAAACCCTGAGACTCCAGATGGGAGACCACTACTAAGGACCTACTTTCCTCCCAGAGTTTCCTGATATTAAGGCCAAACTAAGGAGCCTCAAGAGGGGGCCCCTAACTCCTTAAGCTCAGGTTCTGGGAGTAGCCTTTAAGGTGTGTAACAGGAGAGATGAGAAGGACCGGAAGCAGAAATATCAGATGCTCTCTCAAGCCATCTGGCCGGGCTCAGCATCTGTCCTTGGTTCCACTGGCCTGTGGAAGTGTCCCTCGGGACCACCTGGACCCTGTTTTAAATGTGGTCAGACAGGTCACTGGGCTCATACTTGTCCTAAGCCTTGGAAGCCTCCAGGCCCTTGTCCTAAATGCCATCAGAAAGGACACTGGGCCCTGACTGTCCCCAGCCCATAGAGGCCTCCAGCCATCTGGCCCCTCTGGTTCCCCTTTCCAACTCTTAGGACTGGCTGCAGAGGACTGACGAGGCCCAGGTTCCCATCACCAGACCACTATCATCATTCCACAGGAACCCAGGGTAACTCCACAGGCCTGTATCCTTCCTCCTAGACTCCTGGTTACACATTCAGTCCTCAAGGAGTTCTGGGGGCCTACCACTCGTTCTGTGACCTCTATTGTCAGGGCAGAAGGCAAACCTTACCAGCCCTTGCAAACATCTAGACTTGTTTGTGCCTTTGGCTCTCTAGTTTTCGCCCACTCCTTTTTGGTCATTCCACAGTACCCTGTTCCCCTTATGGGAAGGGACATCTTCACAAAGTTGGGAACTATGCTTTCCTTCTCCTCTCATATATGCTTCCATCCAAACTCGCTGGCTGCTTCCCTGATCCACACCCTTACCTTCGGGACCTTCCCCTATTCTGTCTGTCAGTGCCTTCCCATTACCCCCGTCCAAGGTGAACCCTAATGTCCGGGATGTTTCAAATCCTTCTTTTGCCTCACAACATGAACCCATTTACATCCATCGCAAAACTTTCTGCAGAGCAGCCTTGATCACATTCTCCCATGAGCTTTTGCTCTCCCCTCCGGGGATTTGGGATCCTGGACTGAGGGCCCAGGATAATTACCACACACATTCTTCCATTCACCTAGCATTCTTCTTCTTCATCCACACTCCAGCCTCACTTGGGTAAGTGCCTTTGCCCTTCCCCTCCTACTCCCTATAGACAGCAGTGACAAGTCTCCTCCCTAGAACTTATATCTTGGCCCAGCACCAAAGTTCTCACCCATCCCTTCCCCTAGGCAAGTTCACTCTCGAGTCCTGGTTCTTAGCTCCTCAGCAGAGCTCAAGAAAGCCTGGGCCAGACAACCAGGCCTCTCTACGCTAAAGCCCGGGACTAGGAAGTAGTGGGTAACTCTATCCTCTCAGTCTCAGATGCCATCTCACCATGGGAACCCCCAAATCCCATCTGACTCACCTCTCAGCTGCCTCCTCACCCACTTAGGCACACTCTGTTTGGCTCCTGATCTAAAGGCCCATCAACCAATTCAACCTTCCAATCTTCAGGAAAATGGAAGAAAATCCCTTATGTGCAGGTTTTCTCCTTTCTCCACTCTAAGCCTTCCCTTTGCTTCTTTTGCTCTCCTGCCCAGTTTCTACTTGCTACTAAAGCTCTGGATTCCTCCAGAGACACTACTTCTAGACAAACAAGAGACCCAAAACTCTCCTACATTGTAAAACCCTAGGCAGTAATCTCCCTGGGCAAGACCACAATGAAACTATCACTGACAAAAGACAGACTCAGGAGACTTGATGGGAGGCCAAAGTGGGGAAAAAAAAAACTGTCAATTTAACTTTACCCTTGCCTACCAATATTGGCCACAGACTCTCTACTCATTAACAAGCCAAAGAAACTCACCTTTGGGGCCCCACTCACCATCCTAGCTCCCTAAAGGAACACCTCACCTACAAGGGCTTACATTCCTTACCCCCTGTCACCTTTTATCTCTACAGGTTTTCCTGGTGGAAGATCCCAGTTTTACTTTCCACACCTGCTCACCTTTAAACCCTACTACTCTCCTCCCCATCCTCAGGACTCTTCCACCTCTCCTCCTCTCACCCATTTCATGCACTGAAACTCTGGAGGAGCTCCTTCCACACTCCTCCCACATACAGGAGGCCCCTTGCTCCAGGCAACATGCACACGGTTCACAGATGGCTCCTCCTTCCTTCAGGAGGGAGTCCATCAGGCAGGGTCTGCTACAGTCTCTCTAACCTCCACTGTGGAAGCTGCTCCCCTCCCCAGTAACACATCCAATCAGCAGGCTGAACTTGGTGCCCTCATCAGAGCCTCTGCTTTGGCAAAGGGAGCCTTCCTCAACGTCTACACTGACTCTAAATACGCTTTCCACATACTTCTCTCCCACTCTGCTACTTGGAAGGAGCAAGGATTCCTTACCACCAAGGGAACTTCAATTACTAATGCTCCCTTTACCTCCGATCTCCTTCAGGCCTCAAAGCTTCCCTCTGCCATTGGAAGGATGGCAGCTAAGCCCCCTTCTCCAGTGGGCACTTCCTTTCCTGACCTCGCTCCCTGTCATAGGCCTTCTGTTAATGCTTATCTCCCACATCATTAGATTTATTCAAGACCAGATTCAAAGGATCTCTAACTTAACTGTGAACCAGCTTCTGTTACAGGACTTCCAACCCCTCACCAAAATTGGGCCATCTGGACTTAGCATCACTGGGCACCTCAAGACCATCACCATTGCTTCAATGACACTCCATGCCCCTAACATGCCCCAGACATGCCCCTAATAAGTCAAGAAGCTGCCCCTTCCCATCAGGAAGAAGCTATAGAAGATTTATCTACAATCCTGTCCCTTAAGGGGCCCAATAACAAACAAAAAAGTGTGTGTGGGAGAATGTAAGGTCCTTGCTTAGCATCTGGGTAGCCATCCTGAGTGACAGCTGCCATTTTCCTGCCCAAGGGCCTTTCTGGGAAAGGCTCACCACTCCCTCATACCAACCCAAAGCTTCACTGTCCTTACGAACCCCACCCTTAACTGCCCACATCAGGAACCACCTGGCTCTAATCCCTGAGCCTCCCCCAGAAAAGTCTTGAACCCCAAGCCTGTGTTGCCTATCTCCGTCTATGGAGAGATGGCCTTTATTTTTCCGCTCCACCAAACACTCTCCTGTGTGTATCTCTGCCTTGTCGCCTACTTTCATTTCTCACTCTCCCATCTCCCTGTTCCTAGCTTTCCTTCCAGTCACTAATAAAAGTTTAGGAAAAACAGGTCTTTGAGATGTGGTAAGTGGGTTTAGTCATTTTTCTTTGCAAGGGCCTTTAGCTGACTACACAGAAATTGTCTAGGAAAACATGCATCCAGATTTCAGAAGTAAAACTTGAGTCCCAGTAATCATGTCATTGGTGGAATTATTGAACACCCTGATATAAAAGATCAGTGGATTTTGAAAAGTTAATACTATCCTTCTTTTAAATAATAAGACATAATACTCAAAATGTCTGGGGTGAGGGTGGGAGACAGAGCTACTAGAGTTGAAAATCTGTTGAGATCACCATAAATTTGATTGGTAGCTTCTGACTCCATGGATGACAGCAGTGAAACTGGCAGCTAGATGTTCTGAGTATTTTAGGTATAGAACATAAGAATTGGGAAGAGTGGTCACTAAGAGAAAACTGTCTTTTGTAGTGGTCCTGTTGTGTGACTCAACATGCACCGGGTTTTGTAGGCTTAGTTTCAGGATAAAATTTATTACCAGCATCAATAAACTGATGGCACTAAATTCAGGCTATCAAGTAGCATGTCACCTCCCATTAGAAAACAGTATCCTGGAAAGACAAAGCCATCTATGTGCAAATGTTCATTTTGCTAAGAACCAAAACAAAAGCAAGCTTTTCAGTTTTTTATACTGCATTTGAACTTTATAATGCGTGACACTGTTATACAAGGTCATATTTTTAAATCAAATGGCAAGAAATTTGAATCTAACTTCTAACAACATACAGAGGAGACTGATAAGGAAAAAAGAAGAGAAGACTATTAGGGTGCATACACAGAACGAAAGATAAAAAAATTAAAAATTAAGTTAGAATCTAAGGATATTAGAATTTTGAAGTAAAACAGGATCAGAGATTACTGGCTCCAAATCATTTCATTTTTTTAAGGATAAGGAAACTAAAATCCAAGAGAAGCCTAAGAAATTAACTGCTAATTAGTCTACTCTGTCAAACTAGGCTCCATGCAGTTATCCAAACAGGCCTCTCAGCTCCCCTCTAAGCCACCTCTCTAAGGCCCAACTTCCACCTGTCCAATTCTACTTCCACTTTTACAGGCTTTCATAGGCCATCTCAAGATTCTATCCCTGCTCCACAGCTTTCCTCTAACAGGGAGAACCCAGTGCTGGGTTTTTCCTCCAAAGCCCTCAGCACTTTCATGCTCTCTCATCAATCATCTTTTCCAGGTGAACTGATTGTACTATAATAATTTTCACATTAAGTATTTAAATGAGCAGCTCCTTTGCAGATATTTTCTTTAAGATTAGATACAATATAAATCCAAGCTTGGTCCACATACCCATTATATCAAAGAATTCATCTAAAGCACTATGCAATGCTGGGAACTTGTCTCTGTGTTCTTCCAACAGCCATATTAAACAACGTGCTTCTTTTAATGACGTTGGTTCACAGAAGTAATCAAGTTGCTTTCCTTCTATAGAGGCTAGTTTATGGCCATATTTCTCACTCCAGAGGAACGTCATGATGCTAAAATCAAGCTCCTTAAGAGATGCTCCATATCGAGAAAAAAAAGGTCCCGTGGCATCTAAGCCTACAATGAAAACAAAATACAAATCACAACTGGGAAAAAATTTTTACTGGAAAATTACGTGGAGTTTCACATGTTTGAAAGTGGTTCCATTATAGTTTGCTTATATTTTCAGTGAAAATGTTCCAATACTTGAAAACAGACTTGTTTGAGTTATTATGCATTTGTAGAAACACCACAGAACACTAATATACTAAATGCAATAATTTTCAGTATGGTAAGCCAAAGACTTCTATCGTTACAAATATCTTTTTTTTTGCACTTAGGAGATGACAAAATGACATTATATTGCTTAAGAAAAATACTATGCTTTTGACTAATGTATAATAACTTTTCATTCTAACTAATAAACTAGTAAAATTTTACAATGTCTTTTTATATATATTCCATAGCAACGAAACATCAATAACATGCAAAATTTTGCCTAACTGCCTTTAATTCTTCCTCCAATATCTCCAAGAACTGCTCCTTATCTTCCAAAATATCATGGTTCCTCATCATGATACAAAAATCAAGGTGGTCACTATTCCTGTTTTCTTTTTAATATTTTTAGTTGTAGATGTACACATAACTTTATTTTTATTTATTTTTTTTACATGGTGGTGAGGATTGAATCCAGGACCTCAAACATGCAAGGCAAATGCTCTACCCCTTGAACCACAACGCCAGCCCATTATTCCTGTTTTTTACTCCCTGTTCTCCACATCAGAAAATAGGGTGGCTGCAACCTCATAAATTCTCACTGAAAGGATGGTGAATCTTCGTTCCTTCCTAACACAGCCACCAAAAAGCAAAGAGGAAATTCATACAAATTCCTCATCATACCTCTAAATACAGCACTGTCAACCATGCATGGGCCTGAAGTTCTCAAATCAGTAAATGGAGCAGCGATTACTAAAGTCAAAATTACCCTGGATTGCTCACTGCTGTTTCTTTCACATGAAATAGCTTACAAAGGACATGCTGCATGAGAAATCAGCATAAAACACCAGAATGGGTGGCCACATAAAATACTCATAGAACAAAATGTCCAAAGAAACCTCCAGTGAAGAAATATATTCACCTTCCCTATCCAATCTCATGTGCAGGCATGTGCTCCAGGAAGTGGGTGTAGGCCAACCATATTACTACTAAAACTAATATTCTCCTACTTGTGCTCTGCTATTTCTTTCTCTCTCCCTCCATCTTTTGCTGAACATATAAACTGGCCTCTCTTGTGTCAAATATTCACGAGGTGACTCCTGGAATTGGAAATTGCTTGCTTTAATTAAATGTATGTGAGTTTACATCAGGGCTACAGTAACATCTTTACTAATTAACAACCTTGAGCTAATTTTATACTTTAGTATATATACAAACTTATTAAAGTGATACCTTTACTCCTCAGAATATACATGGGTTATATCACAAGACATAGTCATATTTTCCTGCCAGTCAGCTGCGAGACTGCATTTACCTGAATAAACACTGACTGGCATTCTTCCAATGTAGTCTAACCTATAAAGCCCACTTCTCCAGTTGTGACTCTATCCTCTATGGAAGATTAAATTGTTAAGTGAGAACTTACGAATTTACTTTTTTATTGGACATTATCGGCAATCTTATCACTTAAGAGTGATTTTCTGAGACCAGAAACTTATTAAGACCTATGCTCAGAGCAGGAATATTAAGCTAACTATGCCAAGCTTGCTGCCATCTGACTTTCTCTCTACCAACAGAAATTGACCAGAATCTTCTTTGAAACCCTTAAATTCTACTAACTGCATTTCTATAAAAACTCAAAAAGGTGGGGGTAGCTGCTAGAAGCTGGGCAGGTGCTATTCTTGGGTCTGAGAGCACTGCTCTCTTTCCTGAGGCCTCCCGTAGACTTTTATCAACAGCTGCCAGCTGAATCAACAATCATGCTAGCCTAGTTACCATAATAAGTAGCATCTTGGGAGGTACCCAAAGCATCCCTACTCACAGCTACCATACCTGCAGGCTCATTCTGCAGTCCTGCATGGCCTTGGGCAAAAAGCCTGAATGCGAGGTAGGGGATGTCTTCCACATCCTTCCCTTGTGATTCAAAACTACCTACTTGAACCCCAAGGTACATTTCTTCTCATTCTTCAACAAAGATTTGCCTGAGGTGCTCCTAAACAATGAGTCCCATCTGCTTGTCCTAATTTTTCTTCACAGAATCTTAATCTTTCTCAACAAGGCTATTGAGCTGCACAATCCCAGAAAGTACTCAATAGCTCCTAGGTTCCAGGGTGTGTTGGTTATACAGGGTAGTGTCTAGTACTCACAAATGTTTAGTATAATACAAGTCTAGATTTCCCTACTGATTTTTATTTTGTTTAGATCTTTTTAAAAAACATACCGTCCCCTTCTATAGAATAACCTAAAAATTATGTGTGGATGGTAGTATTTTTCACCATACACGTGTATCCCACATTTAAAATATCATAAACGATAAGATAGGAAGATAAAAAGAAATCAGAGACCCTACATTTATCCTTCCTACCAGACTAGAATAAAAAGGGACATACCAAAGCTATTAAGTTTCTGGATCCAGGTAGCTAATTTGGGTTCCACTTCTTTAAGCTCACTCAAAACATGAAGAAATACCCTTGTCTTTACTCTATTCTTTTCTTGAATCAAGTGACGAATGACATAGTCCACTGCTTCATTGAGGAAATTTCTGCTAGAAAAACATGTTGTATAGTCTTCTGTGCTCAGAACTTTCCAAGAAAGCAATTCTTTGAGAAGCTTGGAAGGGTTCAGTATACCCGATTTAATCTTGTCAGCATACTGCTTTATGCACTGCAGAATTCTGTCATCAATGAACTGACAATTCTGACCACTGTCTACAGTTTCTAGGAATAAATAACAAAGGTTAAAGTGATAAATTACACTAATTTGCAATGGCGTAACATTATATTATACCATAAGATACAATTAAGATTGATTGCTTTATTTTACATAGACAACTCAAGAAACTTTAAATTAGGAATGTAAATATTTAACAATACTTCTATATTCTCTTCATTTCACACCATTCATGTAATAGCATCTAAAATTTTATTTTCTCTAAAATAGTTTTTTTCCCTCAACAATCCCAACCCAATCTCATCACCTCCAAAACTTTATACTCAAGAAATATTTTTAGTTCTTAAACATGCAAAGTTAAAATACATTTTTCAGTAGCAAAGATAATTATGATCAATCTGTAAAAGAGTATTGGTATATTAGATTAAAAAAAAGACAGCAAATGGTAACTATTTCATTTTGGAAATCCAGGCACAATGTAGAAAACTGAGAAAACTTACTTCAACTTAAAACTAAAAATAAATATACTGGTTAAGATGTATACAGGAATAGTAAAATCACCTATGAGACACCCCCATTTTATTAGAGAATGAAAATACAAGCTGTGCAAGGTAATCTCTAGGAGACCTTTTATGAACTGCCTCTTTATTTGAACTATTCCAGACAATTAGTAGTTAATTTACAGTTCAATATTTTGGAACTTAAATTCACATAGCAGATCGTACAATGCACGGTCAAACATACAATATGCAGGTCAGATATTATGTTCCAATTCAGTTTGAAGAAGAGGAAACAGACACAGTTTGCCTAGAGTTAGCAGCAGGACAGCATGTGAATCACTGTGTACTGCTTCTAAAATGATATTCTTCACACCAATCCCTTCACCATCTAAGAATAATAGAAGATAAAGATGCTAACTGAATTCTATATTTTAGTGATAGTATGAAAATACTAACTGAAATCTATACTTCAATTAAATAATAATATGAGCCTTATAATTCTGTATTTGTACGTTTAAGCAAATGCATACTATTCTTATCATGTTTGGAGTCTGCATACCTTTCTGTTCTTCGTTTTTGGGCGGATTACTTTCTCTTAAGTCCTCTTCCATTCTTTCTTGTGCTAATTTTTTTGCTTCTTGTTTTTGGATCTTTCTTTTCAATTTTTTGTCTTCTTTCAGTCTTAGCTTCTCTAGGCTGATAAACATTTACAATTAGTGATAATTTACCTTTGTTAAATGCTCAATGAACTACTTTCTGTTGCCTACTATAGAAAACATTCTCCAAGCAATAGGCTGTGACTTTTAATTAAGAAAGCTATGTATAATTTGTATAGATGTTATTTCCATGTACATAATGTATATAAATTACTTCCATGTATATAACATATATAAATTATTTCCACATATATAATGTATATAAATTACTATGCTGGGTAAATAAGAATAGTACATGTACTCTGCAAGCAAGATCCCATAATAAAATATTATTTTCACCCCAATAACAACATGGGAATTTGGTTGATTTGGTTACACTGATTTCTTTTCAACAAATAATTCTATACATCTTTTCTTTTGGTTTTTCTTGGTCACAAATTATAAGAAAAAAAATCACTTTTTAGGATGAAAAACAAGAAGCAGGACCGAAAAGAAAAGAAAAAAGGATTGGAATTATTTGATCTGAACAGAAAGATACAGAGGTGAAAAATTTTGACAATACACTAAGTATTTCAAGGTAAGAAATAGTCATTGGTTCAAAATGTTTGGTGGAGAAACAAAAAAGCAAAAATGCTTTTGAAATTAACAGCCAAAAGCTAAATATATAATTTTTGTTAAATGCCAAATCTGTTGATAAGTAATTTCATAACATGAAATGTTATAATTTTACTTACAAGTTCAACCGCTAAATAGTGACTTTTTCAAATTTTCAGTATTTAATCATTCTAAAGCTAGTTCTGTTTTAAATATACATAAAAATAATTTTAAAAATACTTATTTATATATGTGTGCACAGCCAATTTTAAAAAATAGCACAATTTAGAAATCTGCATTTAACAGAGTTATATTCTAAGAGACAATATAAAAACTACTGATTGATTGTTAAAAATCTTACCTAGAACATTTCTGTTTCAGAATAGGTCTTGGAGGAACCTTTTCTTTTATGACCTTGTGTTCAAACTTTAAATAAAACAAAGACATCCAAAATTTGTCTCATACTCCCATGACATAAAGCACAAAACCACAAGTAACAAATATTTCAGAAGCACACACAATGTTCAATTTGATAGAGAACAGTGATGATGTTTTGACCCAGACAAAAGCCCAGAAAGCTTTAGCAAAATAATTTACTGAAAAGAGGAACAAGAGAGTAGACACACTTTATGAAGAAACTTTAAATAATTAAGGGTAAGCAGAAGATCCAATAAATTATATATTTTATAATTACCCACTCCTGCCACATTCAGATGGTGAAGTTAAAGGTAATCCCTCAAGGCACTCTTCCCCTTCCCTAAAACCCATACCTCCACCACTACCCCTTTTGGGGTATTAATAAAATGGAAGTTATCAAAAAGAGTAAAACCAAAATATAAAAAGTGTGCTTTTCCTAGGAGGAAATAAAAGAATGTGAAAATGCTTCACTGCAATGCATGTCCTAATATTTATTTTCTTAAATGATATAACTTTTTTTTTCTTACAAAAGACAAGATTCAAATCACACAACTTCCTCAAACTTAAAACATTTTAACAGGTGTAAACATTTTGGTTACAAATTTAATAAAGTTTCTCCTTTATTAGATACTTACTTCACATTTAACTTGACCACCACTGCTAAAGATGATAATCTTAGAAATGATACCTTCACAGTCAGGGGTAAGACAAATTCCTTGTAGAAAATCCTATTTGATTTAAAAGAAGAAGAATGTTATGTGTAGGAGGGATAAATCTATGCATGTATACCATTTTTTTAAACTTCGTTTTTAGCTGTAGAAGGACACAATACCTTTATTTTATTTATTTATTTATTTTTATGTGGCGCTGAGGATCGAACTCAGTCAGTGTCTTACACATGCTAGGTGGGTGCTCTACCACTGAGGCACAATCCCAGCCCCAACACATCCACAAAGTACATTCAAAATATACTATGAAATTTCCTTTAGGGAGGCAACGAAAGTGCCTGATTGCTGCAATTTCAGAGCCTTCTTATAGGAAGACTGTATCCACACGTATGGGGCAGACCTGTCCCTGTGACTTGCTTTGTGGTAAAGGAAGTCAAACTGCCATAGCATACACCAGGTCTAAATGAACACTCTAGGAAACACAGTGTGAACTGGCTATTGTTCTTTTCCCTCTGATAAAGAAACATGTTCCAAAAAAAGTACAACTTGGATTTGGAAATAAAGAACATGGCCACAGAGAATAGACCCGGCTGCAGCTCAACCCTGGCCAACAACTACAAAACTTCAGGACAAGTAATATAACCAAGAAAAGACCCTCTCATTGTTAGCCACAAAATATTTTGGTTGTATATTACTTCAGCATATCATAGTGAAAGCTGACTAATTAATAGAAGGTATTTAGAATTCTGGGAATGGTTAAGACAACTAATGGAGAGTACATAGCTTACAAAACTCAATGTAAGTAAAAAGACAGTAGAAGTGGCTCCAGGGTTACAGTTATATCTCTAGCTATCTATGTGAAAATTAGTTTCTACCAAACTTACATAATTCCAACTGCTAAAAGACACCTAATATAATCACATTTTTTTTTCCCACTAGGGATAATGGTTTGCATAGGGCTATACAGTATTAAAAAGGCTTTTTTTTTTAAGTCCACAGATTATATAGATCAGAAATAAACATTGTAACAAGGAAATATGACTGTAAAATTGTGCCCTCTTCCAAAGTATTCTAACTAATGGATTAACCAATCATTATATTGATAATAAGAATAAACCCCTGAGAAATGGCAGTATAAAATTTAACTTAATTTCTTAGGACAAATTACCTTAACCAATTTTGGCAAAAAAACTAAAATGTTGGAACCTTAATTCTACATCAACGCTTTCAATCTATGATGAGCTAAATTGTCAGTGCATAATTTAAGATCTGTATTTTAAAACAAGAAAAAATCAAATTTTTATTTCTGATCATAACATCACAATACAAAAATTAGTTAAATAATCTTTTAAAGGCCTCTACAGTTACTCCCTTCATACTTGTATAAAATTTAAAAACTCATTTTCCACTTTATTGTTAAAATCATAACTTAAAACTTTCTAATGAAGTCTAGAATCCTCAGGAAGGAATTTATATTCACTTGAAGACTTTTTAAAATTTTTTTTAAACATTCAATACACATATTTAAAAAATCCAGACAATCTTTATTGCGGCTTACCTTGTCAATTTTATCATTAAAGGTGGTTGTTTTTAACTTCTTCCAGCAGTTCATGTGAAATTCTATTTTACAATACTGGCAACAGCTGATTCGTATAAAACCCTGGGTTTCAAAACATTTTAATTCACATTTTAAAGATGTCTACGCACATACACTTACTAATTCCCTCATAGCACACATATTAAGATAAAAAGAACTGTTGCATTCACTTGGCAGATATAACTAGATAATCTATCTCCTTGAAGAGGGATAAAATACTCTGTACTACAAAATGCTGAGTTCTATAGATATAGAACTTGGCAAACATCTTCATTTCCACAGCTGACATCTGCATTATCCTTTACAGAATATCAAATATCTTAACAAACATTTCATCTGATCTACTAATCTAAGAGTAGGGCAGTTATCTTCTTGAATAAACCAAAAACTTAATCACTTAATTAAGCATAAGTTAGGTTTTTAGGGTTTAATTCAGTGATTGCACTGGCCTTTATATTCTTGAACTCAATTTTTACAAGGCATTAGAAATCCAACAAATCAGAGGTAACAATATCACTTTGTTTCCTATGTTCCTAAGGAAGAGGCAGTTACATGAAACATGGCTAGAGGAGGAAATGAAATTAGCTAGCCTGTCATCTATGGTCACCATACCAGCCCAAAGCATTTATTTCAGTGGCCCTGGCTTCCCATGGTGTGAGATGACCTAAAAAAGTCCAGGGTAAGGGGCAGGCAAGGTGACAACTTGGGTGCCTCCAATTACAGAATTTATTCTGGATTCATTTTTAAGGCATGACTTTGCAAGTTAATGTTCCATTGTACATTTCATTTTTTACCTTAAAGTCTGGATCAGTTATGTATATCTGGATTTTGGAATATCCACGACACTTCTGATAGCAACAAATAGCATCTGGCACTGGAGGGAACCTGCATTCTTCAACAAATTTCTCTAACAGCATCTAAAGCAAAATAAGCAAATCTGATAGTGTCACAACACTGATTTGTCAATAAAAATGCTTGTGATTCCTCTTGCCATCAAAACATTTTCAGCATAGAAATGAATGTTTTTACCCAGGACAAATTATATGTATACAACTTTTAAAGATTTTCCTTTTAAAAGGAAGCTGATACAAAGATATGTAAACAAAGAGAAATGAACAAATTCTTGTTTTCAGAATTTCAGTCAGAATCAAAATCTTGTCCTCTGTTATCATCAAAACTGGTTTTGTAATTTGTAGTTTTTAGAAATCTACTTTAAGAATCAAGAGGGAAGCTGGGTGTAATGGCGCATGCCTGTAATCCCAGTGATTTAGGAGGCTGGGGCAGGAGGATCACAAGTTCAAGGCTAGTCTTACCATCTTAGGCCCTAAGCAACTTAGCAAGAACCTGTCTCAAGATAATATACAAAAAGGGCTGGGAATGGCTCAGTGGTAAAATATCTCTGGGTTCACTCCCCAGAAACCAGGGGAAAAAAAAAAAAAGGAAAGAATTAAGTCGAATAATTAAGATAAAATAAGCCTTAGGGCAAGCCTGAAAATCCTATGATTCATCTCTTTCTCAATGTAACTTGATCTAAAATCCTAACACTACCATTCATCTATCTCTGCCACATGTGTTTGTTAATACTCTAGAGAATTAGAAGCCCCCAAGAGACTAACACCATGCTTTCAGTACTGGTTTTTTGTTGTCAATAACTTGTATATCTTCATCCCAATATGGTATAATGAGAGGAAAATCTAATAATCTCTGTGCTTTATTTTTCTGTAACAGCTTTGTTGATATAAATATAATAAAACTTACATAAGAGTACAGTTCAGTGGCTTTTAATATATCCAAAATGTTGTACAACCATCACCAATCTAAATTTAGATCATTTTCACCATCCAACAAGGAACTCAATACCATTAGCAGTTCCTCATCTTTTTCCCCTAATGCCCAGACCTAGACAATCTATTTTCTGTCTCTGTATACAGATTTGCCTATTCTGGATATTTCATATATACAGAATCATACAGCATGTGACCTTTGTGTATGGCTTCTTTTATTTCGTACAGTGTTTGCAAGACTCATGCATGTTGTATCATATATCAGTACTTATTGTTTATTCATCAGTGGATACTTGGGTTGTTCCCCCTTTGGGGCTATTATCAATTGTGCTGCTATAAACATTCATGTACAAGTTTTGGGGAGAACATGTTTTCCTTTTTTTGTACAAATCTAGGAGTGGAAATGCTGTGTCACATGGTAACCCTATGTTTAACTATTCGAGGAACTGCCAGTCTTGTTGTCCCAAAGCAGCTGCACCATTTTACATTACAAACTGCAAAGTATGAATGTTATAATATTTCCATACCCTTGCCAACACTTAATATCTATGCATATCCTCAGAGTGTGAACCAGTATCTCACTGTGATTTTTATTTGCATTTCCTTAATGGTTAACAATATTGTACTAATGGGTTATCACTATATTTTCTTTGCAGATATGTTTATTATATACTTGTAAATTCGATTATTTGTCTTTTACTATTACGTTGTAAAAGTTGGCCCCTGTAATTTTAAAAGCTTCATACAAAAGCAAGTTCTGGTACATGAGACAAAATTTAGTTTTTCCAGAATTGGTAAAGCATCCATATGGCTCCAGAAATGACACTAAATTCCTAATTCAATTCATAAACTCAGGTACCATCTCAATAATGATATTAATATAATAAAACAGTAATACTGTACCTTCCTCTAAGTACAACCAGTACAGCATCCTGCTTAATAACACATGCTCTAATGTCAGAATGCCTGGACTCAAGTTCCAGCTTTACCACTTCCTTGATGCTTAACCATGAGCTCATCACTTCACCTATCTAAACTGTAAAATGGAAATGATCATACTACACAATTCTCAAGGCTGCTGTAAGGAAAATGTAATGATGAATGGAAAGTGTGTCACTAGTACCTAGGAAACGTGCATTAAAAGTCATTGTTTCTCTTTCAAGGGAGAATGCATGTCAGGGACTGTGAGGAGAGTACTACTGTCTGTCTTTCAACACCTGCATCACTTAACATGGATGGGCATTTATAGCTAGCAGGGAACACTCTCAAAAACAAACTGTTACCTTTATTTTCTCTGGCTGAGACTCTTCAATAATCACATTACTGGTGGGCCAAGTTAACACTCCTGGAAGACGACAAATTAAGGTTTTTGCTTTCTCAAAGTGATTGAGAGCTTCTAGGAATCTAAAATCAGAATTAGGGAAAAAAAAGACACTGAAGATGTGATGTGATATTTTCATTTACTACAAGAGTTCGCAAGACCTAGAGCTTCTTGGTAGGAGTACCTTCAATAAAACATCAGATGGAAGTATTCAATGAACACTAAATTTCCTTTAAATAAAACTAAAGTTTATTGCTGCTTGCTATTACAGTAATATAAACTAAATATAACTGTGTCCTGGCCTTTGCCTTTATCATGGTAAGGTGCATGCTAGTCCTTTTAAAATGCAACTTTGTTCCATTCAAAAAAAGATACTGAAGTGTTGGATTATGAAGTTAATGAGGGCTTTATTCTCTTTAGACTAAAAAAAGAGATTTCCTGCTTTCTCCAATCTTGAAACTATTTTCTAATTTAAAAACTTACTTTTGCCTATACATATGTAAAGATTCATACGTAGGGCTGGGGTTGTAGCTCAGTGGTAGTAGAGTGCTTGCCTTGCATGCATGAAGCACTAGGTTCGATCCTCAGCACCATATAAAAATAAACAAATAAAAATAAAGTTTAAAAAAAAGCCAATAACTCACTGGACAAAAAATTGAAAAAAATAAAAAGATTTATATGTAGAAAAGCTAGACTACCATCCACCATAAGATAATTATCAATAGCAGGATACAAATGGTACATTACAATGCCAAAAAGCAGCTATTAGACTTTTACCCACATCATATTACTTAGGAATTAAAATGTAAATGCCTTTCAACATGGCAAAGACTTTTCAGTTTACCACATTTCCATGATTTTACACATTTATGTTTCTTTCCTGGACCTTGTGAATACCAGCATATCACCGTTGCATTAAACAAGTATGTCCTAACAATTTACACTACACTTTGAAATTAATTTCATTTGCTATTACTATAAAGGTGATTGCTAAATCCTATTTCCCTTGTAACTACTTGATCCTTTCAGACCGATTCAAAAGTAACTTCATGAAGTAAAAGAATTTTCTTTAATCTTTAAAAATCTACAAAGAGGTTCCAGGCACACTCTAAGATTGGGTTTCCAAGAATCTCATAAAACTTTCCCTAAAAAGTTAGATGAAAATATGAGGAAAATTAAAAGTTATAAGAGATATTTCAATCAGTGAACAATTATTTCTTTATAATGTAACCTATGTATATTGAATGCAAGTGGTTGGAAACACATATTTCTTTTTTTAAAGCCCAAGACACAATCCTGTTCCTTTAAGGGTCATACAGGCAATCTGGGGAGACAAGACTAAGAGCAATGAAACATTTAGAGAAAAGTTGTATTTTGAACTTGGAATAAGGATTTCTACTATAATAGAAATTCAGAAAGGTTTTTATGCTTAACTCATGGTGTGTTTAATATCATGTTAACTTGTACCTTTTATTAAAAACACTTTCATACAATTTTTTTGGAAATAGGTGCTTAACATCAAAATGTATAAACCATATTTTAAAATACTAATTTATATCAATTCAGTCACCATTTATAGATGAAATATACAAATGGATATTAAATTCTTCATGGTAAATACTCTATTACTGACTTTCTTATGAATTACAAAATTAAGAAGCATCAAGAATTGCACTGATTGATCTTGCTTTAATACTTAATATTGATACTAAGATGTCAGCTCCTCAAAGTAAATCACAATCATAATAGTGTGCCAGACATAAGGTAACAAAATAATTCCAGAAAAAGGATCATCATCACATTAAGACTTCAAATTTATCAGCCTGGAAATTAATGTCATTTCTACTAACCTGTTTTTTTTTAAATATACTTTTCCAATTCCACAATAGGCCAAGCAATCAAGTCCCTCATTGGGGTAGTGTTCAATAATCCTTTTAAACTGGTTTTCAGCTTCAGATAATTCCTTTAATAAAGGTGAGAACAATAATCACTTATGTAAGAAGAAAAATGTTAAAATAGACTTTACCCCAAAGTTGATTCCTTTCATGTAATATTAAAAAACAACCGTATATTAAAAAATTCTTATGGAAAAATTATACTCTCTGCATTTCATTTTCTTAGAAGTTATACAAATTTCCTGTAGCTAATCAGATGAACATGGAAACCCAGGAATTCAACAAATCCAACCTTGCCGAAAATATAAGACAGCCAACTATATAAACGTTTCTTTGTACACACAAAGTGATGGCCTATGCTGGCTAATACTATAAGATGTAAATTCATGATTAAAAACACACAAATACAAACACACACATGCACACACATTGTAATCTACATCCTATTAAGTATTGCTCTCTTAGACAAAAGCTATCTTAAAAATAGCCCTAAAAAAAAAAATAGCCCTTTAGAGGCATTCCAAGAATGTCTGAAACAAGGGCTGAACTGTGGTCAACACATGGCTTCCTTAAGGGTCTATGCTGATGAAAATCTTTTAAATGCATAAATTCTACCATATTCATAGTTTTTTTTTTTTAATTTGTCTATTTTACAGTAAATCATGAGTATAACAAACTATTTCTTCAATTCCAATAAGGGAAAGCATGACATTTATTATTCTGTCAAGAGAGAATTAAAATCATGAAGTCCTGTTTCCATTGATATATTATAAAACAGAATTAGACAGGCATTAATAGAAGGCATTCCATCTGTCACATCAAGAACAAGGAAAATGAACCTCAGGCACTACAGATTCTCAGAAGTGAGTAAAACATGAACGTCAAGTTTGATCTTAACTAGGTAGCAATTTAGAGTTGAACTTTCATTTTATCAGGGAAGTTTAGCATCCAAGTTGGCAGAAAGGATATGTTATAATACTTGAAATCATTCTAGAGAACCTCAAACAAGGTTATAACACTGAATAGCACAGGTAAGTAAGCATCCCAGGAAAGTAAAAGAAGAGCATGAGTAATGGGGACCACTAGAGCTCACACCTACACGAAGACCATATGCCATTACCTGAATCCTGCACTTAAGAATTAACCAAACACCAAACTACTCATCACCCAGAACTAAGAGCTATTAAGTATGGTCATGTTTACTTCAGTTTTCTAATAAAACAGCATAACACAAAGTTGAGATCTCCTTTCTAACTTCCTCAGGCCCATTCCCTCTTTTATCAATAAATGTTGTCATTATCTTAAATATGATAAACGGGTAGTCCATGATTTTTTTTCAGTTTTACAAAATGCAGAGATATCCATAAACAATATTTAGTATTGTTCTATACGAAATTATACACTAGTGTTATCACAATGTTTGTGTTCTCCAACCTGCTCTTTTCCTTCAACTTTATGTTTTTGCAATTTGCTTACCATGATATATTAGATTCTTTATTTTTTATGTAAGTAAGATGTAGAATCCCAGTACTGCAAGCATTACTTTTTTCTAATAGGAATACAAAGTTTTCTTTAAAAAAAAAAAAGCACAAACTATTTAAATTTAGCTATTTCAGCCTTTCAAGAAAGTACACAGAAGGAAATGAGCCAAAATGGAAAAACAGTTTTTATATATCTTACAAAACCAATATCCTATTTTAATTGTTTGTTCTCTGTGTTACAATCTTACCTCAGGCTGTCCTATTCCAAGCAGAGAAATGGCAAGTCCATATACTACTAATACATAGTTAATCATGGCCAGGTTCAATTGCTGTCAATAAAAAGGCTTTAGTTAAAAATCTAAACATAAATCTGCCAATTTACATCACATTAACCTTCTAGCCACAACAGTGTAATAACATCACTAAACAAGTATAATTACATCATTCATCAGTATGATTGAATTAAAGATCAAATAGAATTAGAAAATATATTTTGCAAATACAAAACTGTTATATTCATATCAAGTATTTAAAACACAAAATCAGTGTTGGGGTTGTGGCTCAGCGGTAGAGTGCTCGCCTAGCATGAGCGAGGCCTTGGGTTCGATCCTCAGCACCGCATAAAATAAATAAATAAAATAAAGGTATTGTGTCCAACTACAACTAAAAAATAAATAAATAAATAAATAAATAAATAAAACACAGAATCAGTTGTTTAAGGCATAGTTCATAATAAATTAGAATAATTTTTAATTAAAATCATATGCTTTTGCATATGTTAGTAACAGATTAAGTAAGATATCTGCTCTTTCACAATCTTGCTTAAGCTACTCATTTATCTAGTTAATACCTTCTTGCTGGATAAAAAAATGCAACCTAAAAGTGAGTCCAAATTCTTGATTTATTAAAAGTCTCCTTTTCATAAAAGTAAAGGCCAGAAGGTTCTGATAACCCAAACAATAGTCAAAAAGAGAACATAAGCATGGATCATACATTGAATGTAATCACAAACTCTGAATTGGGATCATCACCTATGCCCCACAACCTGGAGGAGATTCACCTGCTCCCAGCCCAGGTATAACGTATATAAATTCGAGTTAAAGCCTTGATTTTTTCTAAATTCATCTGAGGTGCACTGGTATTGATAAACAAGTTATGATTTGGCAATTTTACCTTTATTTTTTGAGGATCTAAACCATTTAGCAACTCTGTAAAGGCCTGCGCAGCACTTCGGCAACGCTGCTCCAATAAGGCTGTGTAACCATCTTGAATTAAGCTTCTTAGCATTTTCATTATATTAGCAAAATCCTACAAAAAGGAAAAAAAAAAAAAAGAAAAAGAAAAAGAAATTTTATTTAACTAGTGCAAATCTACAGCTTTTTAGTTCAAAACTTATGATGTTAAGTTCACATTAACACTTTATAAATGATAATAAATATTTAAATAAATACTCAAACTATGCTTTATTCATCATATTCCTTTCTCAGCACAGCACTGCCTCATTATCTTCATTCCTCTGCCACTGCCCATGAGAGGAAAGTTTGATTCATTTTATTCTATACAGTGCAAAGCTTTGCTTACTTTTTCAGTCTATACCAATAATATTTTAAAGTTTTAACAATGTAAGAAGAATACCAAACATCACTAAATAAGTAAATTGTCTGGGACTCCAACAATTAGACACATAAGAACACACGACCTATGTACCCAAACAATCAGATTTTAACAACTGTCATCCTGTGCTGAAACAAACATTAATTTTAAGCAAGAAATACGTATTTCAATTGTTAACTACTCCTGCTTCACATGTACTTAAATATAACCAGAAAAAAATTATTGAGAGAGTACAATATTAAATAAAAGGAAAAACATAAAAAATAAAAACAAAATTGACATAATATACTCAAATAAAGTGATAAACTCTTTGCAAGTTGAAAACATATGTACACAAACATTATAATGTGAATTCAGATTTTAGTTACATGGCAATAGCCTTAAGTTACAAAAGTTCCACAAAGATGACAGAGGTAAGACATTAAGATAAAGTCTCGTCATCCTTGCCATACATGTGTACACCATTCAGAGAACAGAAAATACTAATCTAAACAATATACTCCTCACTGTTCCTAACAATAAAGACTCAAAAGGTAAACTGCTTGTAGAGTTTAGTCACAGATTAACAAAAGATTCCTGACGGTTTCTAGCCAATGAACCAAAATATAGGACAACTTTCCCCAAAAATATGATGGAAAAGAACAATTCTCATATTAACCTGGTTATCCACTATAGTATTTAAAACACACATGATAGCCACATTTGTTTTAAGATGTGAATTTGAGATTACAGACCATGAAGTGCTGTTCTGTCAATCACTAGTTATTCACCTTTTTTAAAAATATTTTTAGTTGTCAATGGATCTTTATTTTATTTATTTATATGTGGTGCTGAGAATTGAACCTAGTGCCTCACACATGCTAGGCAAGCACTCTTCCATTGAGCTTCCACCCCAGCCCAAATATGCTGTTTTAATCTCCTTTCTTATTCTAGGAACAGATCCACATAGCCTTGGAAATTATTTCCCTTAACATACATTAACATAGGATATCTGTACTGTAAGTTTCATCAAAGCAGGTTGGACAGTGTCAATGCAGACTCCCTCTGTCTGCAACATCTGGGAGGGGCCCAATAAAAACGTATTGAATAAACAATGGGTTCACAAACAACTATCATAAATAATCTTTTTACCTTCACAGGCTTTTTTTTTTTTTAAGTCCTTCAGGGTTTTTAGAGTCAGTAAAAATATAAAAACATATAATTAAAAAATCTCCAACTGTTAACAAATTCTAAAACTGCTTTTATTCAAATGATTAGAAATCTGTTTCAGTCCTTTGCAAGATGTTATATAGACCTAAATAATTAATTGAATTTTAAATGACCCATAAATTTTGAAGCAATTATCCTATTCCATGATATAAATTTTCATCACTAAATAACATAAAAAGAATTTACCAAGTTTATTGTTAAAGTAGGCATAATGAAACTGCATATGTTTAAATCATTTTAAATTATCCAAATCTTTGAAAAATATTTCAAGTTAGTATTACTATTAAATCTCTGGCAAGAAATTCTACAGTTCTAACCACTGGTTAAATCTCTGGGTAACAATTTTTGAATTAGTATTTAAATTAATGATAGTCCGGTTTCTTAGCAAGCATATATTAATTCATGACCAGAGCTTTGCTATTTCTACTGGAAAAGCTTTTTCCATTACCTGGTGTGCAGCTCTGGAAGATTTAGAAAACTGTTTCTCCAAGATGTTTTTCAAATCAACTGGTAAAGTCAACTGTGAACTAGAACTAAAAGAGAAAAGCATGTTTTAAATCATCTTAAAATAAAACAGTCCTGTTTATATAAAGAAAAATACGGAGTAAATGGACAGTCACATGTGAGTTCCTAAATAGAAATATTACTAAGACACTGATTTCCCCAAATTACTCTCTAAATCCAATGTAATTTCAATAAAAAGTCCCTATAAAATTAGAGAAAAAAAAATACCTGAATTTCTCTGATTCATTGTTTCGGGATTTTTGTTTTCCTTTATGTTTTGGAGGCTGACCTGTGAATACAAAAGCATTTGTTCCTGAGATCCATACATAAAAATCCACAAGCCTGAGAGCAAAACAATAAAAACATATGTAAATTGGAATAAGAAAGCCAAAAAGCAATACTGTGTGAGAGCATAATTACGAACACGTAAGCCAGAAAGGAAGGCAGGCACTGATGATGGTATTCTATGTATGATGTAAAATTATTACAAAGATAAATTATAATGGTGATAATAGTTATTTAGGTTTGCAGCAGATACAGAGAGATATAGGCAAGTGCTCCTATTCTCAGGCAGTTTACAATCAGATGGGAAGAAAGGACACAACTTTTTAGTAATGAAGATAAGAAAAGACTGTGCCATTATTGACACATTAATTCCACAGCCAGTAACTTCTCTCCTAACTACAGAAGGAAGAAATCACCCATCTAAGGCAGTGTGGTTGGGGAAAGGGTTGGTGAGGATGCAGCCTTTCTTTGGTCTTAAGATGAATGATTTGGACAGACTGGTTGGAACCCAAGAGTAGAATTCATTTATAAATACTAAGTAAACCTGTACAATCTAAAGAGCTCTAGCACGATAGAAGGCTAGAAAATGACTGCAAAGGCAGGCTGGTGTGAGTGTTCGCAAACCCTTTTGCTTCAGATACCCATGATTCATCAGGCTAGCCTTTATCACACTGGCAGGAATACAAGCCTCTGTGTAGCAGGGGAGTGACACATTCAAAGCTAGGTGGAAGAGTGAGCATGGCAGAAGGACAGAGAATATGTGCTAGGTTTGTGGGGACAGCACAGAGCCAATCAAGGTCAATGAAATAAGAAGGGTGGAGCCCAAGCTGGCTTCAGTAGCCTCAGAAACGAAAGGTACAGGAGTCTTAGTGTGATTTCTGCTTTGTGAGGTTGGGCAAAACTATTTAACCCTAATCATGGGATCTCAAGTTCTTTTACTGAACATGGATACTGATGAGTAAATAGTATTTAAATGTTATTTAAATGTATTGTCTGTAATAATGGCCTAAGAAATATTAACGAATTAAAAACTGCCTTTCTAAAAAAAAAAAAAAGCTTAATCCTCAAAGATGTTTCACATGGTGTTGGAATCACAATAGGTAGGACAAACACCTACGTTTCCCACTCACTGTAAGCACACTAATTGCTAACCAACTGCAAATGTTCAGTACTAAGGGGTTCAACATGTGGAATTAGACCCCAGAGAAGACAGAATGTAGGTAGTAAAAGATAAAAATGGATAGAAACAAAGCCATTCAAAAGAAAACAAACGAGAGAAAGTAAAGAGAGCAACAGGGTATCACTAACTGGAGGCCAACAATCCACTTCAATAACCCTGAAAGGTACTCTATATGAAAGCTTGAGATAAACAACTATTGGGTATAACAACCTAGAATCATTAAAAAAAAAAAAAGTCTCTATTTCTTTAAACTCTTGTTTAAAAAACAGAGAAGCATGTAATCCACTTGAGAAAGATTTTCCTCAAAATTAAAACTAAACAGGAATTAGCCTAAAGCATTCTTATGGGCTGAATGTGTTGCCCCAAGATTTGTTATGTTGGAAATCTAATCCCCAATGGTTTTAGGAGGTAGAACTTTGAGGAGGTGATTAGGTCATAAGGTAAAGACCTTGTACAGGAATTAGTGCCCGTATAAGAAGAGGCCCCAGGACATGCCCCCATCCTTCTATCACGTGAGGACACAGCAAAAAGTTAGCCATCTACTGTTGGGCACAGTAGTACACCCTGTAATCCTAGCAACTCTGGAGACTAAAGCAGGAGGATCCCAAGTTCAATGTCAGCCTCAGCAACTTAGCAAGACCCTTTCTCAAAATAAAAAATAAAAAAGGCTGGGGATCTCGCTCAGTAGTAAGTCTCTGGGTTCAATTCCCATTATCCAAAAAAAGGTCATCCATTAACCAGGAAAAGAGGCCTCACCAGATATCAAAACTGCTGGCACCACAATATTGGATTTCCCAGCCTACAGAAATGTGAGAATTGAATGTTTGTTGTTTAAAGCTACCCAGTTTATAGTATTTTTGCTACAGTAGTCCCAAAGGACTAAAGTATCCTTTTTTTTTTTTTTTTTGGTGCCAGGGATTGAACTCAGGGTATTTAACCAGTGAGCCACATCCCCAACCCTTTTAAATTTTTTTTTTTTAATTTACAGACAGCATCTCACCAAGTTGATTGCCTTGCTAAATTGCTTAGGCTGGCTTTGAACTTGCAATCCTCCTTCCTCAGCCTTCCAAGATGCTGAGATTACAGGTGTGCGCCACCACACCTGGCAACAGACATCCATTCTCAACAGGAGTTGAGTATTACCCCAAATACAGTAAAAAATTAAGTTGTTGGGAGATGAAAAAGGCTAGTTCTTTTTATATATAAAGCACAGATGAACATATTGTATGTAAACAGACAAGCAGTACATATGGTATTAAAAATTTCAGAGGAAGATTGATTAGGGGGAAAAAATGTAAAAAAAAAAAAAAAGAAAGGCTCCTGAGATTAAGGAAAGGGAGATAATAATGAAAACTTACAATAACAAGAAACAAAGGTGGCCTAAAAGTGATTAAGGACAGATCAAGAAATGCTATGTGCTTAAGTGTTCCTTTCCATTCTTCTTATTGAAGTTCAAAAATTAAATGTATTAAGTAATGAAAAGACCGAGCATTGATTTCAAATACTCAATGTTTTCTTAACAATAAAAACTGCTATGTTTATGCTGAGTGTTCCCTAAAAGTCCATGTGCAAAGGCTTAGTCGCTAGGGTGGCAATATTAAGAAGTGCTGTAGAATCTTTAAGGAAGTTCGTTAAATCGCTGGAGAAATGCCTTTGAAGAGGAATATGGGAGCCTGGTCTTGTCTTCTCTCTCTGCTTCCTGGCTCAGGATATAAGCAGTATGCTCCACCACATTTCCCTGCCATTGCAATCCACTGCCTTACCAGCACTGAGCCAATACAGGCACCATATCTTCACATCTCCAGAACTATGAGCCAAAATATAATTCTCTTTACGTCATAGCTAGCCTTTGCCAAATATTTCATTATAGTGATGGAAAGCTGACTTATACAGAAGCATTATAAATTAAAATGAGAACAAGAGCAAATATAAATGAGGCTTGTACAAATTTTAGGGCATAAAGTTTAGATAATACTACGACAACTCAGCAACAATTTATATAAGAAAAAATACTCACTTGGTGGTGGTAAAAATTCAGGATGACAGTCACAATCATCTACCTTCAAAGCCTCATCTACCACCTGCCCATGAAAATAAAACTAGTGAGACTGTAAAAATAATATAGCCATTTCAGTTATACCAATCCTCAGCATTTATCCAAAAGAACTAAAGTCAACATACTATAGTGATCATGCATATCCATGTTTGTAGCAGCATAGTTCACAATAGTCAAAACTATGGAACCAGTCTAGGTGCATCAATGGATGAACTGATCAAGGAAATGTGATACATACACACAATGGAGTTATACTCAACTATAAAGAAGAACAAAATTATGCCATTTGCAGGAAAATGTATGGAACCTGAGCACATCATGTTACGTGAAAGAAGCCAGACTGAGAAAGTCATGAGTCATATGTTCTCTCACACTTGGAAGCTAGAGAAAAAATAAAGAAAAAAAGAGGACCGGTCTCATGAAAATAGAAGAGAGACCAGCAGAGTAGTGGAGAGGGAACAGGGTGAAGGGAGAGGAAGTACTGGGGAATGAAATGGACCAAATTGTTATATGCATGTATGAGAATGTAACAATGGATTCCACTATGATGTATAATTATAATGTACTGTTAAAAAAAAATAAGAATTCAATGGCCATGTAATAGAATTTGTAGAATATGATAGAATTCACTCAAGCACCTAAAATATGCATCTAGTTACTAAGTCTAAATGTATAAGCAAGCATACAAAATGATAACTAGTGACCAGAGATCAAGACAAATGACAAATTCTTGAATGACAATTCTTTCTCTGATTCCTAGAATGATGTCTCTTGTGGCAGCTATTCAACAATGACTGAACTGAATATTACCACATTATTCCTGTGCTCTTCTCCCTAAATTAATACAGCTTCTTGGAGATTTTCAATATTACCAACAAAAGGACTTAACGGTATATTAAGAAAGTTCCTTTCAATGCCCATCACCCACCCAATGCCAAAACATCATGATCTTTTCTTTCCTCAAATCTTGAAGAGAAATATAATGTGGACTTAGTGATAGCTGCTGAGTGTTGGATGTATATCACAGGTAGAGGAAAACTCAGACACATTTATCTGGGACACCTGACCTCAGAGGCAGGCTAGAAGCCTTAGTGTGGTGCTCTGAAGAAACCATGAGACCAAGATTGCTGCTGAGCACAGCCTTGAAAGGGCAACAGAAGCTGTAGATACACCTTGGCAGAGGTGGGGAAGGAGTGCCTCCTAGGCACCCCAGCTTAGCACAAGTTGGCTGGTGAGCTGCTACAGTGCCAGGTCACAAACAGATTACAAATCAGAAAAGGGAGAAAAAGACAAATCCAAAACACAGGGAGGGGCAGAAGTGACTTGGCCATCAGACCCCATTGTCACTCATTCCTGAGACTGGCTGGGTGACCTAAAAGGAGGGTATAAAAATGGACTAAATGGCAAAATTATATCTAGAAAAAAATACTTTTAATATCTGTAAATATAGTCAGGCTTGACAGTACATTCCTATAATCTCAGCGACTCAGGAGGCCAAGGCAGGAGGATTCCAAGTTCAAAGCCAGCCTCAGCAACTTAGAAAGGCCCAAAATAAAAAAAAATAAAAAGGCTGAGGATGTGCTTAACTCAGTGGGTAAGCATCCCTAGGTTCAATCCCTGGTACAAAAAAAAAAGATATGTAAGTGTGATTTCAGAAGAAATTCTGTGACTTTAAATATATTATTTTTATGTAGTTGTATGAGGTATAACTGGTTGTAGTTGTATGAGGAATAATTGCACTGGGGATGTGGTTCAGTGGTTAAGCACCCTTGGGTTCATTCCCTGGTACCAAAAACAAAACAAAACAAAATCTAAAAAAAGAATTATTTTCTTGATCTCAACAAGTAAGAGTTTATACCACCAAAATAGTTGGTTTCCACTATCAACAAACATGTTACTTTTAATAGCTGAAATAATTTTAAGTTTTTAACTGAGCTTACCTTTAGATTCTGATTACCACCGTTTGCCATCTTGTAGTTAGTTTTTTTGAGATCTCTTTCTGTCTCCACAAAGTTAAGTGAAGTACTAAAAGCAGGTGCTGATAAATTCCTAGGTATATAGGCCCTAAAATGGGATAAAAGGAATGACCCCTTTATTCCTACTAATTAATGAGCATTTTTAAAAGTTATCCTTCAAACAAACAGGTTGCAGCAATTATAGCCTTTCTTCCTTGAAAGCAAGGTACCACTGTTTTGAAAAGATCCTCTACCTCTCAGATAAGCCTTTATACATAAGTAGTATTTAAAACCAGTTCAAGACTAGTATTCTGGGTTCTAATATTAAAATAAATAAGTCTTCATGTTTCACATGTTAACAGCTTCACTATCCTGTGTACTTATAAAGGGAGAAAGGCTTAATCTATTTAAATTGCCAAATAAGCAAATGTAGAATCCTGGCTATTTATTTTCTTATAAGCATTCCTAAATCGATCTGTACTCTTTGAAAAGTATCAAGAGGCTGGGGCAACGTTTCCAGGACAGAGAGGAAGGGCATGAGGCAAAGGCTGTGTATCAGCTCTCTACTGCCAGGACCCCGTGACCAACTGCTCCCCGTCAAGCACAATAACTTCAAATTAACATTCCACTCCTCTTTTCTCACTAACTTAGGCTACTAATCGTCCAAGTCGTTCAATAAAATAAATCTGACAACTCACAGGTTACCTGATATTTTGTGTGCAAACACACACACACACACACCAAAAAAAAATAGAACCCTCTTTTTCTTCCATCCCTAAATTTACTATAGTTGCGATTAAGTTTTTTAAATGACAAACACAAGTGATTCTTAAGTTCACAGAGCAAAGTCATTCCAAGTAGTAGCTACTGATCTGATATTAACTCACCTGCTTTCATAAAAAGCTTTAATTGGATTCTTATTTGGTGTTCGACCTATAAAAGTCAATCACACACACACACAGAGTAATCAATGGATTGGCAACACAGACTTCAAAAGATTTTCAAATTTCCTTTAAGCTGAGTAAGAACATCAAACAACTTTAGAAAGTTGAAAAATAAATCAAAACAATTTTACAATTCTAGATGTCAGTAATTTCAGAATGGTGTCAACAAACTGTTGTACACCATGTATGACATCCCACTGCATGTGATTACTGACAGGATGACAGCAATACATTGATTTGAATCAGAGACAGTACCTGTCTTCAAGGAGCTCACAATCTAAGAATCTTGTTAACAGCTGGATGACAACATCTGCTAGTTACAAAACTGCTCAGCTCAGCTCCATAGACACTGAATACCCAAAGAAGAAGAAAAAAAAAAAAAAAAGGAAAGACCTAGACACTCAAAGTGTAAAGAAATTTTTTCAAGCACTGAGAAGGAAAAATGACTAAGTACAGAAAACAAGGTTGAAGAATGGAAATTTACAAGTCCTAGCCTGCACAGCCAATTTCTGATTATAGATGTTCAACATGCTACAGAATTATTTGCAAACTTGGTGCAAACAAATTAAGCAACTCTATTGAAGGGCCTTTTCTTTTAGAAATAACTTAAATGATGAAAAGTTTTACACAATTTCCTTTCAAAAGCATTTATTTTATTCAAAATTTCTGAAAAGAATATTTTTCTATAGAAGAATAAATAATAATTTGGTTACTGGCTGTTTCAAATAAAAAATACAAATCATGTATAATAACCTAATGGAACATATTACTAACTCTACAAAAGAAAGATAGAAAACGTAAGTAACTTGAGGATAACATAACAAAATAAGCACAAATCATCTGAGAACTGATTTATGATCCTCTGTTAATCCAAGAAACCCACCTTTGAAACTTTAAAGGGAATTCAACTGTAACCAAAAGAATCTTAGGTGAAATACCTTGTAGGTCTTCTATTTGTTTTTGTAACTTTACATGCTGCTGAATTAGATCCTTGATTCCCTCAGGGTCATTTTTACAGAGTTTTTGAGCTTTTATGTTTGCTTGCAGGGCCCAGTCATATTCCCCCAGCATAGAAAGAGCAGCACAATAACGATAATGACCCTGTTCCAAAAAGATAAATTTAATTTTTTTCTCAAAAATATGCTTAAATTAAATAATAGGTAAGGAAAAATATTGTTTGAAAATGAATTAATTAAAATGTTAGATTAGGCCCCTATCATGAAAAATAAATAAAAATATTAACACCTCAAGAAATAAAACTAATGAATTAGTGGAATGTTAGGAATAGGCAAGTGATTTTTAACAATTAACTAGAGATAAATATTTTTGCTTAAGAGATTCTGGTACCCCAGCGAAGTATTTAACTTCTGTTATATTTTACTAATAAAGTACTAAACACAGTATTTTGTGAATAAAAGTAATTCGTTATAAGAAACAAATTTTAAAAAAATACTTTAAGGCAATAATATTCACTAAGTCATGACGTGCCCTACACTTTGGAAATCAAGATTTTGGAGCTGGAAGGAGCAACCAGCTTGGGCAGCATTCCCAGCACCTCCAAAAACACAGGCTCAAATAACAAGTGTAGTCAGGCTAACTCTTCTTTCCATCTCTCCCCTTCAATCAGCTTTTATTTTATCTGTAAGTGTAGTTCCTAGCTTTAAGAAAAGGTCCAAAAATCACTGACTTTATTCTCAATGCAAATGGTAAGGTTTTGGCTTTTTGTTTTTGTTTTTTGCTATAGAACCCAAATCCTTACTGACTCCAATATTTGGAAAATCCATTATATCTAACATCTTAGTCTAGAAAGCGAATAATATCAAACCTGGGGCTAATTTAACTAACCCGGCTCCCAGTTATTCACAAATCAAACTTCCATTTTAGGTACCATGTCTCCTCTAGAGAGACGATCTACCAGAAAAAAACAGGCCAGAACCTGGCCTTGAGTCACAGTTAGAAACAAACTAAAGAACAATGATTTTATGACACCTAGTCCAGATCTCCTTCCTACTTACTACACATTTTACAAAGAACATTCTGATTAGATGAGAACCTGGGAGAAAATCAAAATAAGTGAACCCTTTAAGTGGAAAAATCAAAAATAAGTGAACCCTTTAAAAAGGAGTAGTTTTTTGCTTAAAAGAATCACTGGCATGTTTATTCAGAGTCAGTACTGTGTTCTTGTGGACCTATGAATTCTGAAGATTTTATTCTAAAGACTATGCATTTCATTAAACTCTGCTTCCCCTTAGAGGGTAGAAGTCCTGTTTCCTGACACCTGCAGTAAAAGAGGACAAAGAGATCTCTCATATATACTAAAAGGTGGAAAATCCTACCACTAGATATTTGTCAACTTTCAAGTTCAGATTACTACATTTAAAAAAAATAAACACAGAATAGAAATAATGTTAGATCATAAAACATATCTGCTAAACTTGTAGTGAATACTTTCTTCTTTTCCCCTACTATTCTCACCACCTATTGGATCTTTTTCCCTGGACCCCATATAACTTCTGCTGGTTGAGAGAGCGGTTTATCCAGCCCCTTGTGCTGAAGCTTAATGAAGCTCAGATTAAAGTATCTCAGTTTCTTGAACCAATTACCGATAAAAATTTTTGTTCTTCTTTGACACTCACATTCTCTATCATATATGGACATTCCCTACTATCTGTTGGTCTAGCATCCCCTCACCTAGGGGTAAACATTTTCCACTCCTCATAGATATGGCATGGCAGTACTATCAGTTTTAGTGCACCATCCCAACAAGGAATAGCGGCTCTGACTGGTCAGTGGAAACATACCACTTCCCAGGTCACTGTAACTGATCCACACGGGGACACATGACCCAACTGAAATCAACCTGAGCCTTAGGCTTATTATATAGATACTGACAGGGGTTTCTTCACATTAGAATTAATAACTATGACGGATATTGGTTTGGGGCTCCTACTACAAAGTCAAAAAGTTTTTTTTTTTTTTAAATGTGAATATGCTTTACTTTCTCTCTCTATATATATATATAAAACTGTAAAGTTTAGAGACGATCAGGGTACATCTAGAGTGGAATGTCCATACACAGCCAAACAAAGGCCTATACTTGTTCTATTCTTTCTTGTTTTTTTCATGTATGACATGCTTCTGCCTGTGCATTGGTGTATATATGGTATGCAGTCACTTTTTGATAAAAATCACTTAATTTAGAAGATAATTGGAGAGGGAAATTGTCAGTTCATCCCTCATATTGAAGGACCATAACTTATTCCCAATGATTAAAACTTTATCCTGTGTATGTATATTATCTCAATAGCAACGGGGTATATTTCTTTTTTTTTTATTGAGTGATTTAAAAAAATAATAAATGACAGTGGAATGCATTACAATTCTTATTACACATATATAGCACAATTTTTCATATATCTGGTTGTATATAAAGTATGTTGACACCAATTTGTGTCTTCATACATGTACTTTAGATAATGATATCTATCACATTCCACCATCCTTGCTACTCCCCTGCCCCCTCCCTTGTCCTCCCACACCTCTGCCCTATCTAGAATTCATCTATTCCTCCCATGCTCCCCTTCCCTACCCCACTATGAGTCAGCCTTCTTATATCAGAGAAAACATTCAGCATTAGTTTTTTGGGGGGATTGGCTAACTTCACTTAGCATTATAGCAGCACAATTCACAATATCTAAACTGTGGAGCCAACCTAGATGCCCTTCAGTGGATGAATGGATAACAAAAATGTGGCATATATACACAACAGAATTTTACTCAGCAATAAAAGAGAACAAAATCGTGTAGGTAAAAGTCTTTTTTTAAATGAAGCCACAAGAACCTATGTTCAAACTTCCTTTTCTGGCCAAGATGGAGTACCAGAGACCAGATTTACCATCCTGCCTAAAATGAATTTTAAAAACAAAAAAGATATGATTCCCTGGCTTATAAAACACTGGACACTGGGCAAGAAAACTGAGTGATCCTTGAGAGAAGAGAAACACACAAAGTAAGACTTAAGACTGCTCCAGCTTACTGAGACAAACCCTCAGCCCAGGAAAAAGTCACTACTCAAAGACTGGCAGTCTCTCTCAGCTAAGGAGAGAGAGGTGGGAGGCAGGATTAAGGCAAGCTTGAGTTCATGAAGCAAGGACCATAGAGGGGAGAGCTGCCGAGAGAACTTCAAGGAGTCCTCAATGGGTCTTCAGCTGAGCACTGTCAGCACATGTCTGTGGGAAGAGCTCTCAATCAGGGAAAGAGCTATCAGAAAGGCTAATAGTACAAGAGTCGGACTCGTACATTACTCCTACACCCACAAACCTGAGTGGAAAATGTCAGAATTCAGGGAGCATTAAGTACTCAGAAAGTTTTGCCTCAGTAGTGAAGGAAAAAGTTAGCCTTAGGTTAATGACACTATGGCCCCACATAATAGAGCTTAAAACAAGATTATAAAAAAACTAACCTCCTTGTATGTTATTTCACTGTATTCCAAAACAAAGCTCAAAGGTAATCAGAGAAAATGAAAGATATGCAGCACTAAACAAAGTAACATTCACAATGTTGAATTCCAATAAAAAATGACCAGGTATGCAAAGAAAGGAAATGTGTTCTATAGTGAGAAAAATCAATCAACTGGAAGCCCATAAATGACACAAATGATGGAATTCAGGATATTACAACAGTTGCTATAATCACATTCCATACATTGTAGAAGCAAGTAGAGACATGAAATATAAGACCCAAATTTAATTTCTAGAGATAAAAATTAAAGTATTTAAGATGAAAAATACCTGAATGTTAAGAAAGGCAAATGAAACATTATAGATGAAAATATCCATGAATTTGAAGATACAGAAAAAAAAACTTTGTAAAATCAAACAGAAAAGAGAAAAAAGAACGAAATATGAAACTGACAAAACAGGGAAACACAGCTGAGAAACAGAAGGACATACACAGCTCTTGCCCAGCCACCACTGAAGCCAACCCCTAGACTTCTCAAGTACAACAGCCTACAGATTCTCTCTACTACCTACACCAAGGACCTGAGTCAGGTTTCTATCGTTCACAAACAAGAATCTAACATACCCTTCAGAACTCCGTCTCTTGAGGACTTTAGTGAGTCTATTATTTTGTATCTTGTAAACTACAGCAAAACACAATACGCACAGAAAAATTAACATATCTCTACTGACTATACCATAAAATTTCTCATTTTTTAAAGTACAATGACTCATCCTCTCTCAAGCCTGAAAGTAAGTCTAGAGACAGGTGACCCTCTAGTAGTCTCCCCTATCTGAACCAAAGGAAGCAAAAATGGCCCATCCCCATGCAGAAATGGAAAGTACCTGCCTCTACAGGTTTGTCTCTTAGAGCTGTGACCCCACAGACTTGGGCTCATACTTCTCAAACAAAACATTCTTAGAAAAGTAAAGAACGCACCTTGCACACTCTCCTTTTTTTTTGGCACTAGGGGCCTCAGAGGGGTTTAACTACTGAACCACATTCCCAGACCTTTTTATTTTTAATTTTGAGATTCAGTCTTGCTAATTTGCTCAGGGGCTCACACTAAGTTACTGAGGCTGGCCTCAAACTTGTGATCCTCCTGCTTCAGCCTCCTGAGTCTCTGGGATCATAAGTGTGTGCCACCATGCCTAGATGCATGCTCTATTTTAGCTTCTGAAGTAAAAATATTCTTCAATGAATATTTCTATCTGGTAAAATAAAAAGGAAAAATAGCTTACATATATAGTTACCGAATTTTGTGAATACTTAACTAGTGGTTGTATTTTATTAATCTATGCAAATTTTTTGCAATCATATGACATATCATAAAACATCCCAACTTAAAAATTAGTAAATATTTTGTCTGAGAAACCAAACCAGGAACACTCTATGAAAGTCTTCAAAAATAATTCAGAAAGCCTTAATATTCTTCCCTAAATTTGATAATAGATTAAAATTTGCAAGAAGTATCTCTGGAAAACCAGTATCATAGACTGGGTTTCAGTATTCAGAACATTATCAATTCATTTGTTCTACAAATATTTATAGAATACCCACAAAATGCAAGGTGTAGTCATCAGCAAAGATACTGTTTCAAGCAAAAGAATGACTCATAATGGAAATACCAACAAATTTATCACCCTCTAATGCAAGTGCCATCCAGTTTCATCCTTCACTTGCAATGACACCTTGAAAAGTCACTTCACATCTGTTGAACTCAATTTCTTGATGCATAAAATTAGACATTCAAAAAATTACTCAAAAACTTAGATGTAGAAGTCCACCTGGAAAACTTCATCATCTCCAGACCACTAGATACATTCCTAGGCTGCCTAAATTGTAACTTTAGGGGAGGGTAAGAACATCTTTAAAAGGTTCCCAGGCTGAGTCTTCCCTTTTACTTCACAACCTTCTGTACTTTCTCTTTTTTTATCATAGCAAATTAGAATATAAAGAAAAAATATAATTTTAACAACACTAAACAAAATAAAATTAAGTCCTTCAAAGAATTTAATGAAGTCTATCTGCAAAGCAGTAATGGAAGTATGAATGAGAGTAATTCTCTAAGGCCCTACTCACTGTAATTTTTTTTTAAATTATGTAAAATCAGAAATACAGTATGAAAGACATGTGCCTTTGTGTGTCTTATTTGAATCTTTACTTTGAAAAACTTTTTGAATATTTTTACAAATTGGAAAAATACAGAGAATAATGTAACAAACACCCATAATTTTGTTTTTATAACATTTATAACATTATAACATTTTGTTATATTTGCTCAGATTCTCTTTTTGTTGTTGTTGTTGTTGTTGGTACTGGGGAGTGAACTCAGGGACACTCAATCACTGAGCCATATCCCAGCCCTATTTAGTATTTTATTTAGAAACAGGGTCTCACTAAGTTGCCTAGCACCTCACTTTTGCTGAGGTTGGCTTAGAACTCACGATCCTCCTATCTCAGCCTCCTGAGCTGCTGGGATTACAGGCGTGCACCACTGTGCCTGGTCAAATTCTCTTTTAATAAGAAAAAGGCAATGATATCAATATGGCTGCTTTGGAATCTCTTCAATCTCCTTTCCCTCCCTGACTATCCAAATGCAAACACTATCATGGGTATTGGGCTTTTATTTATTTTTTCATTTCATGTTGTTTTTCAAATCCATAAATGTTGATATGCCAGTCAACTACAATCTAATATTCAACTACTCATTTACTAAGTCAACAAATACTACTCCTGAGTGCCTGCTATGAACCAGGCAACTTGTCAGACAGTCCAGATTTAAGAGCAAACCAAACAGATGAAAAAGCCTTTCCCTGTAAAGCCCACATTACACTGGAAGTCACAATAAACAATATAAATAAATAATGTAACAATATTGAATAGTGTAACAATATTTTCAATAATATGCCAAATGCTAAGAGGAAAAAAGGGAAAGAAGATAGGAAATGTCTCAAAGGAGCAGGGTTTGCATTTTAATAAGATGGCCAGGGAAGGTTTCATTGAGAAAAGGATGTTCTATAAAGAATGAAAGGAAATAAGGGAGCTAGCTATGTTCTAGGGGGAAAGTGTCTGAGGCAGAGGAAAGAGCAAAAACAGAATGAAATGGGCCTGGCCTGATGGGAGCAACAGTGAGGAGCCCAGAGAGAGTAGCAGGAATGAGGTTTGAGGAATGAAGGGTGTTCAAGATGGGAACAGATTAAACAGACCAGAGTAATAACTTTGATCAAGTAAAAATACCAACTCATCCACTGCTTTATCAATGGACATTTAAGTATTTGAGATTTGATGCAATTAAAACAAGGCCACTATATATATATATATATATATATATATATATATATATATATATATATATATATATGTAAGAAACACTATATATATATGTAAGAAATTTTCTAGTTTGACACATGTGAAATGGAGTAATTGTTAGTGTAAAATCAAGTAATTATGAGGTATGCACATCAGGGTGCTCTCCAAGTTGGTTGTAAGCAATTCACACCTCCATCAGTTTATAGAGGGTTCCTGTTACTACACACTCAGTACCAATACTCTGGACCCTCAGTCTCTTTAATTTTTGCCAATGTGAAGGATCCCAACACTATTGCGTTGCTTTATTTACTCATCTATAGGTGGGTCTCTCTCTTAGAGGTCCTCTATTTTTCTCTGTTGGTTTCATTTTTCTATCTTTGTACCAATCCCCCACAAGTCTAATTACTAAGAAACAGATTTTCAAGTTTCTTATTTCTACTAGCCAATCAGGGTTTCTTGTATGAAAGTATTTGTTTCACTGGCCCTTTTTCTACTGGGTTCTTATTTATTCTAGGAGTTCTCTGCATATTCGCAATACAATCCTATCAATTATATATAAATCCTATTAGTTATATAAATTATTGATGAACAAATGATCTCCTCCCTGCTTATTTCATTCATATCTTTTATGTATATAAGTTTTTAAGTATGATGTAGAAAATTATATCAATGTGGTTTATTTCACTGCTGATTTATACATTGTGTGTTACTTAAGAAATCCAAAGGCTGGGGTGCAGCTCAGTGGTAGAGCATATACTAGCATGAGGGAGGCCCTGGGTTCCATTCCTGGCACCAAAAAAAGAAAGGATGAATGCTTTCCTCTAGTTCCTTAAAAGTTTTAAAGTTTCATTTTTCACATTTAGGCACACCTATCACTTGCAGATATTACCTCTCAATTGCTACAGCCCCTCTATGCTCTCCAAGACACCTCATGCTGGCACACACACATTCTCAGCCTCTCACAGCTACTGCCAAATCTCCATAGTGGTAGTGGAACTGAAGCATCCCCTTTCCTATTCTTGATAATTGAATCCAGCACTTTTATATATAAATACACATCCCATATATTAATTTTCACAAAAACATATAGTATTACTGGCTCAATGTAAAAATACAAAAGAAACCTACCTTTGGCCAAGTGCTCTTCAGAATAATGGCTCTCTTTCCATCACCAAGTGCATTTCTAAACAGAAAAAGAAAAAATAAAATATTTAAACATCTCCATTCTTTTATTTTTGTAAAAGTACTGTATATTGCTATCTATTTTTATGTTCTGAATTTTCCATGTATATCATTTAGTCAAATACTAATTTTTTAAAATCCACATAATATACGTCCATTATAGGAAATTTGGAAAATACAGAAAAGTAAAACAAAGGGGAAAAGTCACCCAGAGTCACAATCACAACAACCCAGGAATAAGTATTTTCAGCATTTCTGGAGTATTTCCTGCATATATCGTATCAACATCTTACCATATGCATAACTGAAAATTTGTATATTTGCGTGCAATAATTTTGCCTTTCAATAATAAGACTTCTGTAGCCAAAATTTTAACTCCCAGGTCTTGTTAGCTAAGCTATACGAACAGAGCATGCATTCCTGGACAGAAGGCCTAAGTTAAGTCCAATTCAACTGCTAATTCTCCTGGGGCCTTAAACAAGTCATTAATATCCCTGAACCCACCTTCTCAACTGTAAAATGAAGATAATAATTCTTTCTTTTCTAGCTGTTTTGAGGTAGATGCTAAGTTAGAAAATGTAAACATCAGTATATGCATACTCAGTCTCTCAGTTGCCTGGCTTACCTTCAACAACCTCCCATACCTCAACTCAGTCATCTACCATCACACCCCTTTGGCAAAACTTAGCATCACTCAGAACTGTCAAACTCCTAAATCCACCTGTGAGGGCATCCAACTCTTACTGGTTAAACTATTTCCTACTATCTTCTCAGGGGGTCTAACTCATTGATTTGCCTGCTTTCTCTTTTTCCTATTCCCCTATTTATCTGGTTTAAAATTCATTGGTTTATCATTTTGTATTCACACATATTAATTCATTATTCTTAAAAAGAGATTATAAGGAAGAACAAAACTAGGTATCATACCACCAGATAGCAATTCCTAGTAAAAGGCTATATACAAAAAAGAAAAAAAAATTAAAAAGTATGTAAGACAACTTAACCAACAGAAAACAAAAGAGAAACCAGGAATGGATTTGACACAATCACCTGATTTATGACAAAGTGACACTGCAGTGCATGGAGAAAATAATACTTTTTTAAGAAATGGTGCTGGGTCAATTGGACAGTCATATGAATTTTGAACCCTACCTCACATGAAATACAAAAATCAACTTCAGAGGGCTTGCAGATCTAATTATCAAAGTTAAAATTGTAGAAGAAACAGAGGACACCTTGGTGGCTTTGGAGTAAGCAAAGACTACACACAAAAAGCACTTACCATAAAGGAAATAATTAATAGAACCTACTATATTAAAATTAATAACTTCTCAGTGAAAACATCAAGAATGAAAAGGTACTGAGAAGACATCTGCAACATAAGTCTGACCAAGGACTCATCCAGAATACAAAACAATACAAAAAAACTCCCACAAATGAATAAGACATTCAACCTAGGAAAAATAAAAATCGAGCAAAAGACCAAGAGAATATCCAAATAGTCAATAAGCATATGGAAAAATACTCAACTTAAATATCCTTACTTGAATTATAGAAATGCAAATTAAAATTACAGTGCTATATACTCCCACCAAAATATCTAAAATGAAAGATGCAAAATGATAAGTGCTGGTGAGGACATGGAACTGAAATTCACATGTTGCCAGTAAGACCATAAAGTGATAAAACCACATAGGAAACTATGCAGTAAGGCTAAATACAAGCATACCTTCTGTCCCAGCAATTCAAGTCCTCGATTATACACTTTAACAAAAATGGATACATACATTTACAACACTATCTGTAAAAGCCAAATACTAGAAACTACCAAAATGCCCATCGACGATAGAATGGATAAAACATGGTATATTCATGCAATAGATGAACACTTTACAACTACATGCAACAATATGGATCTCAAAAAGAATGCTAAAAGCCAAACACAGAAGAGCACATAGTATGCAATTCCATTTATAATTGCACAAAGACAGGCAAAACTAACCTCTGGAAGTCAGAACAGTAGTAATACAGGGGAAGGACTTGGGTAGTGACTGGAAGGAGAAACAAGGGGGACTTCTTAGGTACTGGGTCTGTGATGTGGGTGGTTTCAGTTGTTTGGTCTTTGAAAACATGTATTAAGATCTTAAAAAAAAAAAAAAAACCACCTACAAAGAAAAACTATCTTTTTTCTGTTGGAGACCATTATCTGGTTTGATGTCTGAGCCACAATGGCCACTCTGCCATCCTGAAGGGACAGCCCGCTGACCAAGTGACACTCTAAGGCTGGAAGAAAACAGGTCTCTGATTACACTGTTCAATAATCTTAGAACCACCTTCTTTTTGAACTTGTGAATGAGATTGTTTTCTTCACCATTTACACCATTTGCCTCAGTTTGTTTTGTGAAGCCCAAAATATCTTAATCTAATGGCATACCTCTTAAGCTTCAGTCTCTCCCCCAGCAAGTTTACAAGTTACCTACGCTAGCTGTCTCCATTTCTTCTCACTTTATTCAACTCACTCCAACCACCTTCTGTTCCAAGACTCCTACTAACAGATCTACTAGTAAATGATGATCATGTTGCTAAACCAAATTCCATTGAACTGGCTTCAGAGCAGCCACAGACTCCCCTGGCAACTCTCACTCACTTCTATGACACCACACTTAGTTTCCTACCTACCTCCCCAGCCACTTCTTAATAGTCTCCTAGATAGGTTCGTCCTTCTCTTGACTGATTATTTGTGTTACTCAAGGGTCAATGCTGATTCCTCTTCTAGTCTCAGATCTGCTAAAGGCCAGCAGGTCTGAAACTTGTTTACACATTAGTACTATCAGAGGAGATTCTAAAAGCCCAATGCCCAAATTTGACCCTAGATCAGCTACACCCTAGCATCTTTGGGTAATCTTTCTTCAGAGCTCAAATGATTCCAATGTGCAATTCAAATGGAGACCTTCTTCCCTAAGCAATCTCACCCATATCTACAACTTCAAATCATCTAGGTCAACTATCCCAAACATGAGTTCCACACCCACAAAACTCACTGCTATATGATATACTAACATGGATGTGTCACATGCACTTCAATTTAATATGAAGTCAAATTCTACCTCCAATAAATGTATTCATCTTCCAGTGACTGACCAACGTCATGAATGGGCCCAGAAACCATTAAGACAAAAACCTTAGACCAATTCTAATCATTGCCTTCTCCTTCAAATCCCTACACCAAACCACAGACAATGTCTGTCAACTTTCTCTCTAAAGTACCTTGAATCCTTCCACTTTTCCACTTCCACTACCATTACCTTGCTCCAAGCCATCATCATCTCTGACCTGCAGTCCTACAACAGACTCCCAACCCACTTCCATACCGCATCCCCCTCAAATCCATTCTCCCCATTGTACTAATGGTGCTGTCTCCCCTTACTACAAAATCCTTTACTTTTTTCTCTACCACTTTTAAAAGCCAATAACCTTGATGTAGCCTACAAGATCTAGTGCCAGATTGCCTCTCCCTCTCCTTTGTCTTCAGGCCACCTGGGACACTATCAGTTCCACAAATGCAACACAGCCCTTCCCATCCCAGGCCTTCACATTTCTGGCCCACTGTTAATAACACAAGGACTATGTGTTTTTGCTAATTTCTGACATCAGCCAAGATTTTTTTGAAAGAATCCCAAGAATTTGTTGAATCAGGACTGAATGCTACTTTTAAATTAATGCTATGACCATAATTGTATTACATTAATGTTATAATTGTACCATATACTATAAATATCCAAATTTTTACTAATATATGAATATATATTGACTATAAATTTTCACATTTACTACCATTGTGGCCAGATCCTACTATTAAAGCAAAGTGAGCACAGTAAATCACATGGGGCTATGGCTCATCCAAACCAGTGCAACCCTAATCACTCTGGTGAATTGGTGAGACTTTGGCAACAGAAATACCGTGCAACATACATTGATGACAATGGGAAGATACAAACAGTTACTTACTATTGGTAACTATGTAACATGGTCAGAATACTAGATAGAGGGTAACAACCCATTCTAGCTCAGGCACTCTAATTACTATTAAATAGGAAAGTATGTTTATTTCTCTAAACACCCTACTACCTCATGTACACAATATGCTACATTTTGCCCTAAAATAACATTAGGAAAGAGTACCTATTCCCTCTTCCAATTTCCATGATGTTTTGCTAATTACTCGGGAACACTCCTCTCTCTACCCCTAACTTTTTCCAGGGGTGGGCATGGGAGGCACTAATTGTATGTGGCTTAGCCTCTTTTTTCTCACTCTCAGACCTTAAAACACTGACAGACACCAGATCCCCTTTTCTTCCAGACTTAAAGTTAACAGGATCCTGGTTTGCCAGTTCCATTCGTAACTGTTTCTGAATTAATAACAAGTCACTTAGCTACCAGACTTAAGGCTCCTCATCCTAATGATTCTATCAGTGATGAAGGTGACATGTAACTAAAAGTAGCCCGTTTTCTGCAACCATCTCTTAACTAATTCTAGACTTGGGTGCAGAACAGATGCTATTTACTGACTCTCTAAGTACAATATGTAAATACAAGAATTTCGTGAGCCACAGGCTTTCTCCCCTTAGTCTCATTTCCCAACAAAGAAATAATAACTATCTCACAAGTTTCTTAATGTTACCACTAAACTACAAAAGCAGGATTCAGATGTAAGAGTCACTGTCAAATACAGTGATTAATAACCATTAGTTGAATAAGCATATACATTTTGAATCAAAAGTTAGTATCTGGTCAGGGACAATGTCAAATGCCTATAATCCCACATGCTCAAGGTCTGGCTCAGAACTAGCAAGACCCTATGTCAAAATAAAAAAATAAAAAGAGCTGGGGATTGGAGCTCAGTGGCAAAGCACCCCTGGGTTGAATCCCTAGTATTTAAAAAAAAAAAAAAAAAGCATCTGAATTTAAAATTATATATGCTCTTTAATTAAGTAACAGAAAGTTATCAGGAATTTATCCTACAGATATACTTGTACCTGGATACAGAGCATAAGTGAAAGGATACTTATTATGGACCTATAATTAATTATTTAAAACAAAATCAATGTCCTAATAAATCTAATTATAAACAAAATAATCTATACTAACAAAGCATACATAAAAACTGATAGATTACTTGAGTAATCCATTCAGTAAAATACTACGTAGTCACGAGAAAGAACAAGGTAGATCTCTAAATACACTGATATGCAACAAGCTCCTGGATTTAAATATAAAAAAGATGTACAACCACAGTGTAGTTATGTTCCCACCATGTTTTTTTTTTTTTTTTAAAAGATATGTTACATTGAACCAAGTGAAAATTGTCTATATTCGGATTTACAAAAATGATTTCATGTGGTTCCACATGAGTATTTCTACAGGCATAAGACATAAGACATTATGGAAATGCATAAGGGCATGAAGAGAGGGATTAGGGAATAGATCTAAGTTGGGCAGACATTTCAGTGTACCCTTTCTATTCAATCTTTTACTATCGTCATGTTTCTGCTTTTTAAAAAGGGGGTATACCCCAAAGAAGACTAAAAACTGTTTTCTTCAAAAACAAGTTCAGTAGCTTCTAAATAAAAATAGAAACCATACAAGTAAGAGCAGAATGAGGAATAATTCATCAAACCAACACATTCACACTGAAAATACACACACAATTTTTTTAATTCTCACAGAAACATAGTTGCTTTATACCTTTGGTCTCACAAAAAAACAGAAAAAATAGCCAAGGGAGGAGTCTGTTACTAATCACAATTGGCATCTGATGAAAGGGAACATTGCATGAGGAATAAATTAACTTTTATGAGTGTGGTGCTGGGGATTGAACGCATGACAGGCAAGCACTCTACCAACTGAGCTATATCCCCAGCCCTGAGTAAATAAATTAATATCAAAAGGTCAAATATCAACTTTTAAAATTCCATGATTTTCTGAAGTAAATTTAAAAAAAACATTCAAGCCTAAGTTTTTCCTTTCTCCCAATTACATTTCTTGCACTGTTCATTATACCTCCGGCAGAAGAATCTGAATTTTCCATGTAGGAGTCCCACGAGAACAAATTAAACAAGTGAGCAAGGCCTACTGCTATACATTGCATGTGCTGCATTAGCTACCAAAGTTACAGGTATGCCCAACTCCTTTTCCTTGATTCTCCTCTGAACTACAAGTTTCTGGTTACCTCAATCATAACTGTCATTATAATAATAACACCCTGCAGTTAGCAAATTGTATTTGAAAAGTGCGCTCTTAGAAAACCAAAGTAAAAGGGAATCTCATCCACGGAGGGCATCCTGGGACTCACTGGCCCTCACCACACACATTCCTAAGCCTGAAAGGATTTCACAGGAGGAGGGAGAAGTAGACAGGAGAAGCAAGAGGCAGTGTAGTTCCCCACACCCATCCCTCCCACACTCCAACCCCATCTCCACATTTCCCAAACACAACATCCACAGACTCAGAAGGGTTTTCATTGGCTCTTGGCTTCAACTATATCCATTCAAAGGTGCTCTCTGATTTACAAACTGCATGACTATTTTAACATTAAAATCACTATCACAGATACCTTGACCATTTCTGAACGAACCATTTGTTTCCCAACTCATACTTCATCTCAGGCTTTTTCCCCTCTGCCATTGGCCTTGAAATATTTATATTTCTTTCTTTGAAGATAGTTTTTCACTTATTTTACCCCTGATGTTTAGGGAGTACTGTTTTGGGCTTTTCCCCTTTTATGTGCACTTTTAATTACACTTTATCAAATAATTCAAGTATACATAAAAGTACAAAGAATAACATTAACATAATGAACACCCATGTACCAACTGTGTACCAACTTAGCAAGAAATTAACATTTTGCCATATTTACTTCAGCTTCTTTTGCAGAAGTTTGTTACAGTTGACATCCACTGTGTTAATTATTTTCCCTCCTTTTTTTCCCCAGAGATAGCCACTCCCCTGGTGTTTAACATGCCCATGCATTTTTAAAACATTTTTAATACATTCTCTGTATTAAGAATATGCATATTGTTTTGCATGTCTTAAAACATTATATAAATGGCATCATACTGTACAAATCATTCTGCAACTTGCTTTTTTTCACCAACATTGCATTCATTTTAACTGCCATTGAGAATTCCATTGTATGAATATACCATAATTTATTTATCCATTCCCCTACTGATGGACATTTAGGTTGTTTCCATTTCTTTACTCTTACAAACAATGCTATATATGAAGGCTTGTACATATCTTCTTGAGTACACATTGAGAGTTTGGAAGGGATGACCCTAGAAGTGGGCTGCAGAATATGCACATCTTCACCTTGTCAGATTTCTCTCCAAAGTGACTGTACCAATTTACACTTTCTCCAGCCGAGTATGAAAGTTTCCTTTGTTCCACATCCTCTCAAACACTTGGTATTACGAAGTTTTTAAGTTTTTGCCAATCTGATGGATATGAAAAAGAAACTTGTAGTTTTTAATCTGCATGTCATGTAAGGATAATCATGTCCTCATAAATGTTTATTGACTATTTGGATCATTTGTTTTTAAAAATTATCAACTTTCACATTTCCTTTTTACTCTATCGTCACCTTTCCATAGTAAATAATAATAAAGACTCTGCATCCAGGCTGTCTGGACTCAAACACTGGCTCCATCTCATACACCTTGTATCCTTTATTTGGGCTCTCTATGTGTAAAGAGGCAGTAGCACCTACCTCACGTGGTTGTGAAGGTTTTATAAGTGAATTTACACAAAGTATTCACAACAGCACACCCATGTTGTTAGACACAGTACTATTATTTTTACCCTTTTAGAGAATAAACTTGCCAAAGTTATTCCTTAAAATTTGATTTTTAATGTCCCAATTTATATTTACTAATCTTTTAGAATTATTTTAGAAGTTTCAGCATTTGTTACTTTAATCCTTTCATTCCTCTTTCCTAATTTTAATTTTAAATGTTCCATTTCTGTTCTCTTGCAGCTCAACCTTTGCTTTTACAATAGCAGAGAGGAAGCCTGGCCTTCTGGAATAACTGAGGACTGCATTCTTGCCCAAACTAGTGGAAGGAGGATGCTTTATCCCCACAGATGCTCAGCAGGATTCCCATGGCAGAACTAGCATCCCTCTGATTCGAGAGCTTCAAAACATCTCAACCTTGGTAACTCAGCTAAAAGCTCTTCTCAGGACATAGGTCCTCCTATGTGAGTGGCACATTTCAATTACTGACAACATGTTCTTTTCTTAAGGTTCATCACTCTAATCATTTTGATCAGGAGTGATACTATGGACTCTGAAAACATTAACCCTACATTACAAGCAAATGACATAAACAATGTGTAAGAAGGTAGGAAACACCAATAAAACTGGTGTGGCATAGCTTCATACATTAAATAGGCATCCAATATATATTGGTGATTGCCTAATAAAGAACAAAGGGTTCTCAATGCTGCTGACCTGGCTCTAGTGAAAATATAGATGGCATTCAACAATAAGCTATAACATCAGGAAGGAGGTACAAGAATACCCTGCTCTTGGCCTTTACATCACCAAGCTACCTGATTCTGTGTTTCTATTTTCATGCACCTCCTGTTGTAGCAGGGGTTGAGGAGGATCCTCCTTGTGAGTCACCCTGATTTGCCTCTCAGCTTTCAGAGCTCAAGAGTAGATGACTTTCTGCCCAGCAAGTTTCAGACAGGCACCTCAATTTTCACAAGAGGCTAGCCAAGTTGCAAACCTATTCATCTGATCTTGAAAGTATACAGATTCACCTTCAAACACCACAGAATATCTGCAATTCTGGACCTAGCCAGAGGCAATAACCTAAAGACATTTGCAGCTCATTTCTTGTCAGAACCAGTTGAGGACAGTGGTATTGATGGAAGACTGTGTCAAGCCCATCCATTCCTCTAGTCTAGTTAGCCTCGGATTATCCACGGCTTAAGCCATCTAAAAGCTGCATAACGTTAATACAGCGGTATTCTCCAAGGTGGTTGGATTACTGGTGATTTTTATTTTCTTCTTTTTAAACTCTGGTATTTTCCAAATTTTCTACCATGAGAATGTGTTCTGTTTATAATAAAAGAAAAACACAATAAATGTTATTTTTAAAGCTACATACTTGGAATATATTGTCTTCCCCACCCCCACCTTCCCACATCCCAACGTAAGTGCTTTTACTGAAAAACAATTGAAATCATGTTCTCAGTTTTCTTGACATCACAAAAACACTTGTGAAACCCAAAACTTTATTTTCAGATGTTTTTTTTTCCCCTATAAAGAGCAATGTTGCTAGAATTTTTTTTAGCTCTTATCATTCAATTAACATTATTAGTAAGCCATTTAAGAAATTTCCTTCAGAAGGAACCACCAGGAGGAAAACTCATTCCAGCAATTGGTGTACTGGGGCTTTTTAAATAATGTAAATTATGTAACTTGCCAAGTTTCCCTTTTTCATTCTAAGCAACAGGAGATAAGGGTCAAACATGAATTATTAGTATTTCTACAGGCCCATTTACCTATGTAGCCTTGTTTTGACAAAAACAAGCTCTGAATTGGTTTTCTGATTTATTGTGTTTTGAATATTCTACTGTGTGAATATATTCTTCAGCATACCCCAAACCTTTCTTACAGTAAAGTATTACATAATTAAATATAACAGTCTACATGTTCAATATTAATTATTATTAATAACTAATTTCTTAAATTTTTAAAACTGACAAGGCAATAAAATCATGGTAGAGTATCTACATCAATCTTTCTCAACAAGTAAATATATTCAACACAAGAAATTAAGAATTAGTTATGATTCCACTCTCATAGTAATATTATTAAGTTTATGTGCTTTCTTTCACTTATGAAGGATATTTACTTAATTTTTCATACCAAGACAAATAGAAGAAAAGAAGGCAGTAAAAATATTTCTTCCAAAACAGATTAATTAATAGCGCAAAAGGACATAGTATATTATAGGTGTTATAAACACAGACTTTGACATCAACTAAGATCTGTGTTCAAATTAGCATCAGTACTCACTAGTGGTATGAGCTGAGCTGGTCACAAGTAAAGTGTGAAGAATAATATAACCTACCTATTAAAGTTGCTGTGAGACTTAACGTGAAGCAATTAAAACAATGCAGGACATATGACAAAAGCTTGCACTCAGTCAGCTGCCGCAGGTACAGTTAGTATAAATACAGCCTACTACACTCTCTTTTTAACAATTTTTAACTATTTTTGGAAAAAAAAAAGGGGGGGGGTCTTGCATACCTATGAAACAGAAATGTCTCCCCCAAAATGGGCATTTAGCATAACAATTCAATGATTGTGGTACTTTAACCAACTTACCTAAACTGTCCAGTACGAAGAAAGCAAAGAGCTCGGTTACCATAAAGAAGGTGGTTTTCAGGTCTTAAAAAGAAGTAACGTTTGGTCAGTAAATGACATTACATATGAAATAAACATACATTACACTAAAAACAGGCATGAAAAAACTTTTTAAAACTTTACATCTTCATGGTAGAGCAGGAAGAATACAAGATTTGGAACTTAACTGGGTAAATCTCACTTCATTACTTCCTCAGTAGCCTTCTTTAAAACACAACCTAAACTATCCTGTGTTCAAACTGAAGAGAATCCTTGCTCTGTCCAGCTTACAGGACTATTGTCAAGATCAAATAAGACATCTTATTAAAAAGTTAGTCAACTACAATGTATGCTGTAACTAGAGAGGACAGGATCATTATGTCAGGGATATGCCACCTTGACAAAGAACTCCAGGCAAAAGGAGCTTGGAAATTGCAACAGTAACGTTAAGTAGCTTCATTTCAAATTTTGATCTTTTTAGTTTTGTCTGACAGTATAAAGCCAGAAATTATTTTCTTCCACCTTTTTCTCAATAGAATAGAGTAGCAGTCTTGGGGCAGCATGTTGACTCGATTGATTCATTCCCCCTGGGGACAAGCAAGGTAGAAAAGGGAGAAGGTAGGAAAAGGAGAAGTTACATACACCCCAACCTTCAAAGGCTGCTATAATATTAGGTGGCTCACCTGAAGTGGCCATTAGGAACAGAATAGCACACCTGGGGGGAAGACTACAAAATTCCAGCAGCTGTTCTTTTCAGGTAGAAAAGAACACATGCATCCTCAACCATTCCAACTATTTTTCCTTTAAAAGTTTCCTCTAAGAAAGCAAAACCTCCTAAGTAGGTAGCATTTTAAGTATTAGGAACTAATCCTTTTTGATCAGTTAATAATTTAGAAGGAAGTAGTTGACAGCAAAATGAGAAAAAGACAATAACAGGTGACTCTGCTGGAATGCCTTAAGAAAATGGAGCAAGGCAGAACCAAATTCACCACTGCACCTGACTTGCTTGAACTGCAGGATTTAATCAGTTCCAAATACTCAGGTTACCTCCAATGCTACTAATAACTAAAGATAAAAAATAAAAATCTATTATGCATATCAAATTGGAAGATTCTACAATTCTTGATCTTATTTTTATTTATGCTAACATTCTAACTTGAGCTGCCACACAAAAAGGATCTCATTGCTCTGTTTTGCTCTTACCTATATTCAATGGCTCTGGTGTAATAGATAATAGCTATATCAAATCTTTCTTTGGAAAACTCTTCATTTCCTTTCATTTTCATTAGTTCTCCTTGCTGAGAAACCAAGGTGAAAGAAGACCCATCAATTAGCTCCAAAGACAATCAAGAAACCAATACCTAGGAAAAATGGATCTGGGTTTCCATCTTTAATATCAAAAATAAGCTAGGGGATTATTTATATAGAAAAGGAGAATGTAATATCCAATATTTTGGGATGTACAGTTGACCCTCAATATCTATGGGTTCTGCATCTGCAGATTCAACCATATGCAGATCAAAAACTTTTGGAAAGACCAAAAAGGGTCTATAGGAACATGTACAGACTTTTCTTCTTTGTCATTTCCCCTAAGCAATACAGTACAACAACTATTTACATAATATTTACAGAGTACTAGGTATTATATAGTGATCTAGAGATTATTTGAAGTATATGGGAGCAAGTGTACAAGGTATAGCAAATACTATACCATTTTTTATGAAGGATTTGAGCTCCAGCAGATTTGGTATCAGATAGGATCCAGGAACCAATCTCCCTCAGACACTGAGGGACAAATGTATATTAAAAGAAACCTTTCTCTAATAACTCCATATTAACTTGTTAAGAAATATTAAAAAGCAAGGAAAACCAACACATTGTGAATAATTTCTAAAATAATTTTTCCCTCACGTACAGTATTCGGCAGACCCATTTTTAAATATATTTTTCCATATGGGACAGCAAACTAAAAATGAAATGCAAAGTAGAATTTTAACTTTATGTTAGCAAATGTGATATTATTCAATAAACCTTAGTGCTTAAAAATATATAAATTGTAATAAAGGTAATACTGACTAGATTAACTACCAAAAATCACCTGGCAGGTTAGTAAGAACATGTGTGTTCTTACTAACACACGTTACTGGGGGACTGTGGACATAGCTCAGTTGGTAGAGTGCTTTCCTCTCATCTCTCATGCACAGGGCCCTGGGTTCAATTCCCAGCACCACAAAAAAAAAAAAAAAAAAAAAAAGTTACTGATATATTCAAAATTTTTCAATTCAAATTTTTAAAAACAAATTAATTAAAATAAATTAGATATCAATAGCTCTAGAGAACTTAATTGAACATTAAATGTCTCCCCAAGTCTTTTTTTAAAAATTGAATTAAGGGGCTGGGGTGTGGCTCAGGGGTAGCATGCTTGCCTAGCATGCATGAGGCACTGGCTTTGATCTTCACCATCACATAAAAATAAATATAAATAAATAAAGGTATTGTGTCCATTTACAACCTAAAAAAAATATTTTTTTTAAAACTTGAATTAGAATCATTACTTCCTCTGAGTGAACAGGTGAATTACATTACATCTCAATAAAAATGTTATCAAGGAAAATCATTTCTTCAAATCATTAAAGGATGATAAAAAATCAAATTTTTAATTTTTCAATTAACTGCTTTAAAATCATTAAAAATTCCAGATTAAGGAATTCTCTCTTCTTCCAAATCAAAATTTATTAAAATTTTACATCAAACGTATTATTAAATCTTACAGTAAGCAGTTCCTTAGATACTGTCAACAGGTTTTTGTTTTGGTTTTTTTTTGGTACCAGGGATTGAACCAAGGGGTACTCAACCACAGAGCCACATCCCCACCTTCATCAGGTTTTTTAATGAACTTCCTCTGACTGTTAAAAGTTCTAACAAGCAAATCTATTTTTTTTAAGTTGTTGATGGATCTTTATTTTATTTATTCACATGCAGTGCTGAGAATCAAATTCAATGACTCACACATGCTAGGCAAGTGCTCCAACACTGAGCCACAACTCTATCCCAAAAATGAACTCTTTCTTTTTTAAAAAATATATTTTTTAGTTGCAGACAGACATAATACCTTTATTTTATTTATTTATTTTATGTGGTGCCGAGGATCGTACCCAGTGCCTCACAAGTGCTAGGCAAGTACTCTACCACTGAGCCACAGACACAGCTCCCCCAACAAGCAACTCTTAATATATATTTACAGATAAATATTTATCCTCACCTCCATACACTCCGCACAATTTTGGGTTTTAAATTCTTCAAGTAAATTGCAGTTTTCCGTTACAACTTTAGTTATGTGATACTTGTCTAAGTTTTATTTTTAGGAGAGAATGAGAGAGAATATTTGTTAAAAAAAACTGGTACTCACAAAATTCTAATTCTTAGGTTAAGTAGGTGAATTCATAAAGTTTATTATATTTTCTAAATACCCTGTTTCTTATAATCTTTCATGTGTATTAAATATTTTAGAAATAAACAACTTATAAAACGTATAAAACGTTGCATAAAACAGATGCTTGCAGTAAACCTAATCTCTTTTTATTAACAATTAAAGAAAACCACTTATTATTACACTATGTTACTATAGTTA